CTCCTATCGCCTCTTCCTCTTGGTTGGGTTCCTCTTCGTTCTCTTCCTCTTTCTCTTCCTCATTGTTCTCTTCCTCTTCCTCATCGTTCTCTTCCTCTTTCTCTTCCTCATTGTTCTCTTCCTCATTGTTCTCTTCCTCTTCCTCATTGTTCTCTTCCTTTTCCTCTTGGTTCTCTTCCACTTCCTCTTTGTTTTCCTTATCATTTTCCTTCTCCTCTGCTACATCTTCTCCTGCTAATTCCCCGTCACCATCGTTTGTCGTTGGTGTGGCCATGCTCATTTCGGCGTTCTCAATTTCAGGATGATTCTCGATTTGTGGGTCTGCGATTTCCTCCGCAGCCCTTCCTTCCCGCCGGGGTTCCTCAATTTCCGTCGGAGTTGGGTTCCCTTCCGCCGGATTGTTAGGGTTCCCGTTTTCTGGGTCTTCAATTTCAGCCGCATTTCCTTCCGGCCGACTTTCAGGTCTCTCTTTTTCGTTTTCCGGCGGGTTTTGGACTTCCGCCGCTGAAGAAGAAGACTCATACACTTGACCTTTGTTTCTCACCTTCGCCATAAATCGGAGATTCGAGATTCACCCTTTTCGCGATTTTCGCCAGAAGAAAACGATTCTACAAGTTTATAAAGCCCTAGTGCTTTAACGGTTTTGCTGTGTTTTCGCGAATCGGTTTCTCAAAGAAGTGTGAATGAAGAAGTGAGAATGAAGAAGAAGGTTTCGTTCCAAATAAATGAAAAGAAAAGGAAGAGAAAAGAGGAAAACCTAGAAAATGAAAAGAAAAAACGGTTTTCATAAATATTTAATTCAAATAATTAAAATAATTTTGAATGGGTCGGGTTAATGGATTAACCGAAACTAGATGGGTTTGACCCTGATTTTACTGTAAATAAATCGAAATATCAAGGAAAGGGTAGGTTTTTCCAGGGTTTTGGATTTAAACAAAAATTAAAATTAAATTAATTATTACAATTATGGCATTTTGGCCTTTTTTCTACATTATGGCATTTTAATCAATGGCCAATATGTCATAATTTAGAAAAGAAAAATCTATTGTGCCATAAAGGAGTCTAGATGCCATAATGTATATGCAATTCCGATTTTGCCCTTAATGAAATAATGTTGTGGCATCTTTGATTTTACCCAAAATTAATGTTTAAATAAATTCATAATTAATATATTAAAATTAAAACGAAAATTAATAAAAATATGATTTTCTTTCTAATTTTTCTCTTCTTCTTCAACCTCAAATCTGCTAAATCTCATTCTTGTTGTTGAACCTTCTCATCCTCCTCTTCCTCTTCCTCTTCCTCCTCTTCTGCTGCAAACAATTCATTGTTCTTAACTCTTTTTTATTCTGCCATTGTTGAAGCTTTAAAACTGGGTAGATTGTTCTTATTTCAGAATTTAGGGATTTCAAAATTTAGAGATTGAATTTGCAAAATTTGCTTGTTTTGGTAACCAGATTCGGTTGGGAAACAAGTTTTATATGAAGATTAGATCTTTACATTGGTGATTTGTCAAGTTTAGTTGTTAAATCATAGTGATTTTTAGGTAGTTTAGAATTGAAATCCGAGTTCATTACCAAATTTGCAGAGGAGGACAACTGGTACAAATGGTACAACTAAGAGATAGAGGACAACTGGTACAAATGGTACAACTAAGAGATAGAGGACAACTGGTACAAATGGTATAACTAAGAGGTGAGGACAACTGGTACAAATGGTACAACTCATAGATAGAAGACAACTGGAATAATTGTTAACTGAGTATTTTTTTTATTCTATGTTTATGAGATAATGAACATCAGCCACACAAACATTTTAATAGATTTCAAGAAATTTCATCTATGTTATATCATTTACTATCTCATATTTAGAGCATATAACTTATTTCATCTATGTTATGTTGTTAATCATGTTATGAAACAAAAAAGAAAAAATATATGATTTTACATAACTTGTAATATGAAAACCTCGTAAATAAAAATTAATGGTTGAAAATCAATGTAAACGCTAAAATCTCAAAAAAACAATTATTAAGATTTTCAGACAACTAGACAATTAGGTACAATTATGTAGAAAAATTGATTGTGCACATAGGTGTATGTGTTACTTTGACAAACATCTCGACACTTAGGAAAATCAATCTAGTCTAGAAGATTTCATTTTTGGCTGAAAATGCTTTATGAATAGAAATAAACAAGGTACAACTGGACATGTATGTACAACTATATGCAATTTTGTGGAAGTGAATAAGGAAGGGACAACTGGACAAGTAAGGATAACTTTATGCAACTCCTTAATCTTTTTAAAATTAATAATATATAAAGAAAAAATATACTTAAGAAATGCAAACATGTCTTAAACTATAAGGAACAATATTAATAACATGGATAAAATAAAATTATCATTTTCCTAATATATATTATTGGTTTCATATCAAACATCCCTTATGATACAAGGAAAACTTTCATAATGTTAACAATCTTTTGATGGAAAAGATGCAAATACATGATTTTGCGTAATTTGTGTTATGAAAACCTTGTAAATGAACTGCAATAGTCGAAAATCATGTGGACAACTACAAAATAATAATTTATATTTCAGGACAACTGGAAAAATGCTAAAATCGTCAAAGGACAACTATGAAAAATTTTGGACAACCGGACAATTAGGTACAACTATGGATAAAATTGACGGCGTACGTGGTATTTTGACTGCGCACATGTCTATTTTTGTTGGGGCACGTGTTCTCTAGCTTCGTGGATGTGAATAAGCAAAAGACAACTGGACAAGTAAGGATAACTTTATACAACTTCGTGGATGTGAATAGTTATACTTAGTTGTCCATAGTTGTACTTAGTTGTACCATAGAAGTTAGATCATGAAACTTCTATATTTGTACTTAATTATGATTTTGCATAAATTTTAGTATGAAAATATTGTAAATAGACTTCAGTAGTCGAAAGTAATGTGGACAACTACAAAAAAATAATTTATATTAAGGAACAACTGGAAAAAATGTATTAACACTACAATTAAAATATAGTTGTCCCGAGTTGCACCTAGTTGTCCTAGAAAAATTCATAAGGTAATTGTACCTAGTTGCACTTAGTTGCTCTGGAGAAATTCATTAAGTAATTGCACCAAGTTGCACCTAGTTGTCCTGAAGAAATTAAAAATATTAATGCAAGAAATCAAATATTTCCAAAATAAAAATAACTCCAAAATAAATAGTAATGCAAGAAATCAAAGAAATCAAAGAAATTCAAAAAATTCAAAATATAAATAACTCCAAAATAAATAGTAATGCAAGAAATCTAAGAAATCTAAGAAATCCAAAATACAAATAACTTCAAAATACTCTTGTACACTCTAAGACTAAAATAAGTTGAATCGTTCATTTAGCTGTACCTTGTTTTTAAATTAAATAGTTACAGATAATTGTATATACGTGTCTAACTGTACATTGTTTATCCTTATTGGAAAAGATTTTCTCTGCTAAAATGAATAATGTGGATATCCAGAATGAATATTTCTCAGCTAAAATGTAATTTTTTAGCTAAAATAAAATATTTTCGGATAAAACAAACCCGAAAACATACACAAATTAAGTTTACATGCTACTTTTGCTCTGAAACCACTTATCTAATTTATTATCCATTTTTCGTCTTTCAGCAACGTTTTTTGGAGAATAAAGCCCATTTTTTTATTTTTGTTTTGGTGTAATTCAGCAGTAAGACAAACAATTCTTGTATATTATCAGAAATACTCCACTTAGTTTTATTTATGTGTGCAATTCATTCTCCATATAAATTATCTACTTCAAAGCTGTTTAGTTTCATATATCGCAATATTCTTACATACAGTATTTTATCTACTAATATCGAATAAGCTATCTATTCCAAATTTGAGGTATTAAATGATATAAAATCTATTGAATTGTTTGTGTGGCTGATGTTCATTTCTTGAAAATATAATAAAAATTTTCCAATTAACAATTATTCAAGCTGTCTTAGTACTATCCATTTGTACTAGTTATCCTGTATCTCACAGTTGTACTAGTTATATTAGTTGTTCTCTTATCTCTTAGTTGTACCATTCGTATCAATTGTCATTCTCTACAGATTTGGTGATGAACTCAGGTATAATTATAATTTACCTAAGAATCACTATGATTCAACAACTATATTTAAGAAATTATCCATGCAAATACCTAATCGTCACATAAAACTAGATTACCAACCCGATTTGCAATTATTATAAAAGTATTTTCAATCAGCAATTATTTAAGTTGTCTTAGTTATCTATTTGTACCAGTTGTCCTCTATCTCATAGTTGTACCAGTTGTACTAGTTGTCATATATCTCTTAGTTGTACCATTCGTACCAGTTGTCCTCCTCTGCAGATTTGGTGATGAACTCGGGTTTTATTCCAATTTTCTTAAGAATCACTACGATTCAACAACTATATTCGATAAATTACCTATAAAAAAACCTAATTGTCACATAAATCTGGGTTACTAACCCGATTTGCATAATGAACAAACAATTTTGGTATATTAATCCCTAAATTGTGAAATCTCTAAATCTCCAAATAAAAACATAATTGGGTTTTGAAGTTTTAACAATGGTGGTGAGGAGAGGGGATAAAGATAAGAAACTGATTGCAGAGGATGAAGAGGAAAAGTTTGGATGATAAAGATGTAATTTTGATGATTTTTGGAATTTTTAGTCGAAATAACGATGATGAAGATGAGTAGAAAAAAAAAATTAAGAATAATTAAAAACAAGAATTAAAAAAATTAAAAAAATTGCTGGAGAAGAGAGAAAAAATTTAGATAATTAATAAATAAAAAATAAAATATGTTAGTAGGTGGGTCTCAAAAAAAGTGGATATGATCCTGGTTTTATTGTAATTATAAGAGATAACAAGGAGAAGGAAAGACTTTCCACAGTTTTCTTTATTAAAAAAAATCGAAATAAAATTCATTTTAGAATTATGGAGTTTGAGCCAACTTTTTTCTGGATTATGTCATTTTAGCCTCTCGCTCGCCATCTGCTCGTTCCTCTGTAATAAATCTGTTTTGATCCGATCAGACGGTTGAGTCTGCAATATCTCTGGAAGACTGTTCATAACTATCATCTTCCACCACGAGCGGCCGTGTATCCGCCGCAGGATCGTATCCCTGAACGATAAGCACCGACGCGGTTTTCGAAAACTCCGATGACGACAACAAACGTCCAACTGGTCCTAACTCAGGACAATCTGTACTGTTAACCAACGAAGCAACCGCAGCGTTTCTCCCGACGACGAACAGATTGCATTTGCTCATCGCTTTAAGCGTCGCGGTCACATCGTCTTTGCTCTCAACGACTCTCTCCTCGTAAGCACAAGACTCATTCCCTCTTGGATCGTTCATCAACTCCCTCAAAAACTCTTCGTCGACCTCTTTCTCTTTCTTCTCCTTCTCGTCTTCTTCGCCTCCATCGAACCTCTTCAATGTCCCTCCTCTCGCAGCTGCGAATTTGAGAACGGTTAGTGTGATCCCTGGATGCTCCATCATCTTCATCCCGTAGGCCAGAGCTTCTCTGTCGTCTAGGCCTCCGAAAAACGGAACCACAACTTTGTAAGCAACTTCGCTGGCTACGACCTGTGAGGTTCCTCCGAGTCCTCTGTCCACGAGAATCCCCACGGAGCAAGGAGCACGTTGCAAGACCCGTTGGTTCACTACATGGAACCCATGTCCTATCGACTCCATCGATCCGTCCACTCGTTGATGCTTGTGAAACGGAAGCAGAATCATCGCCACTCGTTTCTGATGCGCGCTTGTGCATATGTCCTCGTGGATGCTTTTCAGGTCAGAGATTGCAGTCATTGGTCTAACCGCTACAGCTCGGAGATGCTGGTAAGCCTCGAAGGCAATCACCATTTGATCAGCTGATCTCTCGATCTTGTTCCAGATTGGTAGTCCGTTGTTCCGAGCTTTGTGAACCATCGCGATCGCTGATGACCTCTCAGAGAGCTCCATTAGATGCATGGCGTAAACACAGAGACGTCCCTTCTGGCCTGTTCCTCTTGACGATTCGATCAGATTGATCAGTGTAGGGATGTTTCGGGTGCTGTGGAAGCAAGCAAGTATACGTAGCTCGGAATCATGATCTTTTCTTTGGATTGTTCTATGCTTGTATGGTGCTCCTTTTCTTGCAGGCTTGTAAATCGCCATCAAAAGTGGAGTTGTGATGAAAGTTGTGAACAATGCCATTAGGACTAAGATCGCAAACGCTTGATCATTCAGCACCTGCTCACAATAAAAATTCGTTAGTTAGATTACTCAAAGAGTTTTTAACATTTTTGCTTAGTCATATATATTATGGCGTTTCACTAAATTAATCTGTACCTTGCGGTCCTTGCCAATGTTTAGAACAATGAGCTCTACTAAACCTTTGGTGTTCATAAGGACTCCAAGTGCCATGGCTTCTCTGAAAGGAACCTTGCAGAGCAACGAGGCACCAACGGTTCCTACAATCTTCCCGAAACAAGTGGTGAGTATTACAAGAGCTAGAAGTCCCCATGATTGCGCTCCCCTTATCGTTGTTACATCAGTTTTGAGACCGCTAGATGCAAAATAAAGCGGTAGAAGAAGCCCTGAGACAAGATCCTCTATCTTCTCAGTCAAAACTCTGCAAAACGGTCCTTCTTTAGGAGTTACAATACCTATGACAAACGCCCCGAACAGCGCGTGTATCCCAATAGTGTCTGTCAAAAAGCTTGCCGCTAAAACCAAGGTTAGAGTGACACAGACATATAGTTCCTTCACAGGCTCTCCTTCAGGACATCGTCTAGCCATATAAGCAAGCAGAGGTTTGATTGCCACAACTGCAAAGATCACAAATCCAGATCCACAAAGAAGAACCCAAAGAGGTACTAGAGGAGAACTATCATCTCCTGAGAGAGCAATCGCAAGCGCAAGGAGTATCCAAGCTGCAACATCATTCACTCCCGCTGCAGACATCGCCATACGTCCAATGTCGGTTGTTAGAAGCTTTAGCTCAGCTAGGATACGAGCAAGCACAGGGAAGGCAGTGATTGATAAGGCAACACCCATGAAGACTATAAATGGAAGCTGATGGACTCCTTTGCTTATGGTGGAGCTGAGAACAAAAGACGTGCCTACACCCATTATGAATGGAAGTGAGATCCCAGCTACGGCTATCAATAGTGATTTCTTTCCTGTTTTTCTGATGGCTGAAAAGTCAAGCTCAAGCCCAACTAGAAACAAGAAAAACAAAAGACCGATGTTTGCAAGCGTGTCTAAAACGGTCATGCTCTTCTTTGGGAAGATGGTGTCAAGATACACCTTGCTTCGTCCCAGAGCAGTAGGTCCAAGCAGTATCCCTCCCTGCAAAACCATCCATTTTAATCTCATACTATGTGATATAAATTATCACTGAAAAAGATGGATATCGAAGGAAAACTCACAATGATCTCAGCAATGACCCGTGGTTGTTTGAGAGGTTTTAGCAAGTAAGCTAACAGCCTTGTAAACACAACCACCAAGCAGATCTGTAGGATGATCAGAGGAAGTGCGAAATCAAGAGGGCTTTCGTTTTGAAAGGCTCCATTAGAAGTAGCCTTCATTGGACCCGGGCAATGCCCTGTAACATTGGTGCTGGCCATCCTAGTCGAGATCTAACTTTACGGGTTGATGGATCGGTCGTGAAACGAGGACACTGCTTCAACCTTTCAAGAATGCCTTGGCTGCTCCCTCATTGCATCGCCGAGCGAGGAATGAGACTTGAACAGGAGGAGAAAGGAAACCGGATTTATTCAGTTATGTCTCTGTTTGTCATAAATAGAATCCACTTCAACAAGTGAGGATATTAAAAGGGAGAAACAGAAAACTATTAAACTAAAAATGTCGATATTGCTAATAATAGGAGGACGAGACTGAGGAGGGCATACCATCTCCAGGGTGGGCATACACCTCGCACCTTTTCTATTTATAGGCTGTCAGTTACTTAACTTCCAACCAAATCGCATCTCTCCTTCACAGATATGAACTGCTTACTCTGCGCCGTCGTTTTCGTCTCTGTTTTGTCCTTTTGTTTCTAAATTTGCAAGCACTTGTTCATGCCTCCTTGGATATGAGCATTTTGATGTCTTGTATGAATCAGACAGATAATATAGAATACACAATATGTAAACATTCATGAGATGCATAAAATAGTAAAAACAACTGAACACACTATAGAGGACAAGGCCAACACTGTTACAGGCTGACTAATCTACATTTCAACCCAATCATGATTTATCTCTGCATTCAAATTTCCCAGAAGAAAACAACAGTTAAAACTGAAGACCGTGTTCCCGTTGTGAAGGTAAAGGTAACCACCACGGCCTCTATGCGTCCGTGGTAAAGGTAACCACCACGGCCTTTGTGATCCCTTTCTCCGCACAGAATTTGCTATAGTTTGGCCAACTTTCTTCGCCACCTCCTACTCAATTCCAAAGCGATTCAACTTTAAACAGTGTTTGTCTCATTCACCCATAAACAAAGGAGATCAAGATATGTAAATTGTGTAGACAGGTTGCAGTTAAATTCATGGCCTAGGGGTAATGAAGAACTTACAATGGTGGGACCAGCTGTGTAGTCAAACTCGTCAGAGACAGGTTTCTGCTTGGTTGAAGCTGAAGCTAGAGTGTGCATCTTGGTATCATCAATCACTTGAACGTAAATATGCTTGTTTGAGCAAAGAGCCTTGGCCTCTCAGGTGTACCACTGATCTAAGGGAACAACAGTTATAGATTCATGGAAACTAGATCATTGCTTTAGAGAGGTGTTTGTATAAAGAGAACTTGCTAAAGAGAGAAAGGTATCAAACTCACAAAGAACCCAGAAACAGAAAAGCATCAGAAGTCCATTCAACTTAGGCCTAAATTTACCCTTTTTCAGTAACCGGAAAACTTAAATCTTTCAAACGCTGGAGATTCACTGATGGATGATCAAGTATATACTTTAATTTGTGAAAGTCATCAAGGACCAGTTCACCTGGAACCAAAACTTTAACAACAAAAGAGAAGACATACAGGTTGAAAAAAACTACAACTAAGCCCTCTAATCATATGCCAATGCATTTTGAATGATTCAGCTAAGCTTCATTCACAGTTCTTCCTCAGCTCTAAGTATGCTTCCACAGATCAACTAAACCTCTCTACTCTTCGACGGCGCAGCTCATCTAAAGGGAGATCACTAGAAGAAGACTGTGCTGGTCCCTGATTCACTGACCATCCGTTTCCTCTAGCTCGCCCCGAGCCACACATCTCACAAACACTTTGCCAACCAGAATTGTCATATGTACACGACTGGCATCTCCAGATACCAGGTCCTGCAATCCCAGTCTGCCCTCTTCCCACTCTTCCTCTCCCTGAAATCCTCCTCCTCCGAGACCTAACCATACTGTTCAGAAACCTCAAGGGCCAAGTCACCGCTCGGGTGACACCTTGAACCACCATGGTCACAGGATCTGAGCCTGAGTGAGAACCCTTCAGGTTCATGTATAGAATACCAGCAAGGATTCCACCTAAATGCCCAAGAAACGAAGCGCTCGGTACAAACATCTGCACAAGAATCAGCTCTGCCCAAGCAGCGTACTTTGTTGGAACTAGGATGCCATAAACGCTGGTGTAATCCTCAGCCTGAGCATTGAGAACAACTTTCAAAGCAAAGAGGACGCCCGAGAATCCGACGGAGTACTCTTGGTAATAGGCTCTTTCGTAGTCGAAGAATAAGTGGAGGGATTTAGCCAAGAGCAATGTTACTCCTTGGGACATACCAAGAAGCGCAAAGACCATTGAAGCAAACTCGCTGCTTCCCATGGATGTCTCGAGCTTGATACCTTTCCAGAGAAGGGACATCATGTTGTAGACTAGGTGAGGCTCGTTGAGATGGTAGAACGCTGATAGAAAGAAGCGTTTCAAGTCCTTGTGCTGTTCAACAAAGACACAGCAATCAAACAAGATATCAGAGAATAGAATAAGTTGAGAAAGATCAAATGCGTATGTTGATACCCAAATTCTTTTTCTTTGCGAATTAACGAGCTTGAAACCAAAAGACTCATGAGAATTTTCTAGATCAGCAGAGTCAAAGCACAAACTGTGAATTCTTCTAAGGTCAAGCTACTTTCTCGAAGAACAAAAATCCCGAATTCTCCAGAAACTGCTAAAAGAATTCTAGAGAAAAGAATACATTACAGAAATCGAATTCCAGATCGACATCGGCGAAATTGCAATTACGAGTGAGCAATCGATTTCTAAAAGAAAACAATCGCGAAATAAGAAATTGAGGAGGTTACCTTGAGGATGAGGTTGGGATTGAACCAGACCTCACTGATGTGAGGGATAAGCGGATCGACAAACGCCGGCCTGAGATAGACGAGAGTGTTCGCGGCCAATAGACCCGCCGTCACCGGCGGTTTCCACGGCAGCCTATAGTACTCCGCGACGGCGCTAAGCGCCAGCAGAGGCAGCATCCCTCCGGTTCCTCTTCTACTCCCTTCCCCAAAATTCGCCATTGCTTCCAAATGATTCTTTCCTTGTGATCTTCAAAATCAAATTCCTAAAGTAATTAATCTGAAGGGAATCTATTTACACACATACTGTATATATATATATATATACTGTATATAGCAGCTTGGACTATACGAAAACAATTCACCAGACGCTTCGTTTCATTCACATAGAACACGTGGGACCCACCGTGACATTTGAATACCGCTTTAGAAGCCTAATTAAGTCATCTAATCTTATTCCAAAATCTCTCAATCACATTTTAATCCATGGAGAGAAAATTCAAAATTTTGGAGACAGCAGTGTCACAGTGAGTCAGTAATGCTCAAATTGAATGTTGTTCGAACAAAAACTGTATATGAATAACACACACAAAGAGAGATAATCATACAACATTAAACAATGGATTATTCTAAAGGGCTCTTCTCTCTCTCTCTCTTTTTCTCTTAGTGATTGTCATCAGCTTTAGGCCTAGAGTTAATAAGCATTTTGCGAAGCATTGTGTTCTCGTTCATCAAAGTAGAAATCTTCTCTTCAAGCTGATCATTGTTGTTCTGCAACTCGTTAGCTCTTGATTCCAAATCACTCACATACACTTTCTTTCTCTCCCTCGCTTGTTGTGCTGATACTCTGTTCCTCAACAATCTGAAATTCCAAGAACAAAAACCACATTCATCACTCTCTGTTTCACATTTCAATTTCACAGCTTCAGTATTGGCTCATTAATTTACCTTTTGAGGCTTCTGTATTCTTTATCGACTGGGTTTCGTCCACGGCGGCGCTTGGCGGCTGAGATTCCGTTCTGGGTCTGGTCAATCTCTGGATTGTTGATTCCGTCCTCTGCGCTGCTACTTTGAACACCTGTCGATCCAGCTGCTTCCATGTCTGGAACCATCAACAACTCCTCATCACTCTCCTCTGTAAATTATACAGACCAATTATATCTCAGATTCTCTAAAACAAAAAATAAACAAATATTAAATACAAATAAACAGCTACCAGTTTTGTGCTTCTTGGGAGAAGAAGACGAACTCGAGTTCCCATTGGGTCGTTGAAGAGACATCAATTTATTATATTTGTCTTTTGAGATTTTGCTGATGACCAGAGTAGAGATGTAAGAGGTTGAAGAGAATATCGGACCAAAGCAAATTGCTTCCTTTTTTTTCTTCTTCTTTGGGACCACTCAAAGTCTTAAACCCAATCAAACACCATATACGGTTTACTCTGCAACTCGTTTTTGACGAAAAATCTTTGAAAAGTTTTGATTGGGCTATAAATGAACACGTAGGTTTATGCAACACCACAAATGCAACAGTTGCAATCCAATGGTCGAAACTAGCGGAGCATATATATATTATATATAATGTATCTCCGTTTTCTTTTCCACTATACCATATTGAAATTTTTATACTAATTGATTCTTCTTCTGTTCATGATTTTCTTTGGGAAACAACCTTTATTGACAGAGAGCGTGTGGTCTTAAGACAATAATTACTGTCTACAACAATACAAACGTACTTGCAGACAAAGTCAGAGACTATTTGTGTATCTATTTGCATGGCCTAGGCATGCACTAACTCATCATGTAGTTATACCTCGTTTCTATTCCTTGCTTTAAATACTATTCTAACTCAACTTTCCCCATAAGATTACATGCAACATTTATCTTACTTTTGAATACTACTAGTACTCAGATCAGAACCGTTGCATTCCCTTATTCAAAAAAGACATTTGCTTTAAGCCACTAACAAAATTTCAAAAATTAAAGGCCACATCTTTGTAACGTGTAGTTTAATTAATAGGTTAAATTAACTTTTATACGTGGTTTTAACCATTATAAGTAGATTGTATGATTAAATTTTAGGATTTTAAACAAAATATCATACACTTACATCTATATACTTATATCATTATACTAATACATATATAACTAGAATAAATAACTAAATTATTACTTTAAAATAGAATTTAGTTTATAATAATATATAAAATTATTAATAAAAAGTTTAAACCAAAAAAAAAACAAAAAATTAAAATTTGCCTTACACCTCTATAAATCTAGACACGTACTGATTCAGATAAATATTTTAGGCCAAAATCCAAACTATTCCTCGTTATCCATATAAATGCGGATATTTTTGTCGCTTAAGACAATCCATAACAATTCTCGTAGATTGTGAAACTCATTATATCATCTTTACCCATATGAGTATATGACAAGTGTTAACAGAGTATTCTCACTAATAACAAGTCCTCTATACACTCGAACAAACCATTAAGATAATATATGTATGTGACTGTGAATTGTAGACTTTAAATATAAGTTTACGATGTTACCAGTTAAAACTTGATGTTTTGAAAATGTTTTTTTGTCTTTAGAATTTTTTTTTTCCACTAATTTAGAAGTTTCGAGCATTTGATCCGAAATTGATCATGGCCACGGAACTGAAGAGTGAAGACTGTTTATATATTTAGTCCCTTCCTTAATGTTGAGACTCGAACCTGTGACCAGAACCGGCCTAAATCAAAGGGGACGACAAAGTTTGGGATATTCCATTCGAGCTTTTAGGATCATCATTTAAGTAAAAGATCTGATAGATCTGTCGGTAATGGAGTTATTAATGCTGGTTGAAAATCATCCTCTTCAGCACTCTTACAATATATAATACAAGAACAGATACAAAACAAATTATAAAAAAAAAACTATATTTCTAGATTAAGGACTAGCTAATACACAAAATAACACTTGTAGCCTGTCGACGGATCTATATATCTTCCCGGACCCATTACCGACCTTTGGTTTGTGGCTTTGTGCTCTTTTTATTCGTTTCTTCTTTAAAATGGATCATGACTCATGAGTGGTGAGTATGTCTATCACTTGAAGGGACCCCGTGGCTTAACATCAACTAAAATAATTTGATGTCACTTTTTTTGACGAAGTACTATCCAAATGATTGATTTTTCATCAGCAGCTAGCAAACATTCATTTTGTTTGTAGGACTATATATGATTTGATTATATGAAGTTGTACGCAAACGTGGAGATATGATTGCATCTTTGTCTATGCATGAACATGCCACGTTAATTTTGGAGTACATTTCATGATAATGATCTCTCTTGCTACAACTTTTTGGTACAGTACTATTGCATGCCTCTCTCTATATATTACTTTGATAAAACGTTTAATCTACGATGGTTACGAGTAATCAAGCTACAAACTCTGGTGATTTTTTTATTTTTACTTTCTTGTTGACATTCTCAGTCCTAGGACATTAATAGTTAAGGCAAAAAAAATTGAACTACTTCTTAGATTTTTTTTTTTTAAAAGGACATGCAATAGGGTTTTTGATTTTTATTGTTCTTACTGATGAGTTATATCGACGAAAACAAATGACAAAACTCTTATAAATCCAGATATGCATATGAGGGATAACTCCATGGACATATATTAGACTTAAATTATGACAAGAATAAAGTGGATTAGACATTCATCATTAGACTACTAGACATTATAAAGTTAACTATATCGAAATTCTCGCAAGAAGGATCCCTAGAGACCAGACATGCATGTCCAAAGACAGATCGTATAATAACTCATATATATAGGAGTCTTATCGATCCAACATCCAAGGTAGGCTTTATAACAAAGCAAAATATTTAGAATCCACTATTACACTGCCCATGATGATTCTAGGATCTAATATATTATCAATACAGCCAATGAACACTATGTGATGTAAATGTCTACTTTTTAATTTTTTTCGTTATTGTATTTTGAAAACAAAAAGGTAAAGATTGGGCTCCTAAGAGAGACAATACAGAAAGCTAAAGAGACATTAACAGGAAACGTATAGTTAAAGAAAAGAACACTGTCTGCTCTACAAAAACAACATACACAAAACTCTTCAATTCTCCTTTATTTTTAATTGTTTCCGCAATTTTCCATGGTCTGTAACATTAATGTGTCACAGCGACAATTGAGTTTTCTTATCAACAGAATGGTCTAAAATTGATCCCCAAGTTCATAGTCTATAGACTAATAAGTTTTCAAATATTGATGTAAGAAAGTGAAAGTGATGTGATGCTCAGTTTCTGTTTAAGGCTAGACAATAAAGCCTTTTGGCCCTTTATCTCTCCTAATTAAAGAATCTGAGCAGTTGAGAAATTAAAATCAAAGCCTTAACATTTTAGCTCCAACACCATTTGTACACACTTTCCTTGGATTCCTCCTTTTTATGGAAATTTCGAATCTTACATGTAAACAAATCTCAAAACCATGATTTCATATTTTACTATTAACAAGCTTCAAAGATCTAATTTTATGGATTTAGTCACTAATCGGGTAATTATTACAGTGGTTATCAAAACTCAATGTGTGTTCATATATAGAAGACTGAAAGTTCATAGTTAAAGTGGGGAACCTCTGTTTCTTTCTCATATTTATTTATATTAAATAAAAAGTTGATTAAATCATTTTAAAATCAAATCTATGCAAACGCATCACCTACTAGTCTCTAGTTGTTTACTAAACAGAGAGAGATAGAGAGAGACATGAAGAGCACTCTTAAAAGAGAACAGAAGAAATCATGTCGTTGCAGTTTTAGATGAGGTTACAGCTTCAAGGTCTCATCAATGGAGGTTTCTAACTCTTATTCTCCTTATTCCTCATCCTCTGTCGACAGTACTAAGCCTTCACCTTCTGAATCTTCTGTTAATCTCTCCCTTAGCCTCACCTTTCCCTCTACTTCTCCACAAAGGTCTTCTTCTTCCACATCAAGTCATCACTACTCTGTTAATGCTCTGTTCTGTTTCGCTCTGTTTTGTTCACATTTGTGTTTTTAAAGTTTAAATCTTTTCTTTTTTCCTGTAGAGAAGCAAGACAAGATTGGCCACCGATAAAACCATTGTTAAGAGGTAAACTAAAGGGTCGTCGTCTTGTTCAACGCGGTGACGACACATCTTTCTTTGTTAAGGTCTATATGGAAGGTGTCCCCATTGGGAGAAAGCTCGATCTTTGCGCATTCTCAGGCTACGAGAGCCTATTAGAAAACCTGTCTCACATGTTCGATACTTCAATTATCTGTAAGTAATTAACAAACACAAATTCTGTAAAACACCACCATTCACCTATATTCCAACACTTTGGAGAATGTTGAATACAATGTCTTTGGTTCTAACAGGCGGTAATCGAGATAGAAAACACTATGTTTTGACATATCAAGACAAAGATGGGGACTGGATGATGGTCGGTGATATTCCATGGGAGTAAGAACCTTATATCCCCATTTGATATATTGATAAATTCCCACTATCTTTTGTACATTTTTATCTCTGACTTGATTCGATGTGTTTTGTTCAGTATGTTTCTTGAAACCGTGAGAAGACTGAAGATCACAAGACCCGAGAGGTGTTAAAAACTTGGATCGTTCCGTTTCACAACTCTGTTTTCACAGTTTTGAGAGATTTAGGCATTGATGAAGAGTCTTCATGCGGGACAGAGCTCTTGCTGCATATCGCAACAGAGGCCTTAAAGAAGTTGGAGAATTGATGGATATATATATTTATTTGGCACCTTTGAGTGTGATTCTTTATAGAAATAAATCACAATATCCAAGACTTTTTCTTTTTTTGTCTGAGTAAAGATTAATTTACATGTTTGCAATCGTGTTCCTTGGGATGTTTATATGACCATGAAGAAAACACGAACGTTGTTGGGGAGCACGAACATGGACGCAGGGGGAGAGAATGATTCTCTTTGAAATGTGCCGGCTCGTCTTTCTTGGTGGACCAATATTCAGTTTACAGTTTTAATTTGACGAAACTAGGTTTTAAGCCCAATATACGCTGATTAGAAAGCCCGTATAAGCCCAAACATGTCAAGCATACATAGTAAGGCTCACATATGAGGATATGTGATATATATAGTTGTGGTTAAATGACTTTGCATAATTTGCAGATTCTGCTTACGTGATGATATTCTCTTCAAAGATCAATCATTATGAAGTGGAAATGGCTATAAGCAGAAGGAATGTATTTGAGTAAATATCATTAGATCACCGATCCGAGTTTAAAAGGAAAAGAAGAGGGAGAACAAAATTAAAAGCCTAATTCAGCTACTCTGTTTATCAACTAAATAGAAACAACACTTTTTTAATAATTGACTTGTTATCTCGCTTAAAAGAACATCACCAAAAAAACCAGGAAAAAGAAAGAAAGAAACTAAAATAAGTGATTTCATTGAACTAATAATCTCCTTTGGTTTCCACTTCTTTTTCTTTTCTTTTGCCTTTTGGGTGTTTTAATCTGAATATGAATCAAACTTGGAACATAAGAGAGGAGATCTGGCCGACCGAGAAGACCTTCCTTTCCAATATCTTTATAAACTTGTTTATACATGTTCTCTCCAACAACGTAGATTCTGGTCGGAGTGGTCACAAAACGACCATTCCTTCCCGTGTCCTCATCACAACACACTGCCACTTTATTCTCCTCATTAACAGGAAACGTATAGTTAAAGAAAATAACACTGTATACATATGAGTTGATGACATGTAATCTAGTTGTCGTTAACGATTGCATAATTTGTGAAAGTGGATATAACTATAAGCAGAAGGAATGTATTGGAGTAAATATCATTAGATCACCGATCCAACTTCAAAAGCAAAAGAAGAGGGGACATGAAAAACTTAATCCGCCAGTTACTCTGTTTATCAACTAAATAGAAACAACCCTTTTAATAATAATTGACTGTAGTCTCGCTCAAGAGAACATTACCAAAACCAGAAGAAAAAGCATTTGACTATAATCTCGCTTAAAAGAACATCACAAAAATGGAGAAGAAAGAAAGAAGGAAACTAATAAGTAACCCTCCTTGCTTCCTTCTCTTTACTTTTGCCTTTTGGGTGTCTTAATATGAACCAAACTTGGAACATAACTGAGGAGATTTGGCCTACAAAAAAGATCATTACTCTTTGCAGTAGTTCTATAAAACTTGTTTATACATGTTCTCTCCAACAATGTAAATTGTGGTCCTATAAGCATCATCCCAGTCTAAATCACAACACACTGCCACTTTGTTCTCCTCGTCCAACAAGAAGCTTGCAACACTCGCCACACCTGGCAAGTTAAATCCGTGAAGATCCACTACTAAGACGAAGTCGCTCCTCCACGACAAGTCTTTGGCATCCTCATCGATCTTTTTGCTCACCCATATCTTCATCTTACCTGGAAATTCATCAAATCTCTGATGCAACACCGAAAGCTTTTCTTCCCTAACCTCTGATAGAGCCGTGTTATCTTCAAATCTAAGACTCTGAAACGGAAGAGAGAGACGCTCAAATCGGCCCAATGGTAACGAGTTCTGGGTTTGATCCACCTCGTTTGACCCGTACATGGGTTCCAAACCACAAGTCTAGAGTTTTCTCCCATGGTGGCACATAATAGTAAACCGTCGCAAGTGAAATATTTTAGATATTTTCAAAGCTTTTGAATCGGTTCGATGGCTAAGTTGACCTGTACACTCGATGGATGGATCAAATCTGTTGTAAACTCCATGGAGATCCTCATCAATCGAATAAACCCGAGAATTACTAAGTAACACCGACTCACTCACTGCTGCTTTGCAACCCAGATTCTTCTTGACGAATTTCGGATCTTTGAATAAAGCGTACCATCGTTTGCAGCTAGTTTTAAATTTCGTCAGAGACTTGGCCGGAACCCTAGAGAGTATTTCCCATTCCAAATCGCTCATCGTCTTCTCGTGATTTGATCTCTCGAGGAAGAAAGCTTATATAAAGAGTCAAATTAGCGCGGGCTTTATCTACCAAAAAAAAAAAAGCTTACTGGGCTTATTTAAAAGCGAGACGGTAGGCCAACTATTTATTGTCGGTCCAGGACTCGAATAATTTTATATCGGATTGACTAAACCAGTCCCAAAAAAAAAGACGACGTTAAATGTGAAAGAACATAATAATAGAAGGGTGGTTCTGAAATAAACTATAATATATCTCTCTCTACGCTAGCGCCGGAAAAAAAAACTGAGAAATTGAAATTCCCCCTCCCCCCCCACTCTTTCTCTCTCGCTCGCTTTCTTACACAAAAATTGAATCTGTGAAATTGGGGAATGAAGTCTTCAGGGTCTACTGCATGGAAAGGTCCCGTCAAGTTCAGGATGTAAGCTTCGTCTCTTCCTCTTCTTCTTCTTCGATTAGTTTGTTTGAAATCGGATGGTGTTTTTGGGACTTGAATGAATGTTTTCTGATATGAATCAATCCATGGTTGGAGCTTAGGCCTACTGCTGAAAACTTGGTTCCTATTCGTTTGGATATTCAATTCGAGGGTCAGCGTTACAAAGATGCTTTCACTTGGAACCCTTCAGGTTTCCCTCTCTCTCAAAACCCTACATTTGTGTTTTTTTTTTCATCTTGTCGCTTCTGACAGTAGAAGATTCGCTGATTCTGTGTTTTTTTTTTTATGGTCCCTGCGTTTTCGTTTTGGATTAAGACCCGGATAATGAGGTTGTTGTCTTCGCTAAAAGGACTGTTAAAGACTTGAAACTTCCCCCTGCGTTTGTCACTCAGATTGCCCAATCTATTCAGGTTGCTTCTCACACTGGATCACACTTTCCAATCTTAGTTTCTCTTCTGATCTATTATTGTTGGTATCTCTTTTACATGTCATAGAGATGATAAACTGAGCAATTAAGGTGACAATTGTGGAAGGGTTTTAGTGATTGAATATGTTTTTTTTACTTACAAAGTTCTTTTGAAATCTGCCACACGTTCGACTTATTGTTTAGCTTGTACTCGATAACATGCTTGCTTGTTTATAGCATTACACAATGGGATGTATAGTTTTATATCTCTAAGACTGCTAGTGTGATGTATTTGTAAGGATTTTAATAGTTTCTTGGGAAATCTTTGCTCACATCGGTCAGTTTCCTGCTTTATCAGTCTCAGCTCTCAGACTTTCGGTCATATGAAGGACAAGACATGTACACTGGTGAAAAAATCATACCAATCAAGGTCTTATGGACACAAGATATCCTTTTTATCCCCCTCTCTTTTGGTCGTGAGTGTTTTTCTGAACAAAGAAGTATTTCATAATCTGATAAGTTACCTTTCCTCTTTTTTTTTCAGCTTGATCTCCGAATTAACCATACCCTTATCAGGGATCAGTTCTTGTGGGTGAGAATGCCTGGTGTTGTTGAACGATTTCAACCACGATTTGTGTACTCGTAGTCTCAATGCAGCTTTGTTACCGGTTTGCAGGACCTAAACAATTTTGAGAGTGATCCTGAAGAATTCGCAAGAACCTTGTGCAAGGATTTAGGTGTTGAAGATCCTGAAGTTGGGGTAAGATAACCACTCAAATTTTTACCTTTCATTCTGTAATTAAACGAACTTGGAGCCCAAATTTTTGAAACAAATGGTGTTTGGTTTCTTTTTCTCCCTGAAGCCTGCTGTTGCCTTTGCAATCAGAGAACAACTTTACGAGGTGAAAACTCTGGCTGGATCTTCTTTTTTGTATCTCGGTGTATTTGAACACGAATACTAAACTTGGTGACCTACCATATTGTTGTTTCTGCTTTCCAGATTGCAGTTCAAAGTGTGACTTCTGCTAGGGAGAGTAGATTAAGTAAGAAAGGCCGCAGAGGATCTGATCATGGTTCAGCGAGGTCTTTTCACGTTACTCCTATTTTCTATCCAAGTTATCTTGTGGTAACAGTTGAGCTAGCTTAAAGTGTGGCTTCAGCTATTTTCTATAATAACTTTCCATCTTTAATGTGCAGCAAGGCAAGTGGCTTGTCAATGGACCTAGTGAAGTTATTCAGCTTTAAGTCCAGTGTAGTTCGGTAAGTGATTTTCATGACTCCACTTGATGTATAAATTTTCTTTGTGAAATTGTCTATTAGTGTCTAGATTGCTTATAAGGTGAGTTGAAACAGTTATAACTTCGTGACACATCCTGAGCTTCTGTCTTATGTACACTAAAATGCCACCGCTTCTTACATTTTCTATCATTTCATAGTAAGATCCCGTGTTTTAGAGATGGTCCTACCTCTGGGAATGTTGCATCTTGTTATTGAAGACAAAAATAAAATCACTAGGTTCCAATTCGTTTGATTACAAAAGAACTCAGTGGAGGTTGAAGAACGTCACTTCCTGCATAGCTTATCACTGAATGAGATTTTTGAAATAAAGATTGAAGAGAACAAAAATTGACATGCGAAACCAAGCAAAAGTGATAACAAATTCCTGTCTTAACAGATGTTATCATTGATATTGACAGGAAACGGAAAGACTTGGATGTTTATGAACCAGCGGTGGATATGCTAACAAATGAGGAAGTTGATGCGCTTGAAGCCAGAGAAGAGAGGCATGCAAGGTAAAGAGTTTCGTGGACATGTATATTTCATAGGGCAGGACTCAAAATATGAAGGATAGCACGAACTCAATGTTGTTGTATTATCGTTAACTGGAGTTTTATGATCTCCTTAGGAATACTCTTTATCAGTGACTTTAGAATCTTTGGATTCTTACAACAGATTATGTAGACATAATGTTTGATGTGATACTCAATCCTCTAAGATGATTAGTCATTGCATCCTGTAGTATAAAACCCGGTGTGTAGTATATTTGCCGTGGTGTAAGTCTGAGCTTTGGTTAAGTGAAACACAAGTGGGTGTTGAATGATGAATCTTAGATGAGTTTACCTCAAAGGGACATGTTAGGTTTGCAGAGTTAAGTGAAGACCATCTCTTCGATTAAGATGTTTCCCAAACTTTGAGCATGTTAATGTTTGAGAGAGAGAGAGAGAGAGGGAGATTATAAACTTAATTTAAAATGAAATAAAGAAGAAATTTAGGAGAGAACTCAAAGGACAAGACACGTTGTGAGAATCAAGTGTCCCACTTGAGAATTTAATAAGATCTCATCATCAACCATTAACCCCACTGTCGATATACGGTCGTACTTTTTCTTCTATTCTCTTCTCTCTTTTTTTTCTTTTTCTTTTTTTCTTTGTTCAATGATTGGGTCCCCCTCTAAGCTCAAGCTGCTGTCATCTTAATTATTATTATTTTTATTCGAAAATAAAATTATTGTTTTTGTTACTATTATTGTTTTGATGGAAGTTTTGTAATTTTGTGTGGTGATTATTGATCAGTTTTTGTTATGCATGAGTTGTACTTGTGCCCTTCAAATATTATCCGTGAGGTATATATAAAAGTTATGATAATATCTTGAATCGGCATACTAACATTATGGGAATCAAGTAGTAAGTAGATCAATAAAAGAAAATTGAATTTATTATTAATCTTCTGTGTAGTTGTATATCGTCATACTCTGACCTACTTTGGTGTTTTTGGTTAAGGATAAATACTTCACTTTAGATGATTTCGTGTTTTCTTTTCTCGACTATATTAACAGGTTTAACTGACTCGAAACTGGCTAAAATCAAACTGTTTTGTTTAGTCTATGGTTTATAGGGTTCAAATCAGAAAAAAGGTCCTGAATCTAGCTGATATTAAACAAACAGAAGAACGAGTTGTCTAGCTCTAATGAAGGTTATATAACTAACAATTTTTTTCTTTTTGTGGTTATAAAACATTTGGATCTACTTGAGATTGAGACTATAGATTGTTTTTTGTCGACTGAGCAAAGTAACGAGCGTAAAGCCTTTGAAGTCTTTATGTCAGTCCGAAGTTAGGAACGTCAACTCAGTGGATAGAGTGTGTATATTGTTGAGACATTAGGCCGTTACCGAAAGTGCAAAAGTATAATTAATTTCTAAGAGACGATAGAATAATATGCTAATTACTTACCTTTTGACGAAAATGATGATTACTTGCCATTTTTGTTAGCATTTACTTACTAATGTTTGACTTAAGTAGTTGCTCCAAACAAAAATAAAAGTCGGTTTGTTGATTTACGTATATACTGTTACATTGCAACAATTTCATAATATATAATATTTTGTTTGGGTCTTCTGATTAATAATTCAACACATGTGCAACTTCGGTCAATACATGGCTTTTACATTATGGAGAACTAGTTCTTGAGTTCTTAAACAAATAATGCTAATCATCTCATACAAATGATATAGAACTCAAGACAGACAATTTTTCCCTCCCAAAAAAAAAAAGAAAAAATCCCACCGTAACTTAATCACGTGGATTATCAAAAGAGAAAAGAGTAACATCTAAATTCTCGACGATAGTTCGTCGAAAAAAAATTCATATAGACTTAATTAAAAAAAAAAAAAAAAAGCCACGACTGTGGAATAAGAAGGATAAGAAGGAGGAAGAGGAAGAGGAAGAGGAGAAAGGGCTAATACCGCTTTTTTAATATATGTACAAAAAGCAGATAAAGAAAACCATGATTTTGGTGTTTGGTTTAGGGGTTAAGAGAAGTGAGGTTATTGGAGGAGTTGGATTTGTCAAGAATAGACCACATGACAAGAACGTCGTCGTATCCACAAGCCATGACTTCTCCTTGAAGCTCTCTTACCATCCTCCTCTCGTGCTCTTCCCTCGCTTTCGCATCCATTCTTCCACCACGACAACCTTTTTGTGGTGATTGCTGCGGTTGGTTGAAGAACGTTGCTGCCTTCTTGAATGGTGTTGCTATTGTTTTCTTCCATGATGCCATTTTTTGTTTTTCTTTTCTATTTTTTTTGTTTACTCAGTTCTTGAAACAAATGAAACCTTCTTCTTCTTCCAATCAGAGATTCGGATTGGGAGAGCTCGAGAACGACTTGTTATGTCTATTTATACACACACACACATACTCTCTCTCTCTCTTCTTCTTATGATGGATTATAATATATAATAGTTCTTATTAATAAACTAAAGAGTAATTAGTAATGCTAAAGCAAAGGGGAGGGAGAGAGAGGCAAGATCCGCAATAAGAGCTTCCAAGAAACATCACTTTTGTTTTTTTTTCTTCCTATATTAACTTTTAACTTTATGTTATCCATTTAACATCGTTTAGGCCTCTCCCTACCCTCCCACATGCCTCCCCACGTGATCTCTTCATCTCTTTCTTTTTTAGTTTTACCACACACACATTATCAATTTCTCTCTATTTTACATTCAATTCGACAAGTTGTGTAATAATATCATGTAACCAAACCGGAAACCGAATCAATATATACATATAACATACGGGGAGCAGATGGAGTCAAGAGTTTGCCTTTTCCCACTCCTTGGTACTGACAACACCAAATGCTTCACTGCATTTTCTCATTCCCATCCACTTCCAATCGGTTTATATGTGTCCATCTCCCTTTTTTCTTTATTTCTTATCCATCTTTCATTAATTTTAGATGTTTCAATAGCTCATCTAGCAAACTAATAGCCTTATAAGCGAGAGTTAAATTCGACGTACGGGTTATAAAACTTAGAAGTTTACTATTTTATGAAGCACACATATCTGATAAAGATGTTTCTATTATTTATTATTTAAACTACACTCATATTAGTTTATGTAGGTACTAACCAAAAATTCAGTAATCCACAGCGAAATGGAATCGTGATTAATTTATGTTAATTCAAGTTAAGTTAGTTTGATCAAATTTGGTGGCTAGAAAATGGTAAGAATGTTAAAAATTTAAAGGACCAATGAATTAGAGGATTGAGGTGGGCACAGATTGGTCAGAAAATAGCCCATGTGAATTTCACATGTTTCTCTGCTTCTCTATCTTACCTTCTTTTCATAAAACTCTTTGTATTTATGATTAAATTAGATACGCAATATTTTTTTACTCAGACTTAGATATACATACTGTATCAGAATGATAAGTTATCCACTTAATCTACGAAATTTTAGATACAAGAAAATTAAATTGTTCTTATTTGATTTAACCGATATTCAGATTGGTTATTCAATTAATTAACAATCTTTTATTCGGATTAAACATTCTAAATTCAGCCGTATGCACGCACCAAACTACAAGATTCCTTTTTCATATTTACGATACATTTATGTCTAGTTTAAGTAAAAGGGAGCCCGAATAGTTAAATTAACGTAGCTTAAAAGTTATGCTTTAGTTTTCTTTCTTTTGATATTGGTTTTAAAATTAAGAAATGCTTGTAAAAGCATCTTTTGCATGAGAGGAACAGTCGCAGTGCATGTATCATCTTCTCGTTACAATAGAATCTGTTGTTTTTATTAAAATCCTCTTACATGTTAATATTTTTCCGGAATTATTAAAATCTGACTATCCTCCTTTAAATTGTTTTATAGCATCCCACATGACAGCCAACGGACTCTGCTCATTGGTGCGTAATTATTTTCCTCTTTGTCTCAAACTTTTTAATTGATATTATAATATGAAGAAAAAGAGTTAATATATAAATATTGTAGAACATGATTTGGTTCGTGGTTCTATGATCACACATTCGGAGGTACCCTCGAGACACGATTGATTTAATCAAATAGTTATATAACTTTTTTGGGGGGTTAATTATTGGTTATAACTTATAGATGTGGTTTTCGTTCTTTTACTATTAGTTTTTTGCATCTCATTTTAAACTGGTGATAATAATTCAAAGAAACAAAAAGACAAATTCCTGCAACTTACAGAATTCGAATCATGATGATTAGATGGTATTTCTCATGTTAAAAAAAAAGTTTTTCTAGTTAGAAAAAATATATTGTATATTAAATCTAGAAATGGTGATGCGAATAAATCAAATGAATTATATGCCATGCAGCGGATTGATCGTTCTAATTTTGACCGTATCCGTATGGATTTGCTATCTTTTCTCAAAATGTTAGGTAGTCAGATTCAAAAATACTGTTATAACTTTAACCAAAAAAAAAAAGTACTGTTATTAAGAGAGTAACGTAATTGAGGATATAAGAAATTGAAACGGAAAATCTAATGAGTGACAGAGTGAAGAAGTACAAAAAGAGGAGCTAATTGTTTGTTTGTTTGTTGACTGATGAACACAGAGTGACGAGTTTGGTCGGTCCGTAAATTAGGTGACTTTTGTACGAATTTCCGGTGCCTCCTCCCAACTCTGACTTCCTCTTCTTCTTTTTTTCTGTTTTACTTTTTCTTTTCTCTCTTTCACACTTTCCATTTAATTTAAAAACATATATTTGTGTAATTTTTTTCAATTCTTTTGAGAATAAGATGATATAAGCTTTGACTATTGAATTATGGGTTTGCGTTTTCTGACGAAAATATAAAGTTATATATCCCTGAATTCTGTTATGGATGTAAGATATGTTTGTCATTGATTCCTACTGTACTTCAAGATTTGAAGTGTCATTGTACTTGTTACGCCGACAAATAAATAATAACTTTTACAGGTGAATAAGTCGTCATTTGTATTATGAGATTTATTAGGAAGAAACTTAGTATAAAATAACTTCACACAAACACAAGTTGTTATATACAGAAGATGAAACCAGGCGTTGTGAACTTGTTATCGAGTTGTTAATCAAGTTAACTTGTTATCTTAGTTAATCAGTCACCAATTAGAAGAAGTTAGTCCATATTTCAAGATCCATCCGAAAATGGTTTTCAACCGAGAACTTTGACAAATTTTAAACCGGGAAAGAAAGCCCACGGGTTTACAACTTTATAGACTTAGGTCTATGGGTCGATATTTTTTTTCATTTTTTGGATAATCAAGTCTAAGGGCCTGCTCATATTAACAATATTTTTGTTTTCCAAAAAAGATCTAGCCTTTTCCATAAAAATGCTGTAGTTGGTGCAAAATTCGATTTCCAATTCGTTAAAGATCTTAACATCATACATTATAATGATAAGGTTATGAAAACTGTATTTTCATACAATTACGTATAAGTGGTATAACGTAATGATGTTAACAAAGAAAACTTAGTTTTCTTAATTAAATTTGATAGGGAAATGTAATTACGTTTTTTTTTTAAATAGTAGAATACATAATAAGTCAGAAAAAAGATTTCCAGTACAAATTTTAATTTTTTAATAGACAGTGCGAGCCGAGAACTTATAAATCATCATTATTATTACATAAGTAACCAAACGTAAGACGAATATATGTAGTAAATCTAACAAACACAGGCTTTGATAGTTGTTTACCATGAACTAACACAAGATTTAGACCCAAAAAAACTAACACAAGATATTGAAAAGAAAAAAAAAACATGAAGAAGCAGAAAAGAAAGGCAGAACATGGAAAAACAATTCAAGGAGGGGTTTTGTAATCAGGATCAGAGACTCGGTTCTCATAGAACTTAGCAATAAAAGAAGTGGCTCTTCTATCGACCCCTGGCTCAGCGATCCAAAGCCGGCCATCTTCATCACTGGTCATGATTCTTGACCTTATGATCACTCCTTCTTCGCTCCAATCATCTCCACTGTTCGAACAGCACGGTAACATAGCTCTTATTACGGAAAACGTTGACGATTTCTTGCTCCTACCCATCTAGTTTTATCTTATGTATACAATCACCCAATTTAAACATATGGTTATATACAACTAAGTTTTCGTATTTATAGGAAGGGAAAAAGAGAGAATATATAGGAAGTAGCTAGGACATTGTGAGATACAAATACAGCCTCTCGTGTATACAATATGCCTTTAACACGTACGTACATTCGTATCTCTATATATAATATATGATCTATACGAGGTTTAAAATAACATTCTTGTCCAGAGAAAATGCATTGGAGACCGACCGATGGGTGCATGGCTGTAAAAGTGAAGAACTTCTTTTGAGATGAGAATAAGTTCTCATCCTTTGCATGTACAGTATCATGTGGAACGGAGGATTCAATTATATATTTAAATAGTTTATAAAGTATACAATTTAATGTCAATGATGATAGAGATATATGCTCTTCATCATGTATTTAGCCGTATAATAATCAAGCCTATGTCTATACTACCAAACTATATTCTTCAGCTTTTGTCTTCTTTGTTTTCCCCCTAGTGTATATGGTTGATTTGCCCGAACCAACATTGATATTATTCAACAAGCTACCCCACTATTTAAATTATATGTTCAAAAGCTTTATTATAAGCTTTTTCCATTATAATTGATTTTCTAATTAGTTAAGTTTTGTCACTTTTAATATTCAATGAAATTCTGAACTATACAATAATCGATCTAATTAAGGGATCCATATACATTGTTGTACAATGTTTTAATAAGTGGCTGTTGGTGCAATGGTGCTACATGTATCCACTATATATAGCCACCTAAAAGAAATTTAAATAAGTATGATCTATCTATCTCTTTAATACAAACTAGAAAGGCAATACTTGTCAATATTTGTGATCTCATTGATCATTATCTTGAAAAAGAAAGCCTTAAAGATTAGATTTTCTAAACTAAAACTTAAAAGCTGTGTAATTAATGTACTGTCGGAGTCTATAATATATTGGGGATTGTTGGATTTGGCTTTGAACTTGACCCATGCTTTCTACAATCTTGTTGAAACAACAATACGTTGTCGTTCTTTCTGCCCGTATGCTTCCATCCGAGACTGCGTCTTCTTCTTCTTCTTCTTTTTCACAAAACAGAGTAATTTTCACCGAGCTATCTCATAACCTGCTCCCAAAACTCATCATCATTTGAACAGAAGCTCTGTAGTATAAATTAGGGCTTTAGACGTGGTGAAAATGACTTAGTTATGTGTGTAAAAGATTGTTGAGACATTTTGATTTTTGGTTGGATTTAGTAACTTGGTTAGCACAGATTTCTGGTTTAGTTCATGGTTCACTTTTTTTCTTCTGCATAGTAGAATCGTTGTATGTAAAAGATTATCGAGGCATTTTGATTTTCAATGAGAAAAAAAAAAGAACAGGAAAGGGTTATTTTTTCTTTCTCACAGGGATTCTCCAAAAAGTGGTGAGATGAATCTGTTTCTCATTTACTGTGTGTTTCAAGATGTGTTTTGTGCTTCAGACTTTTTCATGAAACATCGTCATACTTCAATGTATCAAAGCAAAGGTCTGATGTAACACCGAAAGTCCCTCTTCTCTTATAACTGATTGCCTTTAAAATAATCACAGTGAGATGGACGCAGAGTTTGTCCAAATCTCTCTTTTCAAGAAATGAAAACTTGGTGAAATCTTGTTTTTTTCAAAAGTAAAAAGAGTAACAAAGAAAATCCAGCTACTCTGTTTAGCTAAACAGAAACAACACTAATTGATAATTGACTAATCTCGTTCAAAGAAACTAGGTAACTGAATCAGCTAGTCACCTTTAATCTGTTCTGCCTCCAGGACTTCTTTGCATTGCCGGAATTTGAACCAAAGTAGGAACATAACTGACGAGAAGTGGATCAAGGGAACGTGGTCTCCTTGTCGGCTCTCTATACACTTGTTTATATATATCCTCTCCAGCAATGTAAAGTCTGGTCCTGCCACCATCCTCATCGTCTTTATCACAACACATGACCGTTTTATTCTCCTCGTCCACCAAGAAACTCATCACCCTCGTCATACCATTTAAACCAAGTTCATCGAAATCCACTTCTAAAAATTCGCTCCACGAATAGTCTTCGGCGTCATCAGTCTTAGTATTGGCCAACCATATCTTCATCTTAAAATCAAAGTTTTCAAACGGCTGATGTAACACCGCAAGTTTCTCTTCTCTGACAACTGATAGAGCTGCAACCAAATCAGGATCACCATCACTCTCAAAAGGAAGGGGCAGGCGTCCAAATGTCACTGTAGTGAAATCAAATCTGAGTATGAAATTAACCAGAGAGTCTCCTCTACCATCTGAAGCTAACCAGTAAGTATTTCCCTTTAAAGACACTCTTTCGTTCCAATCAACTGATCCAACAGAACCCTCCATGAATCATAGTTGAAGTCATAAATCTCAAACTTAGAAGCTGTGAGGTTCTGGTCGGTGCGATAATAGCTACAGCTCAAGATTTTGTAGCTCACGCACGGTTTCTTGTTGCTTTTTTCGTACCCTAGAAAATACTTAGGTCTAGATAATCTGGAGGATGGGATCCATCTGGTTTGACCAGTACAAGGGTTCCAAACCACGAGTCTATTCTCTTTCGTCTTGCATAACAACAAACCCTCACAGTGAAAGATTTCTGATACCTCGACGTCTTTTGAATCCTTTACACTCTTGAGTTTACCTGTAATCTCGATAGATTGCACGTACTCGCTGGAGATTCCACGGAGATCGAAGCTAAATGAATAAACCGATCGATCTACCTTTAAGACCATCTGCGTTGCTGCTTTCCCCAAGTTCTTCTTGATAAAGCTCGGATCTTTAGAAAAAGCATCCCATCTTTTGCAAGCAATTCGCAACTGTTTAACAAATGTGACCGGAACCCTAGAGAGTATTTCCGATTCCAGTTCCCGTGGGAGATCGGAAATCATCATTGTTTCTCCTTTGATCATTGTTTCTCCTTTGATCTCTGACCTGAACCTCCCAAGGAAGAATAGCGACAGAGCAAGGAACGATTAGGGCTTTATGTTTTCATATTAACAATTGGTATCTCTACATATATATAAGGAACTCTGAGGGTGCCGCCCAAAAAAGGAAATATAATAGTCAATTAGCACGGCATAGAATGCGCTACCGAAAAAGGAAAAGACAGAGAAACACATAAAGGTAGATTTAACACAAAATAGGAAACGCTTATGTGAAAACGCTTGATTTGATTTTCGCTGAGTAGCGTGGGGGTGGTGATTTTGGATTATATGATATATTTCTTTAGATGATTGTGTTTGGACAGAATGTTAAACCTTGAAGAACAGAGAATGAGTTCAATAAGAGTATTCGGAACATAGGGAGATCAATCTATTGATGTATTTCTCCATTGAAGTTACTTCCCTTTGTTCTGGCTCTCCAAAACCAATCATGTGATGTGTAACTCGCTCTAAGTAGTCATAAACAATGTATTTGAGTATAGATCACTAGATCATCACCAATCCATTTTTCAAACAAAAAAAGCAAAAGAACAGGTGCAAAGAGAAGCTTTATCCAGTTACTCTGTTTATTAAACTAAATAGAAACACCCACTACAAAAAGAAAAGCTTTTCCTTCAATAATTGACTAATCTCGTTCAAAATGAACACATTACCAAAACCAGAAGCAAGGAAAAAACTAGTAAGTGATTCATTCCACTAACCTCCTTGTTCTTCTTTTCCTTTTGCCTCTGACTGTATCTTTCTGAATGCGAACCAAACTTGGAACATAACTGAGGAGAAATGGCCATCTACAAAATTTGCCCTTTGTACTCTCGTTGAAAACTTCAAACATCAAAATTTTTCACCAACAATGTGAATTCTGGTCCTATCTCCATAATCCAAGTCTATATCACAACACACTGCCACTTCATTCTCCTCATCCAACAAGAAATTATCAAGATCAAGAGTCATCGCTTCTTCATCATCTATCATAAATTCCAAATCCACTACTAAGAATTCGCTCCACGACACCTCTTTTCTTTCCCTTGAGAAATCTTACTGCTAACCCATATCTTCGCCTCTGATGAGGACGACTCAAAACTCCGATACAACACAGAGAGTTTTTCTTCCCTAACAACTGATGAAGCCGCAGTATCTTGAAGATTAGTACTCTGAAACGGAAGAGGAAGACGCCTAAATCTCTCTGTCGTGAAATCAAAACTGAGCAGGAAAAGTCCGGTTTCCTCGTGGCAAGCAAGCCAATATGCATTTTCTCTCATAGACACGCCCAAGGATGACGATAAGGTGAATTTCACAGCTAAACCATCAATAACCCTCCACGAATCAGAGCTAAAATCATAGATTTCGAACTCGGAAACATAGGTTTTCTGCAATGAGATCTCATAACAGCGAAGCAACAATACTTTGTAGCTATTGTTTCCGTATCCTAGAGCAAAGGTATCAAAAACATTTTCTGGGCTCGATCCATCTCGTTTCACCGTTACAAGGATTCCAAACCACGAGCCTAGGCTTCCTTCCCATGGTGGTGCACAATATCAATCCGTCGCACTGAAAGATTTTAGATACTTTGATGTTTTTTAGTTTACCTGTAAATATTCACAGATGGGTAAACTCCGAGATGAATTCCATGGACATTGATCCTAATTGAATAAACGATGGAATTCATCAGTAAGATGACCTCCCTTGCTGCTTCACTACCCGAATTGTTCTTCTCGATGAATCTCGGATCTTTGAATAAAGTGTACCATCGTTTGCAAGTGGATTTCAATTTTTCTAGAGACTTCGCCGGAACTTTGGAGAGTATTTCCGATTCCAAATCGTGAGGAAGATCGGAAATCATCGTCATTGTTTCTGACTGCAAATGGGGAATCAGGGCATTTGCTTTATTTATAAGTTTCGCTTACAAAAAGCCCAATAAAGTTTTGCTTACAAAAAGCTCAATTAGTAGCCCATAACTCACTAAACCGTGAAGTTATACCGGAACAATTTTATTTGTAGGCCATTCGCAATACATTTTGATTATTATCTTGTTTTGAATTATTTGATTCTACTGCTACATGTACAGTCCAAGATTGAACAATGTGTTTGAAACTGATTCCACCACTGAGTTACTATTTTTTAAAGTAAGAGTATGGAATTTAGTGAAGATTTGTTATCCATTGTTTTTAAAATAAATAAGACGTGGATTGGATACTGTTAAGGAGATAAGAATTAAAAATGTCTTGAAAGCCTTTTTCAAGTCGGCAGAGTAACACGTGTAAAGAAGCACGGAACACGAATCCTAGATCGAAACGCCAGAAGAAGTCGGTACGCGCCACGTCCTTGGACACGTGTTAACAACCCATCTCGTTTTCTACTATACATAACAGAGCAATCACATTTACCAATCCTCGAAGAAAAATCCACACAGAGCTTTTCCTGAGAATCATAAATCGTAATTTTGGTTATCGATTGATTAGTGTTGAAGTAAAAAAATGGGTTTAGGGAGGAGAGTGCACGGTTTGGTTATGGTATCTTTGGTACTTATGGCCATTGTAACGATGTGTTGTGTCCAAGCAACCACCGAGGAAGAAGCGGCTAAAGATGAATCATGGACTGATTGGGCCAAGGAGAAGATCGGTCTGAAACACGAAGAGGACATCGCTCAGGAAGCGACTGATAAGGCCAGGGACGCTAAAGACGAGGCCACACGCAAAGCAGAGGAAGCGGTAGGAGCTACGAAGGAGAAATCGGAAAGGGCTTACGAGACAGCGAAATCGAAAGCCGGCGAGACTATTGGTTCCGTGAAAGACAAGGGAACGCAGAGCTACGATACAGCCGGTCAAGTGAAAGATGACTTGACTCACAAGTCAAAAAAGGTTAAAGACAGTTTGTCGGGAGACGAAAGCGATGAGACGTGGACTGATTGGGCTAAAGAGAAGATCGGAATCAAGCACGAAGACGATGAAAACTACCCTAACGTGGGGGACACGGTGTCGGAGAAGGCTAAAGAAGCTAAAGACGCAGCTAAACGCAAAGCGGGAGAAGCTAAAGGAAGGTTGGAAGAAACGGTTGAGACGGCGAAGGAGAAAGCTAGCGATTTCACGAGTGCGGCTAAGGAGAAGGCGGAGAAGTTGAAGGAGGAAGCGGAGAGAGAAAGCAAGATTGCGAAGGAGAAGAGTAAAGAAAGCTACGAGAGCGCGAAATCCAAATCCGATGAGACTTTGGAGTCTGCAAAAGATAAAGCGTCTCAAAGCTATGATTCAGCTGCTAAGAAATCGGAGCAAACTAGAGATACCGTCTCTCACAAGTCAAAACGTGTTAAAGACAGCTTGACCGACGATGATGCTGAGCTCTAAAATTTGTGTTTTTTTTCAAAAAAAAAAAGTTGTCGAGGAGTATAAACAGCTTTTGAGATGGGTTATGTTGCTTTTTCTTGTTCCTGATGTATAAATATGTATCTTGTATGAATCTGTTTTCATGTTTCTTTTCTTTCTTTTTTGGTTTCGTTGTGCATCGATCGGTTGATCTCTTAGGGTATACATATATCGTATGTTTTAAATTAAGAGGCTAGTTGCAGTTGGTTGGGCCTGATTAGTGAGTTTCATTGGCCCAAAGTCTTTTGAGATAAGATTTTGGAAATTGATTAAAAAGTCTTTTGAGTGAAGAAGCATAATCACAATAATATGAATATTCATATCTGAATTCATTTTTTTTTTTTAATTATCTGAGGACTGTCCGAGGAAGCATACATACTAATTTACCGATTAGCCATTAGCGTAGTTAATTTAAGCCTACTTTTGCTTTGATGTTAGTTAAATATGTTAATAATTGGAATCTGTTGAAACATGGATTAAACATAAGATAAACACGTAGGTTGTATATTAATTAACCTTTCCCTTTATTTATCGTTTGGCTTTTGCCCCCACTCCAGTAGTCGAGTAGTGGCTGGTGGGAGGAAGTGGATTGCTCACCTCACATCACAAACTTATAATAACAATACACTAAGCTCTTTTTAACCATAACGTAGTTCACTTTTCCAAATTAAATTAAATTATAACCTCGACAATCATTTTGTTAGTAAAAATAAAAATAATAGTATTCAACTTTCTTTTTAATTGCCAAAAGGGTTTTCTAATTGTTTTCAGCTTTCACTTTTTGCTTATGTCAAATGCGACAAATGGCTTTGCTTTCTCCTTTCTTGTTCCCAAGGGTTATAGATTCATTTCCGCGTCAACCAAATGTATAATTTAGCGTATCGTATTATATACCATCCCGTGTACTTTTGAGTTTCTTAATGCTACTAGCTATTAGTAAATTATATTACAATAAGTTATTGCATTCACCTGAATATAGGGCATCCAGTCTGGTTATGTTGATTATATGTATCGAATACCAAACGTAAACCATATCAATGAAAACCATATGAAATCGGAAAATAAGTATTCGGATTCGATATTTAATGTAAAAACGTTTTTTAGATTAACTAAACTTACATTCACTTGAAAAAAAAAAAAAAAATCAGATTCGGTCTTCCTTTTGTGTTCGAACTACCCATATCCGACACCAAATAAATAAATAAACTTACAAAGATAAATAAATTAAAATCTCAATCTTTTTGAAGGATTTTGAGTTGATTTTTTTAAAAAATCGAAACTGAACTACAACGGAATCCAACCAATACCAATTAATATATGTTTCTCTATTTCATACCTAAAAATTCAAGCCAACCGAAACCCAAAATCGTGTATGACCCTAATTTTGTCACTAACTAGTACTCACATTATTATTTTAGAATTAAATCGAAAGACATGAATCTATAGTATTACTATTACCTATAGTATTACTATACCTAGTGTTAATTATTGGGAATAGGATTCGGTAGACATCATGTTTCGATCTTGATTTTTAGTTGGATCTCTTCGTAAAACCGATAAAATAATATTGATTTTGTATCACTTTTGTTTTTTTTTCTTTTTCCTTTCCAATTGATGTATCTTAGAATTATACAAATTAAGCTTCCAATTTGGCATTCTTGGGGTAGACATAAACTAGACTTGTCTCTTCGTCAATGGAAAGGTTTGTGTCATGCGTCTATTTTAAAAATGTATAAGATAGGACATGTATATGTGGATTGAGTTTGGATAAGATTCGTAAAAAAAAGAGACTGATTTATCCATTTAAGAATTATTTAATGGGTCGCTTTTAGGAAAAAACCTATGTTAAACTAAGTTTATTTAAATATTGATCACAATATTTATTTGAACACTCTATAAATTGACGTTTAATTATTGTTATGGAATCTAAGATCCTTTTGGAACTTAAGTTATTGGCTATCACTTATCACAAAGTCTCCCTATTCTGTATACTATTATATATTTAATTAAGTGCGTTAACGTCTACAGATAAAGAATATTCCCCACAATTTAACATGGAATTTATAACCTCCAAAACAAATTTCAACATGGAATTTTAATCTCCATACAAACTTAGAAATAAAATAAGGCGAACATTTAATTTTATACAAGACAACTTGACGAAGAAAAGAGAAATACAGTATCAAACTTAGTGCAGATAAATCAAACTATATTTATATTTATAAAACCTTGTGGTATTTTATATTCATGTTAAATTTGTGGCATTTGGTATTTATTCCAACTATTTTTTTTTTTATATTTGTCACTTGTCCCTGCAGAACGATATTCTTTTTTCATTTTTTTTATGGTTCCATCTTCATTTATTCCATAATAGTCTAGTGGAACGTAAATATAGATTCAAAAAAAAAAAGGAACGTAAATATAGGGGATTTAGGAATTCAAGATGTTTGAATCTCATATTGCTAATGAAATCAGTTTTAGCATATAATATATAAAGATACAAGATATATCACTCATCACTAACTGATTTTATGTTGCAGGTACAAAATCTCTTAAATTAGCAAGATTTTTTTTTTTCACTTAAAAGGATACTTTTCTTAGCTCAAAATTTATGTATGAATATGGTAAATCTAGACAAAAATGAGCGAAATGGTTAATTTCACATATAACACTGAATATTGGATTCTATTTAGATAGGTTAGTATACGTATATTCTTTATTGAAATCGCAATAAAAGCTTAACAATCCAGGATGTCAAAACGACATCCTAACCTTAATCTTTACCTCATTAAATTGATATTAAATTGAAAACTTGGTTGTGACTTGTGATTGACCAAAAAAAAATTAAAAATTGGTTGTGTTTTAGTGTTTAATTCTTATCTCCAATGAAAACAAGATGCAGATCGTTGAAAGTTGAAACCTGTTTAAGAATTGTTTTTTTAATAAATATTTTCGTATATGGATTCAAACATTTTTTGCTGTACGCAACAAAACATGACGGGCCTGCATCCTAAAATCATCTACCAAAACCTTCCGAGTTCTGATATATATTCCCATATATAACCTTCCGGTGGGATATGTATACCACCAAATATTTTACCAATGATCATTCAAATGATTTGGTAGGGCTAAGAGTTTTCTTACTTGATCATTGTCATATACGAATACAATTAATCATAGGTAATACGCCAGGAGCCTAGGACCCGCTTACGATTATTATGGATACAACCAAATTTAGATGCGAGACTTTCTACTCAGACATACAAAGGGGCCACTTATTTAGATACCAAAATATGTATATATACACATTTATAGATCACTCTCACATGGGCACACAAATTTTATACGAGTTCAACTGCCTTTTTTGAGGTCAAGAATGTCACAATGTGGCTACTCTAATCGCCTGTCGTGTCTTTTTTTTTTTTTTCTGTCATTTCGTGTAGTTTCAATATTTGGCCTCTTACTCTATCATGCATGGTTTCTTCCAATTTCATGTGGTTAACTAGCTTTCATCTAACTAGTTTACATTTAATTTAGGATATAGTGTGCGGTGTACGCAATTATAACTATCAATTTTTGAAATTTGAGGAAAATGTTTTACTTATAGTAATGTTCACGTACATATCCACTAAGTTGATAATACAAGTAAATCACCAGTGAAATTTGATTTTTGATCTAAAAGGTGATAAAAATTTTTTTGGCATATGAAATTTATGACCTAAAAAATTCGTGGTGGCTTTTATAATATATGGAATGGTTGTCACTTGATCGTACGTGTTAGTGATGGTAAGGAATTTAGTATGTATATTTCTACCATCATATAATGGATAATTCGTGATTAAAGCCATCTTAAAACGAACTAAACTTAGTAATATATCCACTGGCCACCTAACACAGCAGACATGAAGCATAATGCATTTGATTCATAAGTTATTTAATGAGTCATTGATAGAAAGGAGACGGAGTTGATACATACACATCTAAATCTATAGAGATATAGGCATATAGCCCACAAACACCAAATCATAAACAAAGCTTGGACGCACTAACACATCATTTGTGAGGCTAAAATGGTTCCTTAAGCGACAAGTAGTCGCATCCGAATACGGCGCTAGTAAATGTGGTAACCCAGTGGATGATGAGAAAACGAGGAAACTATGCTAAAAGTATACATTTATTACGTTGGTTATACATCTAAACCTATAGAGTATATATAGTCCACAAACACCAAATCATAAACAAAGCTTGGACACACTAATACATCATTTGTGAGGCTAAAATGGTTCCTTAAGCGACAAGAAGTCGCATCCGAATACGACGCTAGTAAATGTGGTAACACATTAGATGATGAGAAAACGAGGAAACTATGCTAAAAGTATACACTTATTACGTTGGTTATAATGAAAAGAGAGGTGATGTGTGTTTCATTATATCTTTTTACTTTTTAGGCACATAACCAATTCCCTCTAAAAGTTTGGGAAATATAAGTTTAAACTCTTACAAATTTGTATATTATAGTTATTTCAAATATTAAAAATGGATGATATGTGAACCTTAGAACAAAAAAAATTGAGAAGTATTGAATAAGAGTAAATCATCTAGTAATATTTTATTTAACATGTTGAGATAACCTAAGTTAGGGATTTAATTTGTCCAACATGCATGCAAACATACATAAAAAATTGACAAGAAATTTTATTTTCTTAATTTAAATACCAACCATACGGCATAAGAAACGAGAAAACTAAGTTAGGGATTTAATTTGTCCAACATGCAAACATAGATAAAATTGACACGAAATTTTATTTTCTTAGTTTAAATACCAACCATACGGCATAAGAAACGAGAACAAAAAAGATGGACATGTTAGTTTTTCATTGCTCTCTTTCAGAAACAAAAATAAAATAAAAATAAAAATTTGTGGTTGGAAAAAACATAGAAGACATCAACCACATGGCTGCAATGGCCACACTAGTCAGTCATCAGTTGGTTGTTCGATTCACGTGCTCTCTTCCACCGTTCTCAAATATCTCATTTCCGTCTTCTCTAGCCACGTCTTTGAATCTAGATAATTTCTAAATCATGTTTTATAACTTGGAAAATCGAAGCCGTATTAAATTTTGTTTTATTACGTATGGACCAGTTATGTTATTACGATAGCCACTGACCACCGAAATGGTGTTTTTTTAGGTAGACAACATTTCTATGATTGATTTTGTGCGCATCGAGCGTATGGTGCGTTAGTTTAATATCTTGTAGAATTTGTTTAGATATATTTGGAACCATATCTTCTAATTTGGTTTATTGCTAACATTTCCTTCCAATTCTAATGGAAACATATATACTTTTTGTGATTCTTCTCAGTGTGTATGAACATGAACATTTTGGAAGTTTATGATTTCTTACGCAATTGATAAATTGATGTTTTTCTGTGTTTTTGTAAAAGCTATATGATCGAAGCCAAGTTTAAGTTGAGTTAAATAGTATCTAAATGCTACTGATAAATTTTGGTTAGAAAGTAATCCAAATGGAAATTCAAACTGTACCAAACTTGAGAAAACAATATAGAACAAGTTTCTATATTTGTTATAAAACAGGAAAATCTAAAATGTGAAACCAAATCAAAACTGCTCCAGAAACAATATCTAAAAATGCAACAATCTTTCGAATCTCTTATACTGTATTACTAATTATTATCTAATTTCAACATAAAACTAATGCAACAAATAACGTGGGCCCATAGAGATGCCTACAAGTACACGTATATATCATGATGAATATTTTTATACTTATATATATATATATATATATATATCTCTCTTTTTCGTTAAATGGTTTACAACTAACTTATATATTATCGCAAATACATTCCAACAAAAGTAATTTTAGATACTCTGTCTCTGTGCATGAATTATATACTTTTTAATTCAACTAAAGAAGTTCTGTGTTGACAAAAGTAAAAATAAAAACGAGTTCATTTTTTCCCTATATTTAAAATATTTCATTTAGAGGAGACACATTGGACCAATCACACATTATCTCGAATAGTACTTGGTAAAAAAAAAATTGTTTCGAAACTAATTTTAAATTTAGATTAGTCAGATTTTTATTTTTTTGTGACAACTTCATTAGTCAGATAAATATGTTTATGTTTTTCTTCATCGACTATAAATATTCTGATTGTTATCCAATAAATATGGTTATTGTTATCCAATTAAAATCTGTTTAACAAGGAAACAAAAAAAAAGAAATAAATTATTATTTGCTGAGTAATATATTTCAGAAATAAAATAAATGGGAATATAAGGAAGAGAGGAAGCAATGAGAAGTGGCGTCCTCTCTTCAAATTCAACCGGCACTTCCTTCATCTCTTCTTCTTCTTCCCAATCTTCGTCTCTTCGGATATACTTACACCTATATATATATATATATATATATCTCCCTCATACATACCTGATACCTACACAGCTAAATCCATATCCATAAATCATAATCGAATTAAGCGATCAAATTGGTTCTCTGTTTTTTTTTTGGGAAATTTGTAAATTGGTGAGATCGGAAATTGTGATTGGATGGTGAGAAAGGAAGAGGAGGAGAGGAAGAAGAAGGTGGAGGAGGCGAGGAAGGGAATGCGTCTGGGGAAATACGAGCTTGGGAGGACGCTCGGCGAGGGTAATTTCGGTAAAGTTAAATTCGCTAAGGATACCGTCTCCGGTCAATCGTTCGCCGTTAAGATCATCGACAAGTCTCGTATCGCCGATCTCAACTTCTCCTTGCAGGTTTGATTTCGCGTTTTTCCCGATAAGATCGCCGAGAGAGATTTTGCCGGATCCAATTTTTTATTTTTTTTAAAAAAGCTCTCTCGTTTTGAATTTTTTGCAGATAAAGAGAGAGATCCGGACGCTGAAAATGCTGAAACATCCCAACATTGTCAGATTACACGAGGTGCGTCTTGTCCAAATTAATTTGTGTAAATCATTCTAAAAACGTAATCTTCCTGGATTATCGAATGATTCTTTGATGATTATGTTAATTAAGTTATAGCAACTTGGATTCGTTTGTTTGCTTGCGGTGTAGGTTCTGTTTTTTTAGTACCTGAGTCTGACAAGAGGACATAATAGTAAATAAAATTTCTGAATTATTGTTTATGGTTACTATCCATTAAAAATTTGATTCATTATCGCCTGAAAAAAAAAAGTTAGATAATCGGGTCTGTGGATTACTATTTTTAGTCTCTCAGTGGTTTTTTTTAATATCTTATCTTATAAAACAAAAGTGATTAGAAGAACTTGCTGACAGGATTGAACATCAAATTTCTCTGAAAATTGTTGTTTGTTTTGGGTCTTTTGAGAACATCTCTTACATAGAGATTATGAAATTTGGTCATCAATTTCCTTTAGCTTGTTTTTCACGTTGCCAATTAGCCCACTGTTTACATAAAAAATATTATTTTCTTAGTTAATTATTCATTCCATTATCGATCGAGAACGTTGGCTTGGCTGATAACTAAAAAAAATATGAACTTTTCAACGGAAGGTGGGTCCCAAATATGGTCGTGAAAAAATGGCGCTGATTGATCATACATAATTGCCTAATCTTAGGACCTTTTTTAAGCTTTTATCATATGTATGGACCCACTTTGATCTTATGCATACGCTACTTATTCTTCTTTTCATGATAATACTAATATATTAATATTCAGATTATTATTTGGGTGTTGCTGTACCTTTGGGTTAAAAAAGTGGAGGACGTTTATTGTTGACTTCTAATTATCTCATTTCTTTGAGTTGCTTTGCCTTGTAACACGAGTTTAATCTTTGACTTTTTCGTCAAGCAACCGATTTATTGGATATACGTGGTCCAAGCTTGAGGTCGCGTCTAACGTTGTCGTGTTTCATCTTGTAAATTTCTCTAAGTGTTTACTGTTTAGGGAAAATCTTTGTATATGATTGATAACGTATTTTTACCTTTTTTTATTAGGAGCAATCTTGTTGATTTCTAAACATCTTATCTCAGAATTCACATTTCCCTCTCTTTTTTTTTCTTGAACTTAATGGGTCGCTTCCTTATGGTTGGTCATCATGCAGGTCTTGGCTAGCAAAACGAAAATTTTTATGGTCATGGAATGTGTCACCGGAGGAGAATTGTTCGACAGAATTGTAAGACCCTACTAGCTTCTCTGCTCAAAACAAAGCTCTTACTTTTTTCTTTAACATTATAAGTAGTTTTTTTAGTTAAACTCACCTTCTAATATAATAACTCACAGGTTTCCAAAGGAAAGCTTTCAGAAGCCGAGGGAAGAAAAATGTTTCAGCAGCTGACCGATGGAATCAGCTACTGTCACAGCAAAGGTGTTTTCCACAGGGATCTCAAGGTCCGTGCTTCTCACGTTTTCCAAAACCATGAAAAAAAGCTATGAAATAGTGCTCTGATGTTTCCACTTTATCCATATTGCAGCTAGAGAATGTTCTTCTTGATGCAAATGGACACATTAAGATCACTGATTTTGGCCTCAGTGCTCTGCCTCAGCATTTCAGGGTACTTGGATTTTTCATTTTATATCGTTAACATCATCAGAAAACAAAATATTGTTGAATCGACCATATGTAAGCTCTCACTAATTCTCTCTTTGGCATTTTAGGATGATGGGTTGCTACATACAACCTGTGGAAGTCCTAATTACGTTGCACCTGAGGTTTTAGCAAACAGAGGCTACGATGGTGCAGCATCAGATATATGGTCGTGTGGTGTAATCTTGTATGTGATTCTTACTGGATGTCTTCCTTTTGACGATAGAAACCTTGCAGTTCTTTACCAGAAGGTAAACCGCCTCTTCTCTTTGATATTTTCGATTGGACACACATTTTGAAGGAACAAGCTTGATAAAAGGTTTGATCTCTTTTTCAGATATGCAAAGGAGATCCACCAATACCAAGATGGTTATCACCAGGTGCAAGAACCATTATCAAGAGAATGCTTGATCCAAATCCAGTCACGAGGATCACAGTCGCAGGTATTAAAGCCAGCGAATGGTTCAAGCACGACTACACGCCGTCAATTCCCGATGATGATGACGAAGAAGAAGTTGACACAGACGATGATGCTTTCTCAATCCAAGAACTCGTAAGAATCTGTCACATCACTCGTTATTGCAGGTTGCATTTGCTTCAAGTACAATCTGCTCAATTCTCTGTTTTCTTTTCTGAACGGTGTAGGGATCTGAAGAAGGGAAGGGCAGTGATTCACCGACCATCATCAATGCGTTTCAGTTAATCGGAATGTCTTCCTTTCTTGACCTGTCCGGTTTCTTTGAACAAGAGGTAAAGTGTCTTTACTCTGTTTCAAAGATGTATCCTCTGCTTGAGACAATGTATAAGAATAAAAAAGTTATCCTTTCCATTTCTCAGGATATATCAGAGAGGAGAATAAGATTTACTTCAAATAGCTCTGCAAAAGATTTAATGGAGAAAATCGAAACAGCAGTTACAGAAATGGGATTCAGTGTACAAAAGAAACATGCGAAGGTGAGTCTTAACAACGTGTTCTTCCTCTTCCTTAGCTACTTGTAGTGTTAAGTTTGTAGCGTTCATAAAATTCTAAACTGTATTTTTTTTTTCGTCTCTTCAGTTAAAAGTAAAGCAAGAAGAAAAAAACCAGAAAGGTCAAGTTGGTTTATCAGTAACAGCTGAGGTATTTTAGTTATTACATATATATTTCACTATTTAGACTATTTAGTGATTATATTTGACGACTAATCAAAGGATTTGTTGTCGTGCGTATAACAGGTTTTCGAGATAAAGCCGTCACTGAACGTGGTTGAGCTAAGAAAATCTTATGGAGATTCATGTTTGTATAGACAGGTAAGCTAATATCATCTCTTCTCACTAAGTTCAATGGCTTCTCTGATATGATTCCTTTTTTTTTTTTTTTTATCTTCAGTTTTTCGATTTAAAAGTTTTAGAAAACTAAAGATAAAAAATCTAATTTAAATTTGGGGTTGGTGCAGTTGTACGAAAGACTATTAAAAGACGTGGGCACTTCCTCGCCGGAGCAAGGGATAGTATCATAGGTGTTGGTGTTTTCGGCTAATGCGAAATTTAAAGAGCTTAGTTTACGATATGCTACACCATCAATGTTCATAATTTTTTATTTATATAAAATATAAAGAGCTTAGTTTATATACTTTGTGAAAATATGTGCATTAGTTAGAAAAAGGCGAAGAAAAAGAAAATCACCTCACAAGAATTGGAGCTTTATTAGACGTGCCTAGTCGGCCGTGTAGCCAAATCTCAAGAAAATCTCTTCATTTTTTAGTTTGTAAAAATGAAATATATGTATATAGTTTGTGTATCTTATAGAATGATTTGAGAATACATATAAAATCTGTAAAGTTAAACCTTGTTTACGGGCATGGTCTGGGCAATTGGTCAAATTTTGTTGTTTTTCTCTTGTCTATTACTCAACTTTGCTAAATATGAACCAAACTTGGAACATAAATGAAAACAAATGACCTCTCTGATTCTCCAAAAGTGATTTATGTGTATAAAGTGCCCTCTCCAATTATTAATGCATACAAAGTTCATGATGCTCTCATCTCCGTCTCTTTTATCACTGCATGCATTCGGTCGATGAACAAACTCACACCATGACATACACAAACCGACAATAATGAGTGTATCAATTCACTACCAAGAACTTTTTCCAGGACAAGTTCATAGGTCAACACGATGATCAAAGCCAACGCTCAAAAATAGACTATCTAAAACATTCAAACACTCAAAATCGAAACATTATGGATAAGTCTATATCGAAAACATTCAAAACAACAACTCAAAGAGAAGTCAACCTAAAAAACATATTATATAATCGAAATATGCATAAAATAAAGATAAAGCCAAAACAGACTCTAACACCAATAAATCCTCGATCCTTCCCGCCAAGATGCATGCTGCGATGTGGTTATTGTTTTAGATGAAAACTGATCAATGTAATGCAAAGAAGAAAGGAACATATAAACTATAACAAGTGATAAATATATGTACACATAATAATATAAAATATAAGACAAATTCATACTCCTTCATTACACAACTAAAAAAAGAAAGACAAAAAAATTGGGAGAAATTACTCAGATTAGCACTAATTCATCCAGTTATTACTAGATTAACACCCAAAGAAAAAAAATTACTAGAATAGCATATAATTCTAATCAAAGGACTGAATACCCTATGTAGTTTCTAATAATAACAACTATGCCAATATATTTATCAATTTGAATATTTAAAAGTTAAATTATGTAAATATGATTAATTAATTAAATAAAGACAAATTTAGAAAGGGTAAAAAACCCTAACACTTCTTGGGTAAAAAAAAATCAACACAGCCACCGTCACCAACATCTATCATTTTCAACGGCACCAGAAATTGTCTCACCTCACCGTTGACTGCTCTCCTCAGACCGTGGTTTCTTCTTCTCTGCTTCACTGGTTGAGCCTATACTTTCAAATCGCGTTGTCGTTTATTGTTCGGTGTCGCCTTCACCGAATTTTGTGTTGTCTTCACCAAATTGCAGAGTGCAGAGTTCAGGTCGAACCTCAGCTTTCCTTTCCTTATCTTCTTCTCATTTGTGTGATTTTTTTAGTTTGATTGTTCAGTTCACATATCAAAAAATAATCTCTGTAAGTTCTGATCTGTTACTTTCTTTTCAAACTCATTCCCACTGAACTCTAAAATAAAAACTAATTGAAAGGATTTTTAATTCTTAGTTCATTCTTGTCGTTTTCCTTTGGTTAGTATTAGGATTTTAAATATTATTAGGATAATTAGAATTCTCTCTTTGGTACGTCTTCACATCGTCATCACTTCGTTAGTATTACTATTAGTATTAGAATTCTTAATTTATTCTCCCTCAATGAACTTATATCATTTAGCAATGATTTTACCCAGCTTCTCTTATCACGTTTTTTTAACTAATTATGGCCTCATCAAGTGTTAAGAAGAGGTACCCTCCACTACTTTTTGCTGAAGGAAAAGCACCTAGTCAGTTAAGAAGTATGAACCACAATTGCTATCTCTCCAATTTAAAAATGGTTGAAATAGGAGTTGGGGCAGATGTGTGGGATGCGTTAAAAACTTCTTCTGTTGGAGTAATTGCTAAGCTTAAGGAGGTAGACTACACATGGTGTGCTGGTGTTGTCCATTACTTGCTAACACATCAATTGGTCATTGAAAAGCCTTATGAGATATGGACACTAATTGATAGTCAACCTATTAGATTTTCTTTGCATGAGTTTGAAGAGATTACAGGTCTTAATTGTGCTCCATTTCAAGATAAAGAGAACTGGGATGTTGATCATAAAGAATTTTGGGCGGAAATGAATGTTTCGACGGGGAATGGACCGTCTTTAAAGGAGTTGCAAGCGGTGTTAGATAGATGCAAGGATTGGAGCTTTGAGAAAAGGAGAATGGTAGGATGGTTGTCGCTTTTGTCTATTGGGATCTATGGTATTTCTCCTACTAGTAGAATCCCTTTAGACAAAGCCAAAAGGGTACTTGACGCAGACGTTTTTGAGAGTTATCCGTGGGGACGAGTTGCGTTTAGGAGTCTGATTGAATCCATCAAAGTGATAACTTATGGAGTGAAGAAGTCGTATACAATGCATGGATGTGTTCATGTTTTACTCATTTTGGCATATGAGACAATTGAGGGTTTAGGAGAACGGTATGGAAATGAAAGAATTAGTCCTGCAGTTCCTCTTCTATGTTGGGTGGATCTCGTGCTCGATTCAAATTTGAAGACTTCATCTTAGAAGACAAGAAAGCTAATGACAACAAGGTATGAATGCTCTAATGAGAAGGTTTTAAATATTTTGCTTTTAATTTAAACGATTGCTTGACATGTTCTTTTATTTTAATCTTCAGTTTCGTGTTAGGAGTTTCATTTTAAAATCACAAGAAGATATATACCCTAAGTGGGATGACGATGAACCAGACGAGAAGCTTAACAATCTGATTGAAGATCTACTGAACAATAGATTGGATACACAAGCTTGGGAGATCACTGAAGCACCTGTTAGCAGGAAGAATAAACGTAAGGTATATGTCCGTCAGAGTTATACTGGGGTGGTTGAAGATAACGTTGTTGAAAAGTCTACAAAAAAGAAGAAAGACAAAGGAAAATCAGTTGTGAGTACTAATTATAAACGTTTTCTTTCAAATTTAAATGTTGTGTTTACTATGTTATCCATGTTCTTTATGCTATCTTGTTTAAATTTGTGTAGGTGGATGGAGAAGATTGTGGTGAAAATAGTATAGAGAATAGGGTGCTATCTCAAAGTGAAACTGCAATTGTGGGACTTGTGGACATGGTTAAAACGTTGGTTGAAAAAGTGGATACCATGGACAACAACCTTGATAACAAGGTTTTGTCTTGTTTGGGGCTTGCCTTTGATGCTAAACTCGACGCTAAAGTCCACGCTGAAGTTGAGGTCAAATTAACATCTGTTTACGAGAAGATTGCCTCGCTGGAGAATGAGGTAAAAGATCTTAAAGAACAACTTAAACCACGTGAGATCACAGCCGCCAACTCAAATGTCAACTTAGATGATGAAGTGACAAGTAAAGCTATGGTACGTTAATTTTTTTTTGTTAAGGGTAATTATGTTTGATGTTTGGTGTTATGTTGTATCTGTTAAAAGGAATATATCTTGTTTTGTAAAATGTGTTTTGGCTTGGGTCGTAAGGTAATGAACAGTGTTTGTAAACCTCTTAAACTACGTAAAGTGGACATATTCTCTTTTCATGAATGTCATGTTTTTTCATTTGTATGTGTCAAACATAATTGTTTAATATATTAAAGTCTTATTTATGCTCATGGCAGTTTATAATATTCAGTCATTACAATTTTATGAATAATACTTTTATTTATATTTTCTACAGTCATGGATGGTCCAAACAAAGAAGCCTACACACGATGATTTACCAGTCCAGTGTGTCATTAGAAATATGAAAAATACATGCAAGAAGACCGATAAGTTGCATCAAAAGAAAATAGTGGATAAGGTTGAACACAACAATATTCGGGTTGGTAAACATGCTCTTAAAGTGACAAAAAAAGAAGTTAAAGGGGATGGTGTCACAGCTACTTCTGAAACATGGTCAGACCCTATCTTGCGGGCAAAAGTTAAAGCACTTGGTATGGGTTTAGAGGCTACAGTAGGACACTTGAAGAAGTTGGAAGAGCATACGCCTCCACGAAAACAAACCTATACGATAAATCTGTCATTGCAAAAAGATTTCATAAAAAATCGGTCGTAGTAATTAAATCTGTTGTTTCATTGCAATAAATCTGTAGAATAAGTCGACCACATCTTAAAACACTGTAGAAAAAAATAAATATGTGAAGTCATACGAAAGATTTACTTCAAAAAGTCGGTCATTCAAATAAATCTATAAAAAAAATCAGTCATTAAAGATAAATCTATACAAAATCATAAATCTGTCATTATTACCAATATAGATTTTTAACATAAATTTACAGATTTTTTGCGAAATTTGAATGGCAATTTCGTAAATATTTATTTTTTTTCATTTAAAAAAATAATAATTATAATGGCATTTTTGTAATTGATTTTTTCCTAACAAAGGAAAAAAGGGTAAAATAGACAGACAAATTTTTTTAGTAATTTAAATAAAATTAGAGCTATTCTAGTAATAATCATATAAATTTGTGCTATTTAAGTAATCTTCCCAAAAATTGGAGTAAGGAATGACGTTTTATACCCCGACTAATTAATGCCCTTCTTTTCTTTTGCGTTTTGGTGTTAGTAGTCTACCCTGCTGCTGGATTTGAACCAAAGCTTGGAACATAATTGAAAATAAGAGGTATCATTGGGGATCTATATTCTCCTTGAGGGATTTTTATGCACAGATTGTCCTCTCCAACAATGTATACCGTGTCCCTCATATCCTGACCATATAGGAATTTCCGATCGCACAACACGGCCGCTTTCTTCTCCTCATCGACAAAGAAAGCTATCCTTTGATGAAGAGTATCCTCATATATATCCACATATAAAAACTTGCTCCACCACAAGACTTTGGTCTGATTATCAATCTTATCATCTGTTGTCATCCATATCTCAATCTTTAGTGGGTTACGCTTCTGATATAATACTGAGAGTCGTTCTTCTCCAACAACTGAGAGAGCTCTAGCCCAACTATCAGCACCAGAATTCGGAATCTTCATCGACCATAATTTCTCTGTTGAAAAATCAAAACAAGATATGAGGCTTTGTCCTTCTTTTACTACATTGTGAGCAAGCCAATAAGTATTCCCCTTCAAAGACACGCTGCTGTTTGGGACTATACGGAAATAGGGACAGACACGATTACGATCCCTCCACGAATCAGAGCTAAACTCATAGATTTCATACTCAACAACCATATAGGAAGGCTTATATTCAGTGCATAAGTACCTCAAGATTTTGTAGCTTTGACAAGACTTGTTGTTTTCGTATCCAAGTGCAAACTCACAGTAATACCCGTAACGTTTACTGTCTTGTATCCACCTGGTTTGGCCAGTACAAGGGTTCCAAACCACGAGTCTAAAGTCGTCTCTGGTGGTGCATAACAATAACCCGTCGCAGTGAAAGATTTTACATATCTCTACTTGTTTAAGATTATGAAACTCGTTTAGGCTCAACAACGTTGATGGATCTAGAGCATTGTTGTGAACTTCATGGAGATTTATACTCTCTGAGGAAACCCTTAAATTTTTCAACGTGAAAGCTTTCCATCGCTTGCAAGTAAAACGTAATCGACTCAGAGGAACTCTAGAGAGGATTTCCTCCTCTATCAATTCCCACGGAAGGTCGAGCAATCTCAACGTTTTTCTTGTCATCTCCCAAAGGAAGAAGAAAGCCAGAGGTGGCCGGCTAATTATAAATTAGGGTTTTCCAGTTCTTATATGATATATAGACAGACTTCCGCGTTAAATTTTCATTACTCTATTTTCCTATATGGAATATATTTACTAATTTTACATAAGAGATAAAACAAACTAAAAAAGGGAAACAATCATATTTATGTTCCCACAAGATTGTTGTTTACTAATATATGTCACAAACTTTGTGTTTTCATCATCAGTCATCCTATGAAAAATATCATACATGTTTTTTGTGAGTTCCAGGTGAAATATATGGTAAAGTAGAAATCATATATGGACGGGACTTTGATATCTACAAATTAGCCTTCACTAGTACACTTTACGTTATTAGTATATTTTCTTCAATGTATGTATTTATAGAGATATCTGAGTCTAAATTATAATCTTATGATAATTGAGATTTTCATATTCTGATAAGATTAGATCTAGAGTAAATTATTATGTAATTATCTCCTGTAATAGAGATATAGGTAGATTATCTTATCATAGGGTTCATTTTGTGATATCTCAATCTATGTTAATAACTAATTATTACAAACAAAAAGAGAGCTCACTTTATATTATACTGTAGGACTATTGCAAATGTCTACAAACAAAAAAAAGTGCTCAGTTTATCATAGTTTTACACTAATTAAAGATTTCATTAATTGGGCTGGCTGTTACATAAGCAAAAAAGGAACCAGAAACAAAATTTATGTACACGAAAGATAAACATAAATCAGATCCATTTATATTTAAAATGCTAACTATGCATGAAAAACGATATGACAAAAGGAACAAAACAAACGAAAAAGATAAATAAGATGGAAGAAAGTACGTCCTATTTTCAACTGAATAATCTTCTTCTTTGTAGAAAAATGGGATAAATTATACACAAACAGATAGAAAGATTTACGTTGAATATATGCAAGATTGGGACAAATTATAACCACATTGTAGAGAAAAGTTTTGGTATTTAATGGCTAGAGAGCCGATCCTCAAGCTCTTTGTTATATAACTGAATCAAACCGGTTGTATCTTGATGTGGAAGATCATGAAGCTTCTCATCTAAGAGACTCTTATACTCATTATCTCTATCTTCCCATTTACGCATGAACTCAACCTGCAAACACACAAACCCATCAATTATAAAAGAGAACAAAATGTAAGCAAATGTGAGAAGGAAAAAAAAAAAAAGGAACCGGACTTGTTTCTGAAATGTATCAAATTCGTCTGAGCTAAGAGATCCATCGCTGTTGGAGTCAAGAAGCTGCATCATCTCCTCTGCGTCTTCACCTGGAGCTCCAAGCTCTTCCATCACTTCCATTAGCTCCTCTATGCTGATCATCCCGTCGCCGTTTTTGTCCAAAAGACAGAACACTCTGTCTCTCTGGTTCGTTGTTGCCTTGAGACTTTGGTGTTTATTGGACGAGAGATCTTTGAGACGAATCGCTGCAAGATCCGCTGCTGCCATCATTATTGCCTTAAGCCGCTTCGCCTATAGATAGATTCAAACAATCAGCTTAACCTCCTACGCTTATCTTCTTGATAAACCCACAAAAAGAAAACATAATAGCTTACCTCTTTTGGGTCAGTTAGACCGCCTTTGTACAAAGAATGTGATGCTGTTCCAGCATTAGCGGATCCATCCATATCCATTGTCCGTATCTGTATTTCCATCAAAGGTCTTCTCTGATCGCTGTCGCTAACATCAACCGCCATATGTAAACTCCTATACCCATTTTCCTTTGGCCGAGCAATGTAGTCTTTTGTTCTATGCGGAATCTCCTTCCACAGAGACCGGATAATATTGCTTGTTCTGTAACAGGCTTTTTCGCCAACTTCAACATCGTTTGCCACAGAATTTGGCACCAATATGACCCGTAGACCAAGTACATCGTTCACTTCTTCCGGTTTACGCCCGTCTCTTAAAAGCTTCTTCATCATGCTGTACCTGCTTTTATACCGGCCTTTCACATATACATCATCTACCATTCTAGCCAAAACCAAATCATCCTTCAAAGTCCGATGAAGCTGCTCTTTGTACACGTCTATCAACGGTTTAGACCCGTTCTCGTGACTTCTTAACCATGAATCCAAGTATATATATGATCCCGGGAAAAGATAACGGAAAGAGATGTCCTCGAGCTCAAGTGACAGTTGATTAGCCCCGACGGCATGAGCTAAAGGAGAATAGATCTTCAACACTTGGAGGGAGAGAATCTGCTGGCGATACCTTGGCAAGTGATCTAAATGCCTCATCTCGTCAAGCTTTGAAACGAGGTCCATGATCACAGCTCTGATGTCGTAGTACGTGAGGTAGAACTTCCTCAGCGAAGCAGCGGTTTCATCGTCTAATACATCGACTTTAAAAGGGATGTTCTTCACACGGAAGATCTCGTGAAGCAGATGGGCAGTTCCGGTACCAATCTGGTCTCTCACTTCGTATATAGATATTGCATTTGCCTCCACCACTTCACTCAATATGCTCGCCGAGATAACTTCTGCATCCATCTGCCATTACAATATAATGGCTCAAAACATCAATTCACAGATTTTTTTCCAGATGAGCAAAACACATTGTAAGTAACTAATCATATCACAGAACCTACTTCATCGTCATATACTCTGGATTCATTAATCCTCAGTGATTTTGTATTTATGTAAGGTTCAATTTCCTAGTTTCCGAACACGGTTTTCCTCCAATTCTCGCCACAGAATCCACAATAGAACCTAATCATCTAAAAAGGAAACTGTGAGGTTACAGAGAGAAAGAAACCTGGAGATCGGCGAGGAGGATAGAGAGGGAGAGAGCCTTAGAGAGGGGAGAGCGACCGTCAGAGGCAAGAGGGAGAGACTGTAAGATAGGAATCGAGAGCTTCAAAGCCTTAAAGAGTAACCTAGACGAAGACGTCGACAACCAAACCGAATTCATCCTCTCCGTCACTTCGTTGAAGGCTCCGACAAGCTCCACCACCATTTTTCCTCCGGCTGCCTCCGGAGACCGAGCCGTCGATTCAATTGCAGTATCGTTCGCTTCCGACCTCGGATTCCACCGTCGACGTCGGTAGTGGTGTTGCTGGGTCAAGTGGATCGTATGTAGACGGCGATACACTATCTGGGATCTGCATCTCGGGATTCGAATTGGAGAAGGACGAATTACAGACATTTGAGAGTGAATTTTAAACCAAATTTTTTTTAGAAGATTTGTGTTTTCTGGGCATTTATAATGTGCCGTTAGCTTTTTATTTTTATTTTGCAGCAATGGATAAGCCACGTAGGAATTTGTGTTATCGTCCACATATGTATTTATTTATTTCTGTAAAAAGAGGGAAAAATAAATAAATTAATATCATTTTAGACTCTCCTTTTGGCTTAGAGGGTTCGATACGAGACGAGTAGCAACATTTGACGCTCATCTAAAACCCTACGCAAAAGCCTCTGAGTTCCGGTTTCTGCATCTCTTTCCTTCTTCTGCCATTGAAGCTAGCTTCGATTGGAAATCATGGCGGCCGTACCGAGAGGCCTCATTTCTCGCATCAATCATTTTCTATCAATCCGGTCCATGACTCCTTCACCCTCGCAATCTCTTCCCCATTGTAGCCTCTTTCTCCTCCGACGATTCAGCTCCGATGCTGGGTTGGTCGGCGGTAGTGGATCTGATATAATCGAGGCTCCGACTCGAATCATCGAGGCGAAACCCGGTGAGATGTCCCCGAGATCCAGAAGGACCGGGATCATCGCCGTCAAGTGTGGGATGACTGCGCTCTGGGACAAATGGGGAGCTAGGGTTCCTGTTTCTATTCTCTGGGTCGATGACAACATCGTCTCTCAGGTCAAAACTATTGAGAAAGAAGGGATTTTCGCGCTACAGGTAACTCCATCGCAGTTTATCATCCCCATATTTGCATCTGTAGTGTATCTGCTGGATTAGTGATAGCTCTTAGCTCCACTTGTGTATTCGGGTAACTGTTACTTGATCAATAGATTTTTTTTTTTTTTCTTTTCTAGGGCGTCAATATCTAATTTGCAATACTCAATATTAAAATGGAAACAGAGTTTGATGTGATTTTTCTTGATGAAATGGATAGTTTTTATGAAGCTCATGGTTTAGTAATGTGATTGGCATGTGTTGTTCTGTGTTAGTTAGATTGGATGTGGCCATAAGAAACCGAAGCATTTGACAAAGCCTGAGCTGGGCCATTTCAGAGCTCAAGATGTGCCGTTAAAGAGGAAATTGAGAGAGTTTCCTGTGACAGAAGACGCTCTTCTTCCTGTTGGCACTTCACTCGGTGTCCGCCATTTTGTTCCCGGACAGTATGTTGACGTCACTGGGATCACTCGAGGGAAAGGTTTTCAGGTGAAACTATTCTCAGCTGCTTTAAAGCTTGAATTCTACTTCGGTGTTTTTGCCTTACAGAACAGAACTGGATACTGATAAGTTGAATAATCAAGTAGCAATGTGGTAGATAAATAGCAAATGGAGTGAGCGAATGTAACAGTGTCTGGTTAATGGCTGTTGAATTGATGTCCTTTGTGATGTAATTTGCAGGGAGTCATGAAAAGATGGAACTTCAAAGGAGGACCGGCTTCACATGGTTGTTCAAAGGCCCATCGAAAACCGGGTTCCACAGGTCAAAGAGATGCTCCAGGAAAGGTATGTGCCAAATTGCTTTCTTGTAAATTTTTTCTCCAGAGAAATTCACTATACTGACTTGTTAATACGGTGAGCAGGTGTTCAAGGGCAAAAAGATGCCTGGGAGAATGGGTGCAGAACAGAGAACAGTAAAGAACGTTTGGGTTTACAAGATTGATCCTGCGAGGAACCTCATCTGGGTGAGAGGACAAGTAAGTATCTCAATCCAAATTCCGGTCTTTGTCTCGCACTTACTTTAGGATTGTATTATGAGAGTATCATTGAGACTTGTTGGTAGGTCATGATTGTTAATTGTTGTTGTTGTTGCAGGTTCCTGGTGCAGAAGGAAACTTTGTGTTCATAAAAGATGCGAATTACAAGAAACCCGACATCTCAAAGCTTCCTTTCCCAACTTACTTAGCCCCAGAAGACGAGGATCCATCAGAATTAGAACCGTTGGTCGCAGATCTCGGAGAAGTCGACCCATTTATGTTGGCAGAGTGATGGAAACGACATGATCTCGATCTTGATTTTGGCTTTTTCATGTTTTACGTGTGTGGAAGACAAGAAGCTGAGGAAGTGGAGAGTGACAGAGCCAAAGCTTTTTGCAGATGAAAATTGTCATTTCTTATTTAGTTGTTTGGATGTATGAAATTGAAAACGATGAATAGAGAGGGAATTTAGTCTCGCATTTGTTGAATCTCCGATGCTAAAGAGTTTTGCAATAAGCAATGAAGGGACACAGAATTTATGTCTCATCTTCTAAATACTGTATGCATGCACATAAGGGTTTGTATGTATATATATTTACAAGAACCAAAAAAAGAAAAAAGAGATTCGTTTTCTAATTCAACAAGAATCAAGATCCATTTATTAGGCCTCCCTTATATAAGTTTTCATCTCCCAATAGAGAAATACAGTTGTGTGTTCTGATCTCTTAGAGACCAAGATCTTGAAAATTCCTGAGAACACAAACGCTTATTTCATTTCTCTATCTCTCTCTCTCTCGCTCGATTAGGGTTACCGTTGAGGAAACTCAACGCAAGATAGAGAGTTTCCGAATCTCATTGACTAAGCCATGAATCCGGAACAGAATCGACGGCAATGCGCAGCTTGCGGTGAACCAGAGCCGCTTTTCACACACACCGTCCACAAAAACAGCGGTTTCCGGCAACTCTGCACCGATTGTTTGCTCAAGGAACATCGGGAACTCTTCTGCCCAGTTTGTCTCAACGTCTTCGTCGACGTCCCTCCTCCACAAGCTCGTATCATCTGCCTCAATTGCCCTTCAATCACCCACCTCGATTGCTATCGTCCGCCGTCTTCCTCCGCCGCCTCCTCCTCCTCCGCCACTCCTTCCTTCACCTGCCCGCCATGTTCTGACCCCAATTTCTCCTTCTTCTCCTCCAAATTTCGTCCTCCGAGCTCTGACCAAAGCGGAGAGATTAACAACGACGACGGCTCCGAATCGATTGTCGAATATGAATCGGCCACTGCTCTCATCGCAGCGGCGAATATCGCGGCGGTTAATATGAATAACGCGGCGGCTCATTTAAAGAAAGAAGCTGTTAGGAAGATCCTCGAAGCTAAGCTGGCCAAGAAGAGAGCTAAAGAAGCAATGGTGATTCTTCACGACCTTGTTCTGAAACAAAAAGCTTCTGAGAAAGGAAACCCTAACAAGAGGAAGGCCAGCGACCGCTGATTTTACAAAAATCTCACAGCAAAATCCTGCAATTTATCGGTAACGTAGGGATTTGTATGATAGATTTCCCTCTAGGGTTCAAGAAAAGACTACTCGTTGCGGATTATTATAGACCTGTAATATCCAGATTTGGTCAACTTCATTTTCTTCTTCACTTCTTAGTTCACTCTCGAACGTGTTTGATCACAAGCCTCATAGAGAAAGCTGGAGACTTTGAAATTTAGGATTAGATTAGGGCTTTTTCTTTTGTATAATGGTGTGCGACGCAGTGACCATTCATTCATATTAATGGGTTCTTCTTCAACCTTCAAATTTATCTGTGTGATTACAAGATTTCGTTTTGTTTTATGGTATACTGGTTTGGAGATTTTGATGATGTTCGGAGTTCTTCAGATAGTATCTTAATGAATTAGGTTGATCAAAAACATATCCAAGAACTTACAACAACAATAAAATGCTTCCAAGAAAATGATATTGCATTGATATTTGGCTTGGAAATTGTGAGAAAGACACTGTTTTTGGTTCTTTTGTTATAAGATGATCATCAAGATAATAATAGTTTGGAAAAATCAAATTCTGGTTTGGATTGGTGATATATGTAATATCTGTTTTTGCACCACGAAAACGGAAAGAGCAAGTTACAGGCATTTCCTAAGATATGTTTTGCCAAATTGATGAAAGAAGAAGAAGATCTGACAGGACTCTGCAAGAGAGTGGGCAAAATTACGTAGCTTTCCATCATTTTGCGGCTCATCTATAATAATCTTAAAATATAAGCCCTCGTTTTGCAAATTTGTTAAAAATGGCGAGTCAGCCGAGGACAGAAACCCTAGAAATCGCCCGAGTCGAGTTAATTCGTTCCTCACCCAGCTCTATCTCGCCGCGTGACTCGTCCCTTCCTCCGCGAAAACGCTTCGTTCCATTCGTAGCTCAAATTTTGTGCCTTGCCACCTGAAAATGTGTCCTAACAACTTTGCTTCAGTTTTACCTCTTTTTTCTTCTATCTGAAAATCGAGCAAGACTCCGTTTACAACATTCCCCTCTTCTCTCAAAACTTCTTGACTCGCTACCAGCACAAGAACGTTCTAAGCCTCATTAGGTATGCTATAGCAGACCAAACCAGTTACATTTCTTTGTTCTTGTCTGGTTTATAAGAATGATGAAAACGTTTGTTGGATTTGAGCAGAATATCATAGGCAGACGATATTTACTAACCCAAGAGTCGTCTTCTCCAGAGAAAATAACTTTCCGTTTACAGGATTTTTTTTGTTTCCTTATTTTGCAAAGAAATTGTTAGTCTCTTAGCTGATTTTCTTGCTTTTTGCGCTTTTTTTTTAAAAAAAAAATTGTTATTAAGATGTTTTTGTTGTTGTTGAATAGATTGAGGCTGTGGAGATTTTACGGTTTGTGGAACTGATAAAGTTTGAAGCTTTCTTGGAGTTTGAGTATGGTTTAACAATGGCTCCACCTGGATCAATGGGAGTAGTAGACCCTGGATGGGAACACGGTGTTGCACAAGACGAGCGGAAGAAGAAGGTGAAATGCAATTACTGTGGGAAGATTGTTAGCGGAGGAATATACAGATTGAAGCAACACTTGGCTCGTGTATCAGGTGAAGTGACGTATTGCGATAAGTCTCCAGAGGAAGTATGCCTGAGGATGAAAGAGAATCTGGAACGGAGTCGTTCCACCAGAAATCTGAGGCACCCTGAGGATAAAAGCAGGCAGTCTTGTTCCAGTTTCCGTCAATCCAACAATGGCGATGAGGAGGACGAGGAGGAGGAAGAGCAGCGATGCTGGTCTAGAAGGAGCAAAGGAAAACAATCCGTGAGTGATGGGAGTCTTCTCAGGTCTTCAGGATATGTTGATCCTGGATGGGAACATGGTGTTGCTCAGGACGAGAGGAAAAAGAAAGTGAAATGCAATTACTGTAACAAGATTGTGAGTGGCGGTATTAACCGTTTTAAACAGCACCTCGCAAGAATACCTGGAGAGGTAGCTCCGTGTAAAACTGCTCCAGAGGAGGTTTATGTGAAGATTAAAGAGAATATGAAATGGCATCGAGCTGGGAAAAGACAGAACATACCTGATGACGACATGGGAGCTTTGAGTTTCAGAACTGTCTCTCAGGATCCCGAGCAAGAAGAAGATGGAGTGGAGCTTGACTTTTATCCAGTTAGCCAAGATAGGTTGATGCTGGGAAATGGAAGGTTTAGTAAAGACGAAAGAAAAAGCTTTGATTCAATGAACGCTAGACCAAAGAGAGCGAGGGTGATCCCGTTTCAGTCACCGTCTTCTTGCAAACAGAGAAAAATATACACTAGTTGTTCAAACAGAGCTGTTTCCAGAAAAGAAGTCACTTCCTCCATTTCCAAATTCTTCCACCACGTCGGGATTCCCACGGAAGCAGCAAATTCTCTGTACTTTCAAAAGATGATTGAATTGATTGGTCTGTACGGAGAAGGATTTGTTGTGCCCTCGAGCCAGCTGTTTTCTGGTAGGCTCTTACAGGACGAGATATCGACTATCAAAAGCTACTTGAGGGAGTACAGATCATCTTGGATGGTTACGGGTTGTTCTATACTGGCAGACACTTGGACCAACACAGAAGGCAAGACGATGATCAGTTTCTTGGTCTCGTGCCCACGCGGTGTCTACTTTCACTCCTCTATTGATGCGACTGATGTAACAGAAGATGCTTTAAGCCTTTTCAAGTACCTAGACAAACTAGTTGAAGACATTGGTGAGGAAAATGTGGTGCAGGTTATTACACATAACACGGCTATCTGTAGAAGTGCTGGAAAATTACTTGAAGAAAAAAGAAAGAATCTTTACTGGTCTCCCTGCGCAATGCATTCCACAGAACTGGTTCTTGAAGACATCTCAAAGCTTGAATTCGTCTCCGAGTGCTTGGAGAAGAGCCAAAGAATCACCAGGTTCATCTACAATCAAACTTGGCTGCTCAATCTCATGAAGAACGAATTCACACAAGGGATGGATCTTCTTAGACCGGAAGTGACCCGCCACGCTTCAAGTTTCACCACTCTTCAGAGTCTTATGGACCACAAGGCCAATCTCAGAGGGCTGTTTCAATCCAACGGCTGGATTTTGTCACAGACCGCAGCCAAGTCTGAAGAAGGAAGAGAAGTGGAGAAGATGGTGTCGAGCGCTGCGTTTTGGAAGAAGGTTCAGTACGTTTTGAAGTCGGTTGATCCGGTAATGCAGGTGATTCGCATGATCGACGATGGTGGCGAGAGACTATCTTTGCCATATGCTTATGGTTACATGTGCCGTGCCAAAATGGCGATAAAGTCTATACATAGCGATGATGCAAGGAAATACGGACCGTTCTGGCGTGTGATTGATTACCATTGGAACTCATTGTTTCACCATCCTCTCTACGTAGCTGCATACTTCTTTAACCCGGCTTATAGATATCGTCCTGATTTTATGGCGGTAGGTAATGCTTATCGTTAAATTTGATTCACTCATTACAAATCTTTCGGCGATTTCCTTATATATTTTGCTGTTAATGTGGATGAACCAGCAGCATTCTGAGGTTGTACGCGGAGTTAACGAGTGTATTGTTCGGCTTGAGCCTGATAATATGAGAAGAATCACAGCATTGATGCAGGTGATAATATGTAACTAATCAACACATTTGTTCGTAGAACCTGTGGCTTATAAAACTAGTTTCTTGCTGAAATGTATCAGATTCCGGATTATACTTCAGCGAAAGCGGATTTTGGAACGGATATAGCCATAGGGACAAGAACAGAGCTTGATCCAGCTGCATGGTGGCAACAGCATGGGATAAGTTGTTTGGAACTCCAGCGAGTAGCGGTTCGGATACTGAGCCACACTTGCTCCTCTGTTGGGTGTGAGCCTAAGTGGAGTGTGTACGACCAAGTCAACGGTCAATGCCAGAGTCGTTTTGGGAGAAAGTCAACGAAAGATCTCACTTACGTTCACTACAACTTACGGCTCAGAGAGAAACAGCTGAAACGGCGGCTACATGATGATGGACCACCACCACCGACGCTTAACTACGCCTTGCTTGATCGGTTGCTCCCGGACTGGCTCGTGAGCTCCGAGAAGGATGAGGTTTACTTCAAAACCGCCAAATTCCAAAACGCTGATTAATATGTTGAATTGATGATGATGATGATGATAATGTTGTGTTTTGTTTGTGAAGGAGGAGACTTTGGTAGGCGAAGACGGACCAGAGAACGAAGACAATGACGACGATGATGATGAAGAAGACGAGGAGGGAGAGAATTGTTACATTGATTCTGTTAACGTTGACGGTGAAGACAATCTTGATGTTTACGATGATGATGATCTTAGCGACGACGATTAATGTTTTGCTACGACCATAAAAGCTCCTAACAAGTAGCAAACATTGTGTATTTTTGAATTTGACCATTTTATATAATTGAATTGTTAGTTGGTAGATTGTGAAAGAAAGCTGAAATGATTTATGATGGTAGTAAGCCAATAAGTAAAAATGAGATTTTTTTTTTTTTTTGTCGTAGTAAAAATGAGATAATTTTCTATTTATTCATAAACAACGGATAGATATAGGATATGGATCAAAAAGTTGGCGCCGCGCTGTCATAAGCCCGTTTTTTGTTATTTATTAACTACCGAATATCTGTCTTTTTTAAAGATTTATTAATTAATTTAAAAAAGTGCTCTTTGAATAAGAAACTAAATGATAAAGGAAAAAAATAAACAATTCACCTGACAGCTTCTTCTCTTTCCCTTTCCGTTGTTCCCTCTGTTTCGTTCTCCCAAGTCCTAACCCAGATTTTATCTAATTTTATTTTTTGAATTCCCTTTCGTTTTTGGAGATTATAAGTTCAGTTTTCGTCAAGCTAGAGTTTTTTTTTGGGGGGGGATTATTGGGATGTGGTGAAGCAGTTTTCGGAAGCGGGAGATTTCTGTGGTTTAATCTTTAGGGTTCGCCGGTTGAGGGGAAATTCCGGTATATTTTTCGTCGGAATCTGGAAATTTCTCCGGCGACATGGCTTCCAATCTCTCGTTGAGCCCTCAATTAGAGCAGATCCATGGCGAAATCCGTGACCATTTCCGAGCCCTCGCGTATGGTTTCTTCTATCCCTTTCTCCTTTTTTTTTTTTTCTCTTTCTCATCCTCTATCGTGTTTACAAAGCTCTGGAATTTTAAGTATCTGCCTCATTCTTTTTATCTCCCTATTATAAACAATCTCCAAGTAGAATGTCGATGCTTTAGAGTATCACTTAGCCTCATATGCGAGTAAATAAGATCTGGTGGTTATAATTTGAGTGCTCGGTGACATTTTTTTGTGCTTTGTTGATTACAAGAGATAGTTAGTTCTTCAGTGATACGAAATATTCACCATTATCTGTTTGCAGGAATGGTTTCCAGAGGTTGGATAAGATCAAGGATTCAAATAGACAAAGCAAGCAACTGGAGGAACTTACAGAGAAGATGAGAGAGTGTAAAAGGTATTTCCTTAATTATTTTCTCGGCCTCTTAGCATCATTTATTTTTGTGAAAGACACTGTATTGCTTAAAACCACCTTCTTAATGATTCGTTTTGCTTATGTCATGCAACTAAGTTTGCTAGTCTCGGGAGCATTCTTGCCATATGCCTTTGGTGGAACGTGCCGTTTGCTTTTTGTGATACTCACTTCTTTTTTTGTGATGGATGAGATGCTCTATAAGAATGAAAACGAAAAGATTACTGATCTGACAAAATAATGTTTCTCCCATGATTCAATAATCTATACTTTCGGTATCTAATGAGTACAAAATGTCAGGTTGGTGAAGGAGTTCGACCGTGAACTCAAGGATGAGGAAGCTAGAAATTCTCCTGAAGTAAATAAGCAATTGAACGATGAGAAACAATCTATGGTGAGTTATTATCATCTGTAATCATTGCGTTGATGAAATTCATCGAGGCCTTTCTTTGATTATACTACTATGTCTTGTATCTTAAGTACATGTATGCGTATTATTATTTACACACTCTTAAGGTTCCACTTTGCATCATCAATCATATTCCAGTTTATTCAATCTTTAGTTGCTTTTGTTACCAATTGGATATCTAAAAGCAGATATTCAATGCCATTGTGTATCTATCGCTCTCCTTTGCATTTTTCAATCCGCCATCATGTTAATTGAATGTATTTCTTAATTTCAGCTTTTGAACTTTTCCCTTGTCTTTAATGTTACAGATCAAGGAACTCAATTCTTACGTTGCACTAAGAAAAACGTAAGTTCTTCTAGCATTTTTCTTTAGGAAACAAATTTCTTGAATCTCATGCCTGTTCTTTTTTGGGTTTGATTTCATTATGGATCCGTTCAGCGCATGTCTGTAGGATTTCGTTTGGTTTTGATGTGTTCATACATGTTAATTTGGTCTGTGATCTCAGGTATATGAGTACCCTTGGAAACAAGAAAGTTGAACTATTTGATATGGGAGCTGGAGTCAGTGGAGAACCTACAGCTGAAGAAAATGTTCAAGTGGCCTCATGTGAGTCCTTATTTATGCTTGTGTATTCAATTGCTACCAAAATATGAGTTGGCTTAGAACATTAAGAGGTTGGCATGCTTGAAGCTCTTCATGATGCTAACTAAGTCTAGCATGATTTGTGATGCGTGTCAATAAGTTTCTGGCAGACATTAGTATGGTATTAGAATTGTTACCGGTTGGCCTAGATGATATCCAACTTGTTGTTCGATAGATTAAGACATACGTCTGGTGGCTTAAAGTAATATCATGTTTGAATTGGACATGAAGTATATTATTTTGGGAATGTGAAAACTGGGAAAGGCGCTTATGTCATTTTTATGTATAGCTATGTCAAACCAGGAGCTTGTTGATGCTGGAATGAAAAGAATGGATGAGACTGATCAGGCCATTGAGCGCTCAAAACAGGTAAGTCACAGAAAGAAATGTGTTCCACTTACCCGTTGTTACTATATATTTATGGTAACATTCGTGTTCCTTTCAGGTTGTAGAACAAACACTCGAAGTTGGAACTCAGACTGCAGCTAACTTAAAAGGACAGGTAATGCTAAGCATCCTCCATCTCATCCCTATTAATCTTATGAGTACAGTCTTCTCACACAAGTAGCCTGAAAAAATTGCAGACGGATCAAATGGGGCGAGTCGTTAACCACTTGGACACGATTCAGTTCTCAATCAAGAAGGCCTCCCAGCTTGTGAAAGAGATAGGGAGACAGGTTTGCAACCTCATATAGACATGGACATGCCCTTTTGATTGACTGCAAAACCTGAATCTCTATGTCTAATTATTTCAGGTGGCTACTGATAAATGCATAATGATGTTTCTGTTTCTCATTGTATGCGGTGTTATAGCCATTATCATAGTGAAGGTACTTTCTTTGCTCATTCCAATGAAAGTTGTAAATTGCTCATTAGTAAATTATAACTCTGGTTTCTGTTTTGTATAAACTCTTCAGATCGTGCACCCGAATAACAAAGACATTAGGGACATCCCTGGATTAGCTCCTCCAGCGCAATCGAGGAAGCTATTGTACTTGAGGAATCCAGAGTACATGGGAAAATAGAGATCTCTGTCTGTATATTTTGATTCACGTGGAATGAGGAAATTGCATCTTGAGGTTGGATAATCCATCTTCTTTGCTTTTGCATTTGTTTACACTCCATTTCATGGATGAGAGAGAGAGAGGGTTTGAGCTTTGTGTGCTTTGATAGTTGCCGAGGCTTGGGGTTGCTTAAGTTCATGTTTTTTTTTTTTCACCCAGTCATTTGAATCTGGGCTCTGATTGGAGGGTTTGTATATTTCATCTTTTGTTTTGCTTGTAGTAACTTATCACTTCTTCTTTTGTATAAAATTCAGAGCATGTTATACTCTCTCACGTTCTCATTACAATCTTTCTTATTTGTGTCCACCTGAAGAAAATTTCAGGACACAGCTGGAATTTCCATTTGACAATTTTCTAGCTTGAACAGCCCATACATCTAGTTTTCACTTGACATAATAACCAGGTCAAAACAGAGAACGTGAAGAAAGAATGTGCTGACACTCTAGTTTAGTTGATTATTACAACTTTTATAGATTCGTTTTGGTTCACCTTTTTAGAGTCTTGTAACTTCTGTTAACATACTTACATGCATACATAAATTTCTGGCCGAGTACATACGTACAATTATTTTTCTAAAAAGAGAAACATCAACTATAGTCCTAAAACCGATATGGATTTTTACGAAATCCCGGGTCAAGTGACGATGAACTGATGATGGTAAAAATAAAGACCACAAATGTAATAACATAAACGTCAATTCACTACAAACGAATTTGTGACTTTTATGTTTTTAAGCTAATCATCGGTAATAATCTCCGCTATTCTATTTCTTACTAAAGTTGCAAACTTTGAATAAAAAGAAACAGTTTTCACTTTTAGACACGAGAACACACGGTCTAGGATGATGATGCTGCACCTTTTCTTTTGGTTTCAAAGATTTCTATTTATACGCAACAAAAAAAAAAATAACAAAGAATAGGAAAGCCAAAAAAAACCTCTATAATACGTTTTTTTCACCAGCAGCATCTTAAGCGGCGTGATTTCCGAGCTGCGTCCGACCGATATGAGATAACCGAGATGTAATCAAAGGGGCTTCCTCGTCGTTTATCTCGGCTCCTACTCTTGGGCTCTCTCCACCGACATCAGGATTGAATTTATCTGAAGACTTCTTCTCCATCTTCCACTCCTGTGTGTAAGTGCTTTTGTTCATCAGTTGTTACATTTTACACACAAAAAAGAAGAAGAAGAAAAAAAGTAATTGGTTTCACATTACAATTATAGAATGTTTGACTGACCTTGTTGATTCGATCTGGGAGACTGTCAGCAGTTGATTGAGACGCCTTCACGTCCTTCACTTTTATATAATTGTACATGACGACGCCACAAAGCGCTGTAACAAAACACATGGCAAGCATAAAATAGTTAAACGATGCATAGTGTGTGAAACAGACAAGTCAACAAAAAAAAAAAAAAACTACCAATTGCGTATCCAGTGATGTTCAACCCAGTAATGGTGGACTCGGGAAATATGACGGTGGAGAGGGCTATGAGAATCCAGTCTTTGAGAACACCAGCTACCCGGATGGTCACTGCACCTGTTCTCCCGATTACTAAGAATATGGAGAAATTCAAGGCAAGAGCACAGAGAGCATTGGAGAAGAAGATCCAGAAGTTGAATTGGATCTGTGAAACTTCCATTGTGGGTTTCTCCAAAACATACCAAGGCAAGGCCAGAAAAACAAAACTGCACAAGATTAAAGCCTAGTGTTACAAGGAAAAGATTATGTGTGTACTAATGTGCAGTAGAGGATATAGTAGTTTACATCTATGCTCTAGCAATAAATAATACATGACACTCAGAATCAGAACGAAAGAAAATCATGCTACATTATACAATTAGATGAACGGGGAACCAAAGGTTAGGTGGTGAAATACCATAATCAGGATTCAGGAGTATCACCTGCAGGGAGCTATGTAATATAAGCTGTTTATAGGGTTCAATGTCAATCCTTTCTTCTGGAGAAGAACTTGAGTTAGCACCAGTCTAAGTGCTTCAGCAAATATGCCTGTGACCTGATAGACCGTGCCAACTATATTGAAATGGATTTCCCCATAAGAAGATATCACAACTCCAACACTGACCAGCAACATGTTCGAGAACACGTCGCATCTTGGTTTGTCAGTGCCGCAAATAACTGCCATGATGAATGTTGCTACTGGCACTGAAATTCCATAATCATGTATTAATATATGCTTTGTAAAATGAATAGAAAGTCTATACTAAACAAGATTCTGTAGCCAAAATGTAAGTCTTCACATACTTAGAGCTTTGAGCATCTGAATGAAGGCAACAGAAATGTGCAAATATGCAGTATTGCCAAACCTGCACAAAGAAGGATATCAGATAGTGAAGAGACAGTTTGGCAACGAGTTTGCCTGAGCACAAACGGTCATCAAGAAGAAGTGCATTAGAAAACCAACTACATGTACTGTCTATAGAACAGGAAGTTACCACAGGCTTGATGCAAAGAATGCGCTAATAGGTACCACACATGTTGCGTATCTGGACCCAAAAAGTGTGTCAGAATGGAGATAGGATGGAACTTACGTAGTTACGTACGAAAGAAAGAAAAAGAAAAATGAGGTATAAATACAGAGTAAGCAGGCTTACATTTCAAATGTCATTTTAACCGGAGCAACAACCTAAACACAAAGGAAAAACTTATCAGTTATCACCTCACAAGCAAAAGGAGTCTCAAGGTCCAGAGAAGATACTACATTTTAATAGAGAACTCCGCAACTGATTTATATAAGCACACTCCATAAAAATGGAGAACAAAGCACTCTGATGCAAGTAAGCATAACCTAAAATGGAAGTGTTTATGTTATTCATTGATTTTAGAATACCTTGAACACGCGAATAAGAAGGAACGCCACGAATCCAGAAAACCCCATATGGATCATTGTCAGCGTTATAGGAAGTGGAAAATTGAAGTATTTTGGCGATAAAACCCACTGCAATTAAAAGCAACAATAGGGACATCATTTAGAATTCAGCCTCTAATGTAACAAAATCTAAAACCAGATACGGCTATAATTAGCCCTAATCTATCACCTAATGTTATCATCGCACTAGTATCATCCTTTTAAAGACAGATGCTACGAAATAATACAATACGATTCACATTGCTACAGAAAAGGTCTCTGGCTACAGTTTCAGCTAAGATACATATCAAACATCTAATTCTTGTATCGGAGATATATACAGCCTATGAAGTTCAAAATCCAACAAATTTGCAAACTTCCATATCCGCGTAAGAATTAGATACGTTAACATTTGAATCACCTTGTTGTACAGTATAACTCCTGAAGAGAGTAGAATGTAAATCAGTAAGTAGATATAAGTTAGTACAAGCGTCTTGTTTATCATCTTTGCCATCTTCCTCGTCCCTTAATGTTCTTTGATAGTCAATTTCCTCTCACTGTGCCAATACCAAAATAGGGCAGTGTCCCGAAAAAACCAGGTGCAGAGGTTCCGTGGCCATTAACTGAACCCAAAAACAAAGCAAATATTTTGTCAGCCATTGCAGACATAACTAAGCAATCAAAGTTTCCGCTTTCCTAGTAACAAAGCAAGCTTAATGCCACAGTTGAGAGAGCTCTACTTCTATTATCGAAATCAACAGTGAGGGACTAATACGCCATGAGAAGCAGGACAGAAACTAAAACCATGCAATTCGATTTTTACCGCACCGAAAATAATCACACTAGAAGATAAAATCAAATCCAAAGACATGAAAATTCAAAACTTTAAAACCTAAATCCACCAGCTGGAGCAGGAGAAAATCGAGAGATCACGATCAGAGAAAAAAAGCGAATTGTATCAGATCCGATAAGCTGGGAGTATCAAAATCGAGCAAAATGGAGAAGAAGAGCAGACATTACTACCTCGAGATCATAAGCCGAGAACTGCACATTATCAACAAGGAACCAAAACGCACAAATCTAGTTCAAACGAATCGATAGATATCAGACGAACACTATCGAAAAGAAAATTTCAGAAACTAAAAAAACTGGAATCCGACGATAAGACGAATTGGTTTTCTATGGGAAACAACGAAACAGAGAGAAGAATTTATTAATAAATGGAGAGAACAACGTAGAAGTTTGTGAGAACTGGAGAGCTACAGTTGTTTTAGTTGGAGAAGAGGGATTGGAACTTGAAATTATTATATTTTCGCCACAATAAACAACAATATTGGACACAAGTATAATAATTAAATGAATAAGTAAACAAATAAAAAACGGGCGGTGGTGATGAATAGGCCAATCTGCAGAATCTGAATCGGACGGCTAAGGTTCTATCTCACGGATGTGGAGAAGACCCGCCAAGTAAGTTATAAGGTTTGGGCTATATGGGCCTACTTTACACCTTATGTTTTGTGAAATGGTTTTTATAGGCCCATTTGTGCTCTGAATCCCAACATTTCAAGATAACGAAAGAAAAATCTGCAATGAGCGATAATGATGGGAGTATGTATATATCGACGTGGTTGTGTTTTGTTGTATGTTCAAGATCTAAGGTCTATCTTATGATTAAAATATATTTTTCAAAACGTGAGGATTTGGGAGGTTTTAATATATTTAATTAAGAGTAACCAAGTGAATGTGATATACTAACCAATTTATAATTGAAGGTCTTATTCTATTAATTGGTATATTACTAACCAAATCTTGTCGGCAATAAGATAGTGTTGTCGATTCATTTTCCTTTAACACAACAAAAAGTTACCGATAAATTAACTCATCTATTACGTGTGAATACACATTCAAAGTACCAAATAAAGTTACTCTAAGGCTAATCTACCTTTTCAGCTAAAAATGTTTGACTAACTGAAAATTCGTGATTGGATATGAATTATGAAGTAAACCGCGAATACTTGAAACATATTCAAGGTATTGTTAGTCGACATTGATGACCATCTCATTTTGCATCAATATTACATGCTAAAGAAAAAAAGAAAAACTACATGAGAGAGACATGTTATACAATTTTTTTTTAGCACCGACCCTTACGTAGCAGCCATTGATGTATCTTCTTCTTTACCCGCTGATTGTGTTAACATATACACACGTGTCCTTTTTGATCCTTTTAACCTTGTTAAAGTTTATATTGTAAATTACGAAATAAAGCTAAATCAACATCGTTGGTATGAAAGTTTAAGGTTATGAGATGTTCATATAACTATTACAATTTCTTTCATAAACCTTAACTGTAATTAAGTAATAACGTGTCATGCTATAGAATGCATGGTTGGATAATGTATACAGAACCCAGCCATATATGGCGTTATATGGATTTGAAAATATACTATATGACTTAATATAAGCTCTTTGCAGCGTGTTTCCAACCGCTATTCAAGTAGTTATAAGTGTTTAAATACAACACTTGTAGATATTGAAACAACCTTTGATGATTTTTTCTTTGTTTGTCAAAGAAATATTATACTAAATTTAGATGATGACATCATGACACATCAGGCGACAATTGTATAAAGTATTAGGCTATATCCTATATGTCATGGCTTAATGATAAAGTATAATAGTATTAAACTATCTGTAATAATTATATTCACAACCACAGCACTATGTATTTTATGTTACTTGTGATATTTTTCTTGAACACAAATTCCGACAGTATTGTTGTTTTTTGATTTAGATGCAATGCATGTGTAGTTTATAGACAAAATAGAGCTTAAACAATCACTGAATGATATTAAAATTAATTATATATCAGTGTTATTAAGACCCTAATACATTAATTTTGGACTATCTTATGTGATAGTATGACAGATTTGATGTAACCCAACAACTACAAGACCATAATAAAATAATAAAACAGCAACAAATAGAAAAGGCATATAAAACAGCACCAAATAAAACTTTCAAGAAAAGAGAAATTAAGAACGACTAACTGAAAAACAAAGGAAAAAAGAGAGAAGAAACTAACATAAATATTCAAATAAACTATCAACAACACCAAGTCACCAACTAAAACCCAATTGCTGGTTTGCTTTTGGAGGCGGACACTAATCATGCACTTGTTTGTTACGCGTAGTCTAAATTATTGTTCTACTTCTACAACCAATCAACTTATTTTCTTTTTATTAAGTTAAAATTCAATAATTCAAAAATTATCATCTGCCATCGTGTAAGGTTACATGAGAAGGTGTGTTTGATATACATATTTTAGTATACATATATGATTCCAAAATTATCTTGGAGGGATATACACCATATGTCCATATTATATCATATATAGATCTAATACAGCTTGTAATATAATACAACTTGCAAAAATTAAATTCAAAACGAAAACAAAAACTTTTTGTATAATAACTCGTGAAACGCTTGAATAAAACTTAGAAATGTTTTATTAATAAAAAAAAAACTACCGTTTTTGAAAGCGAAATAAACAATCACATAAGTGGTCTTAAATTATAGATAATTGCCATCAACTATGACAATCGCCATGGACTATGACAATTTTTTTTTATAAAAAACTACCATGACAATTAGTTCCTAAATATTTGGATTTAACAATTTTTTTTTTTTAACAATTTATTATTAAAATGAAGTTAGACGGTTTGAGGCGGCTTTACGTGCACCTAGACGATTTATATTGTCCTGACATATTTTGCTGATAAGTAGAATTCATGGTGAATATTATGTCATAGTTTCTTTCTTTTTTGATAAATTGTATTATGTCATAGTTTCTCGATCATAATACTAAGTTACCAACTATATAAATTGTATGAAATCACCGTTGGTGTGTAAATCTATCATTTACATTAGATATCTAGATTATTAAAAACACATTGATCATCGTTTGAAGGAGACGTAAAAAATCGTGTGAAGCAAATACAATTATGTATATAAAAAAGAAAAATTAAAAAAATGAAGAGAAAGAGATAGAGAATCCTTTGTCCAGCTGGAGAATGATGATGAAGAAGGTATGTCTCTTGTATTCCACGCAGCAAGACAAAGGCATTCTCAGGTTGACTTTTGTCAAGCACACGCTAAGGCAACATTATTACTGCTTTATCTGTATTGATTTAATTATGTCTCTATTTCTTTGTTTTTCTATCTTAATTTTTTTTTTCTTTCTTCTTTTCGATTTTCCAACCCAGCAACCCTAATACATTTGTGTGGTAGAGACATCGTCAAAATTAAAGTAAGTATTTTCGAAATATTCATAGTGGAGTTATATGTAGTAGTCTTTTCAAGAAAAATGTTAATCAGATAACGGTATGAACTAATTGGAGACGACGTGCACTTATATAGTTATATGAAGGATTGAAGGTGAGCATATTAATGGCATAGGTATTGCATTTGCATGCCAATTTTTCTTTTTGAAAAATTTGCTTTCAATTGCAGTATGTTTATTACATGACTAATTAATTAATTTCTACATGAAATTATAAAAAGAACACGGACCCACGAATGCATCTTCTAATTGTTTATCATTTTGTTCTTAGAATTATTTATGTCTTTCTTCTTCTTCATTCAAAGAACCAAAATCCATAATTTTGATTGCAGCCGCTCGTTTCTTTTAATTTAATCGTTAAAAAAAAAGTATTTTTAAAAAATTAAAAACAAATGTACTTCCTTAATAGATAAAAAAATGTTTAGTGGAGAAGAATAAACGGAAAGGTGGTGATAGTATAATGACCAATTTATTACCTTAAAGAGTTAGGTGCGACGTCTAATTTAATGATGTTGACCAAATTGTTATATTAATTAGTAACACATTTTACAATGCTTATTTCCCTTAACAGTTAATATTTTACTTAAAAATTGTGGTCGCCAATCACGGCCCATATCTTCGTCATCCTCTATCATCATATCCTTATAGTTGTTCTTGTGTGTTTTTTTCTTCTCAACAACTAAAGTGGACATTTCATATGCAACTTTAAATATAAAGTATATTACATAAGATGAGAAATCTGAGATAAACATTACGTCACATATTTCTATACCTAAAACGTTTTTCTTTTTGTTCAATGAAACTGAAAAGTTTAAGAGATATATTTTAAAAGTTCAATCAATTAATTACCTTAGGTATTTTCTCCCAAGAAAATTGATGCAATCAGTTAGGCGAATTATTTTGATAGCAAAACCCTGTTTGGTTTTTTTTTTGTTTGGTCGTCAAACTCTCTGTTTGGTAAAGACTAAAGAATACTACTTCAACGAGAAAAAAGTAAAAAAGAAAAACCTTTATTAACAACCTCAGGTATCGAAACTTTTGTTAATATAGAAAACAAAAGCTAAAAGAATAATTTAATTGCCGAAAGATGTAAAATAATAATGCATGTCAAAAAGAAAAAGAAAAATTGCAATTTAGAAGAAAAAAAAAAACAAATTAGACAGGAAAAGGACGAAAATAAAAAAACCAAACACAGCCCACAAGCATAAAAAATATTCCAGAAGAAGAAACATCAAAGAAAGCTTCAAAACTTCCTTCTCTATTTCCCCCCTCTTTTGCCCCCCCCCCCCCACCAATGGAAACCCTACAAAGATCTCTGTAAAGATTTCTGAAAATGGAGAGATAATCTCACTTATTGTCTTTATTTTTTTTTCGTTTTTTCTCTTCGTTGATGGGCTCCCTTTATTAACCCGAGCTATAGTCTCCATCTTCCAACCGGATATAGAAAGAAAAAAGTAAAAGAAAAATTGTTCGAAAAGCAGGTACTGGGTTAATCACAATTGAATGATATTAGTGTTTATCATGGTTTTCTGAAGTTTCGATCTTTCTCTGTGGGTTTCGTTGGAAGATTAAAAGTTTCTTACTTTCTGCAATTTCGACTTTTCAGTTTCTTACAGTATCAATGCTCAAACAGTCTATATTGCTTACGGGATCTTGATCCTTGTATCGGAATGGTTTCAGATTATAAGTTTTGGATGATTCACTAGTCTGATATGATTATGGAACTCGTAAATTCTTTATTTTGTTACAGCGCAATCCTTTGTTTATCTTAAGTCATCCGTATCAGATTTTACATGTTCTTGATTTCTCAGGGGGAGAGTTTTAGTTTCCTATACTCTGCTTTTTAAAATTTTGCTCTGTTTGATTCTCTTTTGTTTAGCTCTTTTAGCGACAAAGCTGAGGTTTTTATTATAATATGATTTAGCTTAACCCCTTGTTGATCATCTTTTTCATTATTATTATAATTTACCAATGCTTCATCCTATAGTATTAGCTTCAATATACTATTTTCCCCCTGATTTGTTAGGTTCTAGTTTGGATTTAATGTTCCCTTGACACTCAAATTTGATTACATTGATGATCCATTTACAATTCTGCAGGTAAATATATATAAACACGAATACAAATCTCTGTGAACTATAAATGGCGTCTGAGCTGAAACAAACTCTAACCAAGAGATATGGTGCTCTTCAACTTTGGGAGATCATAGTGATTGCTCTGTTTGCAGCTTTCATAGTAATCCTCGGCATTTCAGTATGGCTCAGCTTCCGTAAAAAATCAAGAAGACCTAACTTAACACAGCTTCCCGTAGCTCAAAGCCCTCGCCTTCCTGAAGAAATCAAAGAAATAAGTGTTGACCATGTCTCATCCAACAGCAATGGTACTTGTCATCAAACTCTTGATGAGAAATTCGGCGAGAATAATGACATCGAGAATGGCAATAACTACTCTGGTTCTCTAGAGAAAAAAACTCCGGTCGGGTCACATTTGCCTTGTTCTACTTCTCCAACAACATCTCCTTCACCTCTCTCTGGTCTTCCCGAGGTTTCTCACATTGGTTGGGGTCATTGGTTCACTCTCCGTGACCTTCAACTCGCGACCAATCAATTTGCCAAGGAGAATATCATCGGTGATGGTGGCTACGGAGTTGTGTACCATGGTACTCTAACTAACAAAACCCCTGTAGCTGTCAAGAAACTGCTCAACAATCCGTAAGATCTCTGATAACACCTTTCTTTATCTATTGAATGATCATGATCTGAGATGAAATCTTTGTTTTTTCTTTAATCGTTTAGAGGGCAAGCCGACAAAGATTTCAGAGTTGAAGTTGAAGCAATAGGACATGTCCGGCATAAGAACTTAGTTCGGCTTCTTGGATATTGTGTTGAAGGAACTCATAGGATGCTGGTTTATGAGTACATGAACAATGGGAACTTAGAGCAATGGCTTCACGGAGACATGAATCACCAAGGACATCTCACGTGGGAGGCTCGGATCAGAGTTCTTGTTGGCACTGCAAAAGCGTAAGCTCCCTTTCCAAAAACCACTTGATGGTTCTTGATTCTTGTTTTCTTGTTTCATGAGAATGTGTTTTGATTGCATTTTAATCTACACAGGCTGGCTTATCTTCATGAGGCTATTGAGCCGAAAGTGGTGCATAGAGACATAAAGTCGAGCAATATACTGATGGATGACAACTTTGACGCCAAGTTATCTGATTTCGGTCTTGCTAAATTGCTTGGAGCTGATAAAAGTTACGTCAGTACTCGAGTAATGGGAACATTCGGGTGAGTTATAAACTGTAGCTTTTATCTTGACCTTTCCATAATCTGCATTGTTTATTGATCATTTTTCCTCTGTTTCACTTATGAATATGTTCAGGTATGTCGCGCCTGAATATGCTAACTCCGGTCTCCTAAACGAGAAGAGCGATGTGTACAGCTTTGGTGTTGTTCTCTTGGAAGCTATTACGGGAAGGTACCCAGTGGATTATGCGCGGCCTAAAGAAGAGGTATACAAAACGGTTCATATGTTCTCCATATTGTTGTGGAACACTCTGATATTGAACAGTTGAGGTTGATCTTGATTCATGAAATGTGTTTTTAAGGTGCATATGGTGGAGTGGTTAAAGCTAATGGTGCAGCAGAAACAGTTTGAGGAAGTGGTTGATAAAGAGCTTGAGATCAAACCATCAACAAGCGAACTTAAACGAGCGCTTTTAACAGCTTTGAGATGTGTTGATCCTGATGCAGACAAGAGGCCAAAGATGAGTCAAGTGGCTCGAATGCTTGAATCAGATGAATATCCTGTAATGCCTAGAGAGGTAATTACAACATTACTCGCACACACACACAAAACTGCAAAACTGCTTACTTTTTGTGGAAACTAAAGTGTTAAGAATTGTTTTATTAGGAACGAAGACGAAGGAGAAGTCAGAACGCAGAGCTGCCTAGAGAAAGCACAGAGACGAATATAGATGAGATAATAAGAGATGCAAAGATTTGAGTAACAGACAGAAACATCGACCCTTTTTATAAACTTTGGGGTTGAAAAGAAGAAAAACCTTTAGATTCTTTGGAGATTGTTTAGATTCTTTACAGTAATTATGGGTTAATTATGTGATATATCATACATACAGAGAGAAGAACAATATTTGTTTCTATTTGTCTGGAGGAGAGGGCTTTTGTATAGCTTTGTTGTACCTTTATTACCTTCATACACGGTCAGTTACAGACTGTTAATTTTACAAGGTGTATCGTTTCTTCGAGCTTTATATATTTCTTTCCAATATAAGCTTTGGGACTTTATATAAAATAGATTTTCCAATGAATTTTTTTTTTTGTGTGTGAATAGGTTACAAAATGGTACGTTTTCTCAGTTTTACAAAACGGCACATAAACAGTATCGGTATATATATCCTTTCCTCGCATATTGTAAAATTAGTAGAAAACTTACATCACAGGCATGATATAACATAAACAAAATAGAGCAACGTTGAGCTTTCCAAGTGAGAGTTTCAGTGAAGTGAGTAGGGTTTTATGAGAGAGATAATAGCCTATTTCACGAATTTACACAAATCGGGTTCAAACAAAAACAAATGAAATAGTGAAGATGAAGCGTGGAAACAGATCGGAGCATATATCAATAAGGGTTGTTCCTGTGTGGAGTCTGAGGAGCAGAGCGAGGAGGATTGAGCAGAGGCTGAAGAGCCTTCACCACTATGCTCATGTTTGGCCTGAAGTCTGCCTCATATTGCACACACAGCGCAGCTACCGCAGCCAGCTGATCATACCCAGTCATAAGAGACAAAACCAAAATCAGACTCAGAGATCATACCCGGATTTTGTTTTATGGTTTAAATACTTAGGTTCTAATGTTAGAAAATGAGATTTTGTATTTCAGTCTAGGCCTACAATAGGGAACACAACAAGAGGGAATCAAAACGAATTCTTTTTGTATTTCTAAAACAGGTCTTGGGGTAAACTGTCTCTACTGAAACGGTGAGAGTAATACAAGTTTATGGATGAAATTACCTTAGCAACAGCTTTGGGAGGATATTCTCCATTTAGTCTTGCATCAACGCACTGCTTCACCTTGTCTTCACTCAGTTTAGGGGTTGCCTGAGACACACAAACGCGTTTTCTTTTAATAATGGTTTTTTTTTTTGGGGAAAGTTCAGAGTATCTAATCTCTCACAATCAAGCAGATTTAAAAAACACCCCCACTTTAATACATAAACATTCCTTCTTTTCTAAAATTGGCAAGCTTTGTTCTTATTCTGATATTTTCTAGTTTAAGCTCTTCTTTTCCCATTCCTAATAGACTGAATAAATGTCTACTTCTAAATTTTTGGTCTTCCTGAAACATTTACTTATAAATATGAGTAAACCAGAATAAGAAGCAGTAGTGTACTAAGCATTACCCATGTCACAAGACTCTGCTGTCCTCTTGGTAAGGTATGATCAACTGGTTTACGACCTGTGAGGAGCTCTAGCAGAACAACGCCAAAACTGTAGACATCACTCTTTGTGCTCAATGTTCCTGTCATTGCATACCTGAAATAAAGAACCAACAAATGTTAAAGACTCTAGTTTGGTCAATTAGAGGACATACTGGACACACAACAACGTTAAGGTATGACAAAATGATCATCAAAGCTTAATCTAAGGAAGGACTTAGTATCTAATAACAAACGTCTCTGAACAAGATTTGAATGTAACCACATGATTAATCTCAACAAAACAAATCAAATATCACTGTACAAGATAAAGGAAGCAAGTAAAGCGCTTACTCTGGAGCGTGGTAGCCAAAGGTTCCCAGCACACGAGTTGAGTGAAGGCGTGCAGCCATGTCAGGGGCTTGATTGGACAGATCGAAATCAGCAATCTTGGCAACATCATCGTCAAACAGAAGTACGTTGCTGGATTTGATGTCTCGGTGGATAACATGAGGGTTTGCCTTCTCATGCAAGTACTCGAGTCCTCTAGCCGCACCAACAGCAATTTTGACTCTCTGGTGCCACGACAGAACAGGACCTGGCTGTGCTCCTTTGACACCTTTTCGACCTGCACAAAAAAAAGTCACCATGTTTCATTAGTTCTTCCTCCAAATGGCGTGCATCCTCCTTCGATTATAGTTTCAAATGTTCAAGTCTTACTTAATCAAAGTTTTACATTAGTAGCTTACCATGAAGAATATCATGAAGAGATCCATTAGGAGCATATTCATAAGCAAGAACACGGAGTGGGCCATCAACGCAATATCCCAGAAGCGCAACAACATTGTCTTGTCGCAATCTTGAAACCATTGATACCTGTTAAAGTACCTTATGTGAGTAACAAAGCCAAAAATTTGACAAAACAACCTCAACAGAGTAACTTCGCGCTGAAATAATAGAGTAGAGGAGTATAAGGCCTACTAGGATCGGTATCCAACAAATGCAAAGAATTCGTTCAATATGAGATGAAGGCCGAAACAAGACTGCAATGATCTACTAAGTAGCATCTACCTGTGCAAGAAATTCTTGATCCGGTTGCTTACTGGAATCCAGTTTCTTAATGGCAGCTGCCTTACCGCTTTTGAGAACACCGTAAAACACTCTGCCATATGAGCCCTCACCAATCAACGACTTTGAACCATAGTTATCGGTTATATCCTTCAACTCATCTGCTGGGATGGCCGGAACAGCGATAGGCTGCATCTGAATGACTGGCGGGTACTTTGGCGGATCTGCCCTTTGATGGTGACCTCCATTGTAACCTAAACAACAGTTGAGAAAAGTTTCATTAAACTGAAGAAAAATACTGGTATGAATGAAGCAGTTGAATACAGGGGTAAACTAAGCTACCTGCTGCGTTGTGCACTGGCTTTGGTCCTGTTTCAGCGACTCTACGGAAATCCTCACCACCACAACAACCAAAGCAGCTCATTACGCTTTTTTTCTCTCAGACCAACTTACAAAACTGTACAAGTATAACGCGAAACGTCAGCAAACAGGTTTCCTAACATCAGTGGTTTTGTTTTGCAGAACAAGAATTTTGAGCTAGAGAAACATTAATTGCAAAACAGAAATTAGGCATGGGAATTCCAATTATAGGGTTTAAGCAAGCAACAGAGACAGTCTAATCGAATAAATCAAACGGAAACAGATTCTTCACAGAAACAGATTCTTCACAGAAACAGATTCTTCACAGAAACAGATTCTACATCATACAGAGTAAAATCGTTTTTACGGCCATGATCATGTTTCTTCATAAGTGCATAATTCGATCGAAAATTCACACACTAACGAGACGACCGAGACATTTGGTGACCTAGAATATCACAAGTCAACGATCGTAACCCGTAAAATGGATTTCAAGCCAAAATAACTATAAATAAACTCCGATAAATCCGTTTACAGTAACTAAATCGGCATGGAAAATCGAACACTTAATGAAAAAAAGAAACAAAAAAATCCGATTAAAAATTGATGTACGAACATAAAAGGATAAAATGGAAATCCATGAAGAAGAAGAAGAAGAAAATATTTACCTGTTCCAAAAATCGCAAAAGAGAAAAGATGAGACGAATCGCTGAAGCCGGATGTTTTTTTCTATCGTGTTCGTCGTAGGGTTGGTGAAGCTTACGCTTAAGGAAGGCAGACTTTTCTTCCCGGCGGAAAATTTACAGTAAATGATATATAGGGTGGAGCAGAGGCGCACGATAGCTACTTGTACTAGTCTGAGTCTCCCCTTGCCTTCTATTTGATTTATTTTACTATTTCGTGTTTAGAGGTCCAAAAGTCTTTAATCTACTAATTAAATTAGCCATTTGATTAAATCTAACTGGTCGATAATTTCATATAATTTTTTTTTGGGAAATGAAGTGATTAAACAATAACAGTCAATATGTGTACAATGGGTAATTTTGGCTTGGTAACTAATGTGAGAGCTCAAGCTTTTTTTACCTGGGATAAATTTGTGTGAGACAAATAAATAATACCGAGATGAATCATGTAAGCATGAAGCATCTTGTTTTTGAAGATTATTGATCTAAAAATAATTGTAAATACTGTGATATAATTCGGTCAATATGTGTACACTGGGTAATTTTGGCTTGGTAATTAATGTGAGAGCATCAAGCTTTTTTCACCAGGGGTTGAATTTGTGTGAAACAAAATAAATAATACCGAGATGAATCATGTAAACATCTTGTTTTTGAAGATTATTGATCTAAAAAATAATAGTAAGTACTGTGATATAATTCGGTCAATATGTAAAGCGAGTCTCTTTTGACCATCAAAGGCGATCGTGTTCTTTGTGATATTTGGTCGTCGGGTTTACAAGTCAACAACCACCTCGAAGTTTTCGCATCTGTCTCACCTTAATTTCCACCATCTTTTCCTTTTCTTTTAAATTCAAAGTGAACAAACTTATTACATACAATGTAATTAAAAAAAAAAAAAAACAACAAACATAGGCTTGTATTGGCTTATACAACAATAAACAACCAAACACCCTTCAATTCCCTTTGTGAGGAGATTAAAAACCACTCTTATCCATTGCCCAAGCGTACACAATTGTCTAAATAAAACCATATTGTCTGATTTGTTTTTTTGTTTTATCCACATATTAACTCAACAAAAAATTAGTTGATTAATCTTGTCCAAACAAGACATAAATGTTGAGTAATCGCAAATGGACTATAGACAAAAAAAAATAAAATAATCTATTTTAATTTTCCTTGTGGCACATTGCTTGATTAGGGCTAAGCTTGGAACATAAGAGCACCCAAATGGACGATGTATTTCTGTAGAACTTCCAAGATCCACTTGTCTGAAATACCCATCCTCTCCAATGATATAAGCTATGTTGCGATCGAACCAATCATCATCTTCATCGTCTTTATCAAAAACCACAGCGACTCTATTCTCTTGGTCAATGAAGAAACTTCCTTGTGAAGGTCCAAACTGAACATAAGTGAGTGGTATCATATCCACTGCTAAGAACAACTTGTTCCACCGCACCTCTTTAGGCTCATTCTTAGTCGTAACCCAAATCTTTATACGTGCTGTCTCCTTTCGCTGAAATAACACATCAAGTTGCTCTTCTCTAACACTAGAGAGAGTCACAGTATCTCCAATATAAGAGTGAAACGGGAGACGAAGACGCGGTCCAAACCTCTCTGCTGTAAAATCAAAACAGATCAAGAAATCAGCAATCTCTCCATGTCTGTTGCCTTGACGCTTTTGTTGAGCAAACCAAGAAGTATTTCCGTTGACGGACACGCCACGTGCATAAAACTCTATAAACCACTCGGATGTGACATCAAGAGCCCTCCATGAATTAGACTCTAACTCGTATATTTCGTACTCAACAAATCCATCAAATCCATGTAAACCATCAACAAATCTCAAAATTTTGTAGCTGCGGCATGATTTGCTATTCTGGTATCCAATAGCATACCTGTACCAGTCCAGTCTATCGTGAGGACTTCTTGGCTTGAGCCACAAGGTTTTGCCCGAATATGGATTCCAAACAACGAACCTAGCGTAGTCTTTTGCGATGCATAACAATAATCCGTCGCAGTGATAGACTAGTGATATATCGACTCCATCTGAATCTTCTAGGCTAATAAGCTTACCTTTACGGTCCATAGATGGGTCTACGCCCTTGTGAATTCCATGGAGATCGAGGGTCATTAAATAAACACGAAACTCTATCACCATTACCACCATAAACTCCTTTGCTGCTGCTGCTTTTGCTTGAGCAAGGTGATTCTTTGTAAAGGACCGATCTTTAAATAATGTGTTCCAGTTTTTGCAAGCAGATCGGAATCCTCTCAGAGATTTCATCGGGAGCCTAGAGAACACCTCCTCTGCCAAATCCCTTGGAAGATCAGACATCATCGTCAATTTTGCAGGTAACTTCTTCTTCTCCTCCTTCTTCGTTGCTGCTTTTGCTTGAGCAACGTGCTTCTTTGTAAAGCTCTGATCTTTGGATAAAGTATTCAACTTTTTGCAAGCAGATTGGAATCTGCTCAGAGGTGTCACCGGAAGCCTAGGGAGCAACTTTTTTGTTCTTCTCTGTAATCAGATTTTGAAGATATAGAAACACTAAATGGGCCTTTTAGAATGTATTGGGCTCAAAAATGTGGACCGACAAGACATTCTGATAAGATTTTCCCCAGCGTTATAAGATGGGATTTCGGAAGTTTAATGATTTTCTGGAATTTGAAAGTTTTTTGGTCATATTATGGTTATTTTCCATTTTGGATCGGACAAGATTGACCCTTCGGTCTAATTTAACAACATAGCCGACACTACTACGTACCAAAGATGAGAAAAAAAAGGAAGAATTCTATGTTGTCTTTTTGCCGGTAGGCCCAGTGGACCCTTCACTAAAAGAGTAAAGAGACAGCCTGTGTGACTGACTCTTTGTCTATGTGTATCTCTATTTCATTCCCCAACTGCCCCATCCGGTTTCCCGGTAATTAACTCACCGACACAAACACCATCCCAAAGATTTACATTGCTTAAAAATATCTAGCAATTATATAGATGATTTTTTTGTTGTAGTACCATATTTAAATCTCCTTAAATTTGATTTTTATTCGACAACTATTATTACAATAGTAATTCGCGATCTTCATTAGATGCTGTCTAGTTGTACTTGCACGCGGTGACCCAGTTAAGCAAATCCAACGGTTGAAACTTAGCTTTCTTTTATAGATCTAATCTGAACCGTCAGATATCTGGATCTCATTTTCTCTGAACAGAGTGGGAATGAATCTAGACGAAATTACGATCTTACACCACTTTTCATAGCTTCGTATATATAAAGCTTATACGCTCTTCCTTCTCCTTCGTACCACTACATTCCTTTCGCAGCCTCCATTTACGTATCTCTCATTCTTCTCCCTTTAGGTATGCAATCTCTGCGTTTCTCTGTTTCTGTTATCTCATCGGTTGAATTTTGATTGACTGTTAATTATATAGTTTTGAATCGAATTGCTGTCTGGTTCGACGAGCTTTTTAGATTGTTGATCTGTATCGTTTTCTAGATCTGGCTAGTGATCTCGATTCCAATTTCATTACTATATTGAAGTTTCTTATTTGTTTATACTGAATTTTTTCATTGATAAATGCTTGAAATTCTTTTGCTAGGTTGTTTGTTTTTCGAATCCGACGGAAAAAATGGAATCTTTTTTGTTTACCTCTGAGTCTGTCAACGAGGGACATCCAGACAAGCTCTGTGATCAGATCTCCGACGCAATCCTCGACGCTTGTCTCGAGCAAGACCCCGAGAGCAAAGTCGCTTGCGAGACCTGTACCAAGACCAACATGGTCATGGTCTTCGGCGAAATCACCACCAAGGCTAACGTCGATTACGAGAAGATCGTCCGTAAAACTTGCCGTGAAATCGGATTCGTCTCCGACGACGTTGGTCTAGACGCTGATAACTGCAAGGTCCTCGTCAACATCGAGCAGCAGAGTCCAGACATCGCACAAGGTGTCCATGGCCATCTCACGAAGAAGCCAGAGGAGATCGGAGCTGGTGACCAAGGTCACATGTTCGGCTACGCCACCGACGAGACTCCTGAGCTCATGCCGCTTAGCCATGTCCTCGCTACTAAGCTTGGAGCCAAGCTCACTGAAGTTCGCAAGAACGGGACTTGCGCGTGGCTGAGACCAGATGGTAAGACTCAAGTCACAGTTGAGTACTTTAACGAGAACGGAGCTATGGTCCCTGTCCGTGTCCACACTGTTCTCATCTCGACGCAGCACGACGAGACAGTGACCAACGACGAGATCGCAGCTGATCTCAAGGAGCACGTGATCAAGCCAGTGATTCCAGAGAAGTACCTTGACGAGAAGACCATCTTCCATCTCAACCCATCTGGTCGTTTTGTGATCGGAGGTCCTCACGGTGACGCTGGACTCACTGGCCGTAAGATCATCATCGACACTTACGGTGGATGGGGTGCACACGGAGGTGGTGCTTTCTCCGGTAAGGATCCGACCAAGGTCGATAGGAGTGGTGCTTACATCGTTAGGCAAGCAGCTAAGAGCATTGTAGCTAGTGGGCTAGCGAGGCGGTGCATTGTGCAAGTCTCATACGCCATTGGTGTCCCTGAGCCATTGTCTGTGTTTGTGGACAGCTATGGAACCGGGAAGATTCCAGACAAGGAGATTCTTGAGATTGTGAAGGAGAGTTTTGATTTCAGGCCAGGGATGATATCTATTAACTTGGACTTGAAGAGAGGAGGTAATGGTAGGTTCTTGAAGACTGCTGCTTATGGTCACTTTGGAAGGGACGACCCTGATTTCACCTGGGAGGTTGTGAAGCCACTCAAGTCTAACAAGGTCCAAGCTTGAGAACCTGAACCAAATCTCAGGTGTAGCCACTGTTTCACGCCTGTCCAGATTCAGTCGCGGTCTCTGTATTTTTAGGCTCTTTCTGGGCTTTTTAGTTTCAACTCTGAGAATGGGTTTAATTATTTTTTCTTTTCAACTTTGAAGAAAGAAGTCTTTTGAGTATTATTTATTTGTTATTGTTGTGGGGAAAGTTAAATCATATTTTGTATTTTCTTGCTTCTTTTGAGAAAGATCATTATATAAAAGAGTATTCGATATTACCATCCTTTGTTTGTATTCTAATTGTCAAAGATTTTTAGCTTCAGATTCAAAAGAATCCGACAACATTTTTGACGAGTCGTCTCAATCACAGAGCCAAACAAGACTGAAAGATAGAAGACAACCAAATCTGACTTTGAGGGAAAACATGATGAGATCAGACATCAGAGTGCACTAGTGATTCCATGAACGCAGACATCAGCTTCAACGAGACAGACATCTTTGAGCAACAAGCCACTGTTTGGCTGGGTCAAATAAACCATGGATACATATTTCACCCATCCGTTCTCCAAGCTCGTTCGAGTGAACCATTTAGTAACTGTAAACCAAGACACAAGTTACAAGTGAGCGGATTCACATTTCATACAAGCATCAACAACTGAGTTTCTTGGATGTTACCTTTCCCTGCGATGTGCCTGCCTTGAAGCTGATAAAATATTCGTATTGTAAACTCTGCAAATATCTTTGTACCGTCTGAAACGGTTTCAGGATCTGCGAGAATCAAATAGACAGAAAGATGAGTTCCTGTTCCTTGCTTCGTTCCACTCGGATAAAACCGTATCTTCCTGCATTAAAACGGTTGAGTAGCGTTAAAGCATTACGCTATGGTTTTTTGGGATTGTTACTAAATAAGTTGTTACCACACTTTCTTTGTCTAACTTGGAGAAATTCTCGATTTTCCAGACGTGTTTAGAGCTAGTAGCATCTTTAATCATTGATAAACACTCTCCTCTCCCACTTCTTCTCTCCTTGGAAACAAATACATCAGCTCCAAACATACATGTGTCTTCCAAGAGGTATCCGTTTGAGGCATCAAAGAAGGTACTGGTAGGGATGAATTTATCGAATCCCCATCCACTCTTTACCGTATGGAATCGTCTCTCTTTTCCTGCAACACGAAAATGCATATTAGAGAGGATGAGAAAAAGAAAAAAAAGAGATATTGAAGAAGTGAAAAGAAGTTATGAATCTTACCTTGTAGGATCAAATAACTATCTTTGTTTTGATCTAGCAAAAACAAATACAGACGGAAAACAGCGAAACCTCCCACCCTGGACCTAATGAACTAGAGTCCGCGAGAGCCAAATAAACAGAAACATGATCTTTCATGTTCTTGCTCTTGTTTCCATTTGGATACAGGACCAGTTTCCTGCAAGAACAGCCACATACATATTCTGTTAGATATATGCTAAGACCAAAACAATGTAAGTTACTAAATTCAGGGTATTTGATTGGACAACAGAGAAAATAGAAACAAATATGGTCCCATATTCACATGTTGTGTAATAATAATGACGAGCGATACCAGACACATGTTAATGATGATAAATCTTTAATCTAAAAAGGTTGGTTAATAACTAAAGAGAGAAGAAGAAGAAAGTTGTGTAACAATGATGCCATACCAGTTGTAGCCTCCAGCTTCAAAGCTCTCTGTTTCGTATCTCTCTATAGCGTGCTTTGTAAGGAGTGAGAAAGACTCTATCTTGACCGTGTAATGCGTTGGTGGGCCATCAGAAACAGACTTTATAATTTCTGCAATGATACATCTAACAAAAAGTTATTTTTGAGAAAAAAATAACTTTAAACTATAAGTGAAAAGAAGAATGAATTTAATAGGTTGTGATCACAAAAACACAATAAGAGTTTTCTTTTTGCAAATTTCAAGTCTGATCATTATCTTAACCATGAGGTCTTTAAATACACATAGGAGATCGATCCTACAAAGAAGGAGATAAGAAAGTGGGAAGAGGGAAGTGGAGAGTGGAGATTACTGGCCCTATGATTAAGCATAAATTAAAAGATTTCATTAACAATAAAATTAACAATTAATCAGTCCCATCAGAATTCAATAATATTCTTCACAAGAAAACAGGGCAACAAGAAAAGATGATATTATGGGAAGGTTGAAATAATAGAGTTTGGAGGAAGTAAACAAGAGGCTCATATGCACATATACATACACGTTTAACTGTTGGTAAGTCCGTGTATAAGCTAAGTGAAAAATATAGAGAGAAAGAGAGATGATACCATCATGATCTCCGAAACTGGCCATGAGAAGATTTGCAGAAATCAGAAAGGAATATGCAGATAAGAATATGCAGATAAGCGTCACTCTATTAACTTTCTATATATAGATTGCATCTGGAAACAAAAACCCTGTTTAGGATCAAACCTTTTATACTTTGCTTGAAAGGGTTTAACCTTTTGCATGCATGAAGACTTGAAAGGGTTTAACCTTTGCCTCCCACAAACAAAGGGATTCCAAAACGGAACGAAGTGCATTGCACATATATCATTGGAGAGAAACAAACAACAATAAGAGTATATATTAAACAAACGATCAAGGCAGGTGTTTTGAAAGCAACTTCCTGATCAACAATTCCTCTGCTTTTGACACTCAAAACAAAACAGTGTTATTGGTAATGCATAAAATGAGACAGAAGAGTATTCGGGTTAAATTTCGGTTAAAGCTTAATTAGACTGTTGTAATCAAACAAACCGGAAAATGGGTCTTGTATTAATCCGATCCGACACTCATGACACGTGACTTTATTACAAAGGTCTTCACTAGTGTGTGGTCTCCAGTATCCAATTATTCTCTCTCTCTCTCTCTCTCTCTCTCTCTCTCTCTCTCTCTCTCTCTCTCTCTCTCTCTCTCTCTCTCTCTCTCTCTCTCTCTCTCTCTCTCTCTCTCTCTCTCTCTCTCTCTCTCTCTCTCTCTCTCTCTTTACCCTTCGTTTGATCAGAGGAAACAGAGAAAAAAAAAAAGAAAAGAAAACGAAATCGGTTAGTGTGTGATTACTTACGACGGAGAAGAAGAAGACAATGGCGACAGAGACGTCGACGCAATCTTACAGCGAGCAGTGGTACTGGGACGATCGCTACTCGAACGAATCTGAGCCGTTCGATTGGTACCAGAAGTATTCTGCCTTGGCTCCTCTCATCAATCTCTACGTCCCTCGCCGTAATCACCCAGTCCTCGTCATTGGCTGCGGAAACTCAGGTACATAGCGACGAAAGTCTCTATATTTAAAAAATCTTTCTTTACAAAAATTTCTGGATCCGTCTGATTTTGTTGTTTCGAATTTCCGATGCAGCGTTCAGCGAGGGAATGGTGGATGATGGGTACGAGGATGTTGTCAATATCGACATTTCCTCTGTGGTGATCGATTCCATGATCAAGAAATACTCTGACCGTCCTCAGCTCAAATGTACGTACGTCTCTTTTGTTTTTACATTTGTGATTTCTTCTGCTGCTTGCTTAATGTTAAGCGTGCGAGATATTGACAGAAGAACTGTTCCGATTCCTACAAGTTTATTTCCATGTATCTTCGTCTGCCTTGGTCGCTTAGTTACTAGATTTAGCGTAATTTTTTTTTTTTTTTGTATTTTTGATCGTGTGAAACAGATTTGAAGATGGATGTGCGTGATATGAAGGCCTTTGAATCTGATTCTTTTGATGCTGTAATTGATAAAGGTATATTATTAGTACATGTTTGATTCCCATTATCATCCCAGTTCACTCTGTTTCATGCAATAACATATTGGACTTTTCTTGTGTGTGTGTGTGTGTATATTTTCAGGAACCTTAGACTCCATTTTGGTGAGTGAGGACTGCTTTCTCTTTACTTATGCAATCTCTACATTCTGATTTCTCACTGAAAGTCTAATCCTTTTTCTTGTTCAGTGTGGGAGCAATTCGAGGCAATACTCAACACAAATGCTTGAGGAGGTTTGGAGGTACTAAATCAGCAATCTATGGCATGAATGTTGAATGGTTTTCTTTATTCGTTCTGGCTTCTCCTTGTATATTTCTTTCTTGATCCTTCCAAATATAATGAAACAGTTGATGAAAACTATAGGGTTCTCAAGGATAAAGGAGTCTATATCTTGGTAAAATCTTCATATCCGGGCTTATGATTATGTGTTTCTGTTTGTTGAATGCACACATTGACTTTAAGCAGGTTCTCTGCAGATTACATATGGAGCTCCAAATTACCGTCTTCGGCTGTTTAAAGAATCGTGCTCTTGGACAACCAAACTGCATGTGATAGGTTTAGCTATATAATTCAGAAACCATGATTTGATTCATATCTGGGAATATGCCTCTTGTAATATTTGTGTATTCTAGCTAAGACTTGCTGTGTTTTTTTTTTTTCTTTGCAGACAAAAGTTTGACCGAACAACCACTAGAAACGCCAAAATGGGAACTCACAAAACCCATTGCTCTAGATGCTGAGGAAGATTCAGTGGAATCGGCAATTGGCAAAAGTCCTGATGTTCATTACATCTATGTCTGTACTAAGGTGCGTGCAGTTTGATCCTCCTCCATTGTTTTCTTTAGCCTTTTAGCTAAGATGATGTTTCTATGTCTCTGGAGAACCATTTGCATCCGGCTTTATCTCATGATATGTTCCACATATATCACGCAAATCGATCTCATCTACAAACTCGGTCTGAGTTTCACCTGTGTCGTTGTTCATTTGAAAATTGTCTCAGGATGAGTCGTTGAAGGTGGAGGCAGATGCAGTCTAAAGTCATTGGAATCTTTTTGTGCATTTCGCTTCGAAGTTCGAACATATAGGTCCTACAAGGACTAAGTTTTGTCTTTGTTTGTATTTTTTGTGCAAGAGTGAAGACGATCATATCTTGGGTTCATGTTGACTGCGTAATTAGAGGAGGAACAAAAATCATAATTGTTTTAGCAACGAGAAATCGTGGTCAAGTGGCTTACGGCCTTAACACCGATTGATGGCAAACTCTTCCTTTATAGAGAAATATAAACATACAAATACAAACAACAGACCAATTACAACAACTTATACACAACAATTTTCAACTTAAACACAAAAACATCCCTAAAACGTAATTCCATCAAGCTACTGGACGTGGGACTTGTGGTCATGAGTGTGTGAACGATCAAGCCAAATAACGCAGAACAGTTTGGGTGAAAATTCACTCTTTTCTTCTCTAAAATCTGATTTGTTTAGCCACAATTTGCAGAACTTGTACCTTATTTATCTTCTTGAACTAGCTTCATATATAGGACTCGTGTGCAATATATACTCGATTCCTGGTATAAAGACGGGTTGTCACAAGCCGAGGAGAAGAGAGAAGCCTTGAGAAAAGCTCTTACCGGTATCTTATACCAGAGCTCTGTCCTTGAGTTTTTGTAGATGGATGATTATTGCTGGTTTTGCGATATTTTGCCAATTCATTATTAGCATGAGAAAGAAGCTTCTGAGCATTTTCCAGTCTCTTGGTATAATCAGTATCAGCAAGTTTAAATGATACTGTATCCTGGATAAAAAGAAAACTCAAAATCTTAGACTCAATCATTAAGTTCTTCTCCATATTCTTTGTTTTGGCCACATGCAGCAAACACTGCAGCGCGTTAGAAGTATTATGCATACCTTTTTTGTATGTGGAACATGTTGGTTACTGACCCGTGTATCATTGATAGTTCGTTCAAGTTCAGCTAACCTCCTCAGTAAATTGCTCTTGTCATTCTGGAAAAAATGGAAGATAGAATCAGTGAGTTAAGGACAACACAGACAATGGTGGTGAGATTAAAGTTGGAAGGATCTCCTAATTACCTTCAACATTTCATTTTGCATAGAAAGCAATTGAACTCTCTCTTGTAGTTGGTCCAATGATATCTGTGTCGTAAGAACATCTGTATCTTTCTTGTTCAACTCTGACACGCAACTGTCCACAGAATTGCAGGAACATCACATGAGAGCCAAACTTAGTAAGAGTTTTTCGGCAAAAATTATTTTTTTGGGTTGAAATGCTAGTTTAGTTTGTTTTTTTAGTAGTTCAAGAGAGAAAAATAAGCATATTGGCTCGTCATAGAACAGTTGTAGTAGAAGTAGAACAGGGCTAACCTCTCTCTTTCCTTAACAAGAGCATCAATATGTCTCTTCAGGTTGATGATTTCTTGGTCCTGAAGTCGATAGAGAAAAATGGGTATCAATAACGAAACTAATGATTAAATAAAGAAAGTGGATGCCGTTAAGTATATAGCATCATCACTTTGGACATGATCTCTTCAACATGTTGCTTAGCCTCTTCAACCACTCTTTGGACTTGCTGCTGGTCAATCAACTCCTAAAATATCCCAACAAAGAAACCGATAGATTTAGTAAAAATGCATCTTTAACTCTCTTCAAGATGACATATAATCTGAAATACTTACAGCATAGCTAGTAATATCCATTTTCACACCAAGTAAATCCCGAATAACATCATGAGTCATGCTATCAGCTGCAGCTATCCTCGTGTTCAATGCACAAACCTGTTCCAGGATGAAAATATGTAAGAGGGATCCACAGAGTCACTTCATAAGAAAAGAATAATTAAGTGCAGGTAGGCTGGACCTCTTTCTGTTTAGCACCTAGCAGTGACTCCAATTCTTCAACACGAACCCTTGCCATGGTCAATTCCTGATCCTTCTCCACTTTCATCTGTTGTACCAACCCAACTATACATTTAAAGGGTGAACTTGAACCTCTGCTCCTTACCGAGCTTTTCTCAATTTTATGTGATATGGTCTCTGGAACTGACGAACTTGAGTCCTCAAATTTGAAGTCTCGAATCATGACCTCCAGAGTCTTATACTGTTAACATGGGAACCGAGGAAATCATATGAGCTACAAATTAAGGAAAACAGGTGCTAATATAAATCTACACTCATATTATAAAATTCTGCCTCCTTCATATGCAGTAGTATAGAAATCAGAAAGAATTACAATTCTTGACATGAATTTTTCTCCGAACCATGACATAGTGTTTTACCAGGAACGTCAATAGAGACATAAATATGTGGAAAATGTCCAGCACGGAAATTAGTTATAGCTTTCAACAAGTAAACTACACGCTGAGAACTGCTAAAGTCTAGAAGTCTAATACCTTCTCTTGGTAAGCAGATGCTTGGGCCTCAGAATGCAGTAAAATTTCGGAGATGTACTCTTTTAGCTGTTCAATCTGTATGTGGAGAAAGACAAAGGTAGAAGTAAGGCAAAAAGAGTTAATCATACACAAAAATTAGGGAAATTCATGGAAAACTGAGCCGAGCAATCCAAGAAAATAACACACCTCTTTCGTTTGTTCTGCTACTTCCTTCTGGAGGACTAGTATCTGACGATGCGCGCCTAGCAGCTCTTTTGACCTGTAGTACATTTATCTTATCAGACTCATTTTTACCGAAAAAGATACACAAAAGAAACTGATATCTTTAGTAAGATTAGGATGCCTGACTTGGATATTTGACTCTCATATTCCTCTGTGCCTTTATTGGTTGTGTCCACAGTGCCAGCGAAGCTTTCAAATCTAAACAATCTCTGCTTGAGAGCTTGGAGCTCTGTCTCTAGTGAATCTTGAGTGGTGCGATGCCTTTTCACTTCTTCATCCATATCATACACCTGGAAGCCAAAATAGCTCACAAATAAGTATAAAGAATTAATGCAACAGACTGGCAGTAAGCATATATACCTATCAGACTGACAAACAAAGCAAACTAACCCGTCTTTCTAATATATTTACAGTACGCTCAAGTTCCTCGACAGAAACTTCTAGAATCTTGACCTCCTCTTCCTTTTGTTCAGCATATAGTTTACTTGCTTCCGATTCCTACATGAGAAAATTTTCAAATTCCTGTGAACCCTCAGTATTACTAAGAATAATTCATCTAAAAATAAAAAGGCTTCAAGTTACATACCTGACGAGCCTTTACGGCAATTGCTTCTTTTTCATCAGCTATAGCATACGCCAACTCAAGCTTATCATTCAACGAACATATTTCCTCAACAAGTTGATCTTTCTCCTCACTGGTCTTTTTCAAGTTTTCTTCGACGGATTTGACCCCAGAAAGCAACTGCTTTTCTGCTGTAGTAGTTAAGTAAAGGATTTCTTTTTCGAACCTTTTGACAAGCTCTTTTTGTTCCTTCAATCCCTTTTCAGCTGCAACCTTTTCCATACAGAGGTCTCTGACGAGGACGCTTAACTCATCATTTTGCTCCGCAAGAATTTGTATCCTCTCTTTGGCCTGCTCTAGATCTGCCTTTGACGTAAACAAAGCCGTTTTCAAGTCATTGGAGCAATTTTCAAGATTCTCGTTATGCACAAAAAGATCTTGAACTTGACTTGCTTTCTGCTCCAGCTCTTGCTGAACTTTGCATAACGCGTTAAACAGCTCATCCATTTCATCTTTGATATCTCTTTTGTTTGATGCTGATTCCTGAAGTAGCCTAAAATCAAAAAGCAAACCTTCAAACAAAGCTTCTTTTCTCTCCAGCTCCATTTTCAGATAAAAGTTCTCATATAACAGGCTTTCATGTGACTGAACAATTTCTTCATTTTCTAAACCTGCGACCACGTCTTCTCTGTGAACTCTATTTAGCTTTCCAGTGACTTCATCTTCAGCACTATACCCAATAGCATTAATTTCCATTGACTGTTGGTTTTCTTGCCCTGCAAAGTGGGGAGTGATAACCTGTTTTCTCTGATCCAAAATTTGATCAATCAGTTTCCCAATGTGGCATTGATATGTTGCGTACATGGTGAACTCTCTCTCCATGTTTTCAGATACGATCTGTTCAAGTGACGTCCTTGAGTTGCAAATCAAATGAAGTAGCTCTTTCTTAGCTAAAAGAACATCGGAAAAGAAAGCTTCTAACGTTTCTCCTACTTCTCTTTTCGTTTCCAGAAGATATTCTTCAAGCAAAGACACTGACTTTGCCATGTCCGCCAAATTCGATTGTGTTTGATTTAGCAGGACTTTATTTTCTTGTTCAGTTGCCGATAGTGTAGACTTGACCTGTTTAAGATCATCCGTCAGATTTTTCTCCTTAACCGTTAGCTCTTCATGCGTTTGACGCCACATTCCAGCTACATGTTTTGACTTTTCATTGGCATTTACTAAATCACATAGTGAGAGATTGGCTTCTTTCATGGTAGCATTAACGGCCTCAAATAGATCGAAGAAACTACTCACAGGATCCACTCTCTGCATAAGATTTATATTTATATCAGAAGAAGCCAAGAAGGTGCATAATTATAAGTTCAGTGGTTTACTTTTTCACCGACAGAAGGAACGGATGCTAATATAAGCTTACCGGGTTGCTGCATTTGCAATCGGTTTCTGCTCTCTCCATTGTTACCGTTAATGGCCTCTCTACTGACTGCTTCCCCTCTGCATAAAAAAAATTAAAGCTTCTTTGTATACGTAAAAAAAAAGAACTGGTAGTTTAGCCATTCAAGATTACTCATTTTACAAATTTAGGGTGGTGAATAAGAGAAAACAAGCATAGTATACCTCCACAGTTCACACAATGTATAGAACCATTCGTAGAAATCAAAACTCCTGATGTAGGCTTGTTATGAATTTCCTGGGCGCCAGCTCCAGAACCTGAAACTCCTTGACCCTTTGCGGTCAATGCACAATCATGTTGCCATCTGCAGTTTGAAAAGCTGGAGCTTGATGTTGAAAGCTCATCACCCGTCGGATATGTTGCTTCACTTAAATATCCATCCTTTGACACACTTATATCAGCATTCCCTTTAGAACTAGGAGAAGCAAAGATTGAACTTGTTTTTTCCAGCGTTTGATGTTGATTTCCTGAATCAGATAGCCATTTTGTAACAGCAAAGGCAGCCTCGGCAAGTCGTTTTTCTTCCAGAATAGAATACTGCTTTTCTTTTAAGTCACTTTCAAGCGTGTCTACCTCATTACTCATCCTGTCTATTTCAGTGTTCACGCGGAAAGTCTCTTCAGTGGTTGCAGCATTGGCATCCAGTTGAAATTTGTTGAGAGCAATTGTTGCGCCCTTTAAGGAATTCAGCTTCAAATCCATCTCTGCTAACAATATCCGTGCATCCTCCAAGCTTTTCTGTAGGAGTAAAATTGTTTCTTCCTTTCTTATACAATCTTTTGCAGCCTTCTCAACATAATCACCAATCCACGCATTCACATGTGGAAATGAACAGATTACACTTTCAATCTGTGTAGAGGCATCTTTGATGGATTTCGACCCATCCACAATGAAATTTGTTAGTTCTAAGGTGGCCTTTTCCCAGTCTTGGTTAATTGCCCTTATTTCTGCCTCTCTAGCAGTTATAGTATCTTTCATCAATTGATTTTCTTCGGTCAAGTTACAGATTCTTCTTTGGAATTCAGACTGGATAGCAATCACCTCTTCCTGCAGCTCAAGAATTGTTCTGGCAGTTTCTGTCTCAACTTGCTCACGGACTACTATAATATCTTGTTGCTGAGATAACTGAGACTTATGCTCTTTTTCATATTGACAATTGAGTGTTCTGGCCTCCTCGAGGTCCTTAATTACTTTCCCCAACTTTAACTGCAGAATTGAGTGGTCCACCCCCTCATCAGTCTTCATTACAGCATCTGTGTTATTGACCATGCCACTTAACTCCATGTCATAACCTTCTAACCTAGGAAGGGCTTCTCTTTCCATACAACTTTTCTTGGTCAGCCGTTTCATGGATCTATCATTCTCCTCAAGCACATCAAGATTGCCTGATTCATCACTGATATTACTGCAATTTTTACTCTCCGAAAAAGCCCCCTCCTCTCGGGTTTCACTTATAGTTGACATTGTTTCTGCCTATTTCAACAGGGAACAAAAGTGCGTTAGACGAGCTTCTCATTTATATACAGTTTTCCTATTAAGAACTTTAAATATGCAATGTCACACCATTGTATATTTATGTGCTTGATTAACCTGCTCAGCTCCACTGGTGGAAGATGTAACCTGCAAAGGTACAACAATGTTAAACCACCAACGAAGAAATTTTTATAACAATCACTCCTCTATCAGTCCTGAATTCTTACAAACTCGGATTGTGTTTGGTCGAATCTCAAGTATCTTCCAAGTCCTGCTTGTATTTCATCTAGTTCTCTGCATAGAAAAACAACACCAAAACATAAAAGACATACTAAATCAGGCTTTTCCGATTTAGTCAAAATAATCATATTATATTCAATGAGAAAAAATGAAAGAGTTTCAAACATTATACTATCACAAACACAAGGCATATCAGAACTGTAGTAGAACAGGGTTATAGACGTAGGATGAAACCCCAAGAAAAGGATGACAGTTTTTAGATAAAAATGCAACAGAGAACTCAGAAATTTTCCATTCCACATCCACCACAAAATAAAAAATGCAACAGTGTAAATAATTTTCCCACAATATCAAAACCTTCACAAAAGATAATTGGATTTCATATAATATTATATAGTACCTGATCAAACTAGAGTTCATGCTTCTGCAGTCTTCCAACTCCTCTTCCACTTCGATCTCCTACAGTGTTATCAAAGTTCACGAGTAAGAAACCGGAAACACAGTTTCTAAGAAATTAACAAACCGAAAATAGCATAATATCCCAAACTTTCATTACGTGTTTAGAAAAGGACTCATCTTTTGCTTCAAGAACATCAACCAGCTGCATGATATATGACAAAACTTTAGACTAAAATTATAGGCTAATGGTCCATTCGGTGAAGGAATTCTCAAACCTGGTCGCGTAGTCCCGTCACCTCAGCAAGCAATGCCTCTCGTTCCCCACGCTCATAAAACTTCTGGTATCTGAAAAGGAAGTCAAAATCAAAGTATAATATGTTAACAAAATAGACTCTTCCAAAGCATGAAATAAGTGATTTACCGTTGTAGCTGCTCCCGGAGTTTGGTGTTCTCCAAGGCCGAACGTGTCAATTCTGGATTCTTGTCAATGCTTGCCCGAAGAAGCTTGATCTCTCCTTTTAGAGATTTATTTTCTTCAATGAGACATTCTTTTGTCATCAACGAACCAGACGTAGAGAGTTCCATCTCTCCAACTTTCTCTTCCCGAAGATTAAGCATTATTTTAATGCACTTGGCATCTTCTTCCATTTCTCTAACCTGAAGTAAATGATCTAAATATAAGATGAACCGAAATGTAATCTAGTTTGTTTGCATCATAATATGAATCTGTCAAGGTTACATCCTGTCCTTGTATCAAGACTAACCAAGTTGTCTATACGCTCAATTTCAGCCTCGGACTTTTGAAGGGCAGTTTCGGCAATCTTTTCTCTTCTGAGAGCACCAACCAAAATATCTTTCATAGTTTTCACCTGTTATACAGTTATGAAGCCAGTTTATAATTATAGTCGCAACTCGCAAGATATCCGCGAATTTGTTGGAAAATACCTTCTTTCTCAGTGAGTTGTGCACCTGCCAGTGGCACTTATCTTCTTTTGTTTCTTTTGACACTTCACATGTACCAGAGTATCTGGATTCTTCCAGAGAAGCTATGCAGTCTGAAAGAGCCCCAAAAGAGTTATGGTTCTTCGTAAGGGAGGACAGTTGGACCTGTTTGAATATATGAAAACGTTTTTATACCACTGTCACATGCATATGCAGAAATGGAGGAAAGTCTGCTGTTTGGTGCAGTTTGTTAAATACCTTTAACTTTTTTATTTCCTGTTGGAGTGCTGTAACATCCCCAGAGGCATCTTCATTGACTTTAGCCTGGAACATGAAAATGAAGCCACCTTATATCAAGTCAAACTTCATAAAAACTTATAAAAGAACTTGTAATAACTGAAGAATCACAAAATACATTATTCTGGATTAGTTTGGCCCGTTGTGCGAACTTCAGAGTGCTGAGGGTTTCGTTTGTAGAGCTGCAATAAGTCAATAATAATTAGATATACACAGTACATGGCATATTAGGTAAACCTATTAAACAAGAATTATTGGTACGAACCAAAGAGATGGGCTGACGTTGGCTATTATCATTGTTTTAGAATTACCCCCTAGAGAATCCTGGAACCATATCTGAAATTAGTCTCAATGCAGTTGGCAAGAAAAATGAAGAGTGAAGTACTCTAATTAGTAGTACCTGCAGTAAAAAGGTAAGTCGCGAATCTCTATACGGAACATGTCTATGTTTCCCATGTGCCAAATCCACCAGAGACATTATCACTAAGCTAAATTGACAGAAGAATGAGATAGTGTTAGTAGCTACTAAGATTTTGGTACAAGATTTAAATGTAAGACATGGTAGGTATCTTATCTTTTCTAAAGATTATTTATCTTAAAGTTGAAGCAGTAATCATTATTAAGTTATCAAACACCTCAAAGCTTTTAAAGTCGGGTCATCCATTTTTGTTATGCATATTTTCAGTTTCTTCACAATTTTTCTCCATCAACCCTATATTACTTTCACATGAGGCTTGAGACGTACATCAAAAAATAGTTTATGACAAAAAGCTGGACAGACAAACTGACACGTGAATATGTGATCTGATTACCCCAAAGTGGATAAGGATTTGTTAATGTTTGCTGCTTCTTTTAGGCGATCCCCTTCCGCACCTGAGCTTTTCTGCCTGTATTTTGTAGCAAAAACAATTTCAACAGTCAAAGATGCAAATGTAACCATAGAGAAATGTACTGGCTACCTTTCAGAACCAGCCAAATCAACCAAATTTAGTCTGGCAAATCTTGAATGGGTTAGCGAATCTCTCTCCCAGAGGCTCTCGATCGTACACGTGAAAACACTGTGGGATCTGCTGCTTTCACTGTTCATCCGGGTTGCTGCAATCTTCCGGTTTGCTGCTCCCTGTGCATGAAGGATACAATTCAACTTAAATACTTGAACACTTAAACAATTAAACTCTTATCATAAAGTTTGGGTATCGAACTCTTGCCTGTAGTAGAAGCTTAAGAACGTCATTAACAGTTCTCACATTATATTCTACAAGATTTTCAACATATACTCCTTTTCCCGAGTCTTCTCTGAGCTAAATTATGAAATTCAAGGATATGACATCTCAAAACAAAAAGCAACAGCATGGATAATTTATAATCAAGGATAGAAGAAAAAGAAAAAAAAAATTACTTGCAAATTGGTTGATGATGGCTCCAAGAGGTCGGTAATCTGCTCGTTATATATCTCTAGGAAAGAACATTTGCAACTGAATATCAGTTTTTCATCTCTCCTTCCCTCTTCTTCCTGTTATGAAAGACCCTTTTAAGTACTTAGATTTATTGGACTTGCAGTGATTCGCTGGGAGAAAGTTAAGTAATTACCATTTTAATTCTTGAGAACAGATATTCAAAAATACGAGCAGTAACTCCGCAGTCTTCACCGAGGCTTCCCTCTGCCTCAGATATCTCTCCCATCATAGTATACGTCTTGCCACTACCAGTCTATATGAGAGGATGCCAAGTTTATAAACTTTGCTCCATAGGAATGCTAACAAGCAGAAACATGTCATCAGTTATGATCTTACCTGACCGTAGGCGAACACACAGCTATTGTAACCAGACAAGCAATTCTCCACCATGGGCAGTCCAGCAACGCGAAATAGTTTTTCCTGAGAAATCAAGGTAATACACATCCGGAAACATTAGAGATCATCTAATTCAGGTAAGTACATCACATGACAATATCTGATATAAGAAAAAATAGATGAGAAAAAAAGTGAATGTAGCACTGTGATACACTAATCTTTTTTTTTTTTTTGAGTGCGTAGTACCAAAACAAGCCTCTAAAACTAGCTATTGTTTGCGTTCAAGTATAACTACATGAATTTGAAATGAGGTTTACCTGAGATATTGTCTCACTTGCAACATGGTCAAAGGTGAATCTGGTCTCTGGATGGCCTAACCAGACCAATGTTTGTGGACTCTCCTGCTTTAAACATTTCCCATATCCTTGAGTTGCCCTTTCCATTGTACTTAATGGTCTCAGCCTTATCAAAACCTACACCATATAGAAGGATGCCTAAATTAGTAAATCTCAAAACAACCAAATTCATCAAGAATCTCCTAAACAAATGCACCAACCTGCACATTATGCTCTTTCCAAAACGAATGATCTTCATTGAGCTCAAAATGTGGAGTTGTTTCCGCAAATGTAACAGAATCAGCCATAGAGATTCCCCTTGGGATCCTCGAGAACGAGCTCGTTCCTCGTCCACCGAAAGACTGAACAACTCTCGCGCCGGTAACACAACCCCCACCAAGTGAAACCCTAGCACCGTTCCTAGTCGGCGTACTCTGTGCAGAGTTTGGCTCCGACCGAGATTTTACACTACGAGTAACAATCTTAGGGTTTGAATCATGCACACCACTCGAATTTCCAGCTCTACCTTCCAAAACATCGAATCTCTTCTCCGAACCCAGTGTTCGATGGTGCTGCGTTCTTGTACCTTCCAATTTCTGACCCAAATCGAGATCGGATAGGTGATTCGCCTTCTGCAGTTGACTTGGATCCGGTATTGAATTCAGAGGAGCTCTTGATGGCGAAAACAGAGACAATCTCGCGAACTCGTTCTCTTCAGATTCCGGCATCTCGATTCTCGGAACATTTCGGGCCATGATATAGATCGAGCACTAGCTTAGCTTGTAATGTCTTTCAACATACACGGATTGGGAAAGAATTAGGAGACGATTCAGCTTCAGAAGCTCGGTTTGCTCATACTGGAAAACTGAGAGACTTGCTCAGGAGCTTGAGGATGAAATTAATGATAACCCAGCTTTTGAAGTTTCTATTTTAGTACTGTAGCCTTCAAGCTCAGATTTGAATTGGGGGGAGGGGAATTTCAAATTCACAAAGTTTAATTTTTTAATCATGAGCCCTTTGACTTCTTCAATAATACGAACGAGGCCCTATCATTGTCTCGGTTTTCAAATTTGGTGTTTTACTTTGGAAAAATAAACTAGTGACCACAAAAGAAAAGAATAGAAGAACAAACGAACCGGCACTTAGTGTAGTTGAAGGGTTTAAATTTAAAATTTACAAAACATGTGTGGTTATAATGAAATTCTTGGATTCAAGGGAGCTTAACGGGCCCACTTATCAACACAAGTGATGGTGTTGCAGTAATATACACTGTAATAAATGTCTTTAATGATCTCCTTATCCAAGCGGTCCAAATAGATAAACAAATCAACTAAAAAGTGTAATGTTCAAAATTTGTTAGCCGTTAATCTGAACTTTGATCCACATGCGATTAACGGTGGTCAGATTATTTTACTATCTATCTTTTCAGCTAGTATTACTAAAAACGCGACAATATCATGAAAAGGTGCAATGACAGAGTAATTTAATCAAATAAATAATCCATATATTACTACAATTATAACTTTCTTATAAATTGACATAGGGATAGGGGATATATCACAAAATAACGTAAAGAAAAGACATTAACATAGCCAAAAGAAGCGTCGTATAATTATTGTTTGTAGAGTTGCAGCCTCCTCGATCAGTCATACCTCCACCTGGAATAGAAAAATCACAAATCTCAGACAATTACTGCTGTCTTAAAACGACAATGACCAGAACAAAAAGTTTCTTGTTCTCTTTAGAATTAGCAAAAAAGCAGAGGGTTTGATACGGTAATTACCACATTCTCTTGTAGGGTTATTGTTGGAAGCGATAGGGTTATTGTTGGAAGCGGGACACTGGCAAAGAAAGATTTCCGTCTCGGCGTCGAAGCCACAAATCCCGCCTGACTTCCGGCAACGGTCACAGCCGATCTCCGGCACCGAGTAAGAAAGCTCGATCCCGTACGACCAATCCAAAGGCGTGGTCGTGGCGTCTCTCATATTCCCACCGTCAATCACCGTCGTGTAATGTGAGCAGTCCAAGATGTTCATACTCATCACCCGCACCGTATCGTAGCTAGTGAAACAACAATACGGCGTCGTATGCACCGTACTATTACCTTAGGAATCAGAAAAAGAAATCAAAATCAACAAATTCAATTTTGGGGGAAAATGGCTGACAAAAATTCTCCAATCAAAATTGATTACATACCGGAAGGGGAGGTAGTGTTGAAGATGCGAAAGGAAGTGCAGGAGCTGTAAAGCTCGTCACAGGAGTGGCCGGAGGCATTGAAGCAGAGATTCCGGTACCGATTAAAGACCGGCGAGTTGGTGGAGCAGTTGAGGAGTGCGAAAACGGTGTCGTACGAGGGCCTTACGACGGCGTTTTGGATATCTGATAATTTGAAATCGTGGTGAGGCTGGAGGATCGAGCAAGTGGACATGGCCGGATCGAAGACGACCATCTTGTTCTTCTGGTAATCGATTCTCTGGACCTTGTAGCCACCGGAAGGAGTGATGAAAAACAGATCGGTGGAGCAGTTTAACATTCCTTTGAACTGTGGAGATCCACAGCCTTCGTCGATGCCGAACGGGTAGTTTATTGGGATGTTGCCGCAGAATGTCCGGCAAGAAGATGTTGCTCCTGAGGCTGTTAATGGCGGAAATGTGAGAGTTGTTACTGTGTAGAGGAAGACGAAGAAGAAGAAGAGGAGCGTCGTCATTGTTGTCTTCTATGTACTTCCTTTTCACTCGCCTGTAATCTATCTTTCCCCTTCTATTTACAAAACTAGAAGGGTTTATGGAAAATTAAAAATTAATATTGAAAACAAAAACACTCGGTATCGTATATTGGTGAATTTATTGTCCTTTAAGTCCTAAGTCCTAACAATGGTAAACACATAAATTTGAATATCATCTAGAAATTGTGTTTTTATTTCCTTCCTGTTTTGTATGGTGTTTACTGATTTTTTTCTTAATTTGATAATCCAATTGTCAAAATTTAAAGTAATATTGAAAAATACAAAATGTTATGTCCATACTGATATACGTAAAAACAAAAAATAATAATAGGAGTACTCTAAAAAATAAATAAATACCAAACCTTACATGAAAATATCCAAATCTAATACACGAACTTCAAAATAATTTGCAAAAAGAAATAAAAAACTTGGAGTATTTAATGATTTAATCGTTGTTCGGATTTAACCATAAGGTCAATTTTGTGCCATCTAAGTGACTGAGTCCATCATCTGTTGACCTTACTTCCAACAGGTTTTGAGAACCTACAGATCAATTACATGATTCTTGTTAATTGGTACACAAGTCTACACAACAGAATTCTTCTAGTTCATCACGATAATCAATAGAAAACTCTAATTGCAACACCGTGACTAGGCATAAGACCAAGAGGAAGACAAATAGTATTTGACGATGAGAAATGCGATTTATAACCATATTCTGCAGTAAATTAGTCTTAGTAATTAAAACAATAATCATTTTCGGAATAACCCATCGGCTGCTTTTTACAGTAAAACCTTTATAAATTAATAATGTTGGAACCATAATATTTTATTAATTTATCGTGATATTAATTTATAGAGAACATTTGTTTTCTGCATATAATTTTCTAAAAAATTCTTTGAAATAGTGTTATATTTCAAAATTTTAACAAATTTCAGAATATATATTATGATTAACAATCATAACTATCGCAATAAAATAGTTTTTAACACCATATTAGATCGCCCATGTAAATATATATATGTTTCATAAGTTTGAAATTTATAAAAAACCATGGTTACTATCACTATTATTGATGATAAAATTAAAGATAATAGTACAACACATTTAAAAACATTTACATGTAAGAAAATCAATTATCACATAAAAAAATCATCATAAAATTTAAATGTTTTATAGTAAAACAGCAATAAAAACTAATGATATAATAATTAGAGAGATTGAACCAATAAAATCTTAACTTTAAATAAAAACAAAGACATTAGTCATACTTTAGAATATTATTTTTACATATTTACATAAATTTATATAATTATTAATTTATATTTTTGTTGGGACTATATATTTACATAAGGGTTTAAAAAAAATTATTATCTTATTATATTATCGAATTTGATAGATTTTTAAATTAGCTCGATTTGAGACAGTAAAATTTATTAATTTATAGTGATTATTAATTTATCGAGTATTAATATATAGAAGTTGTACGGTATTTCTATTTCTCCGTAATATATTCCCGCCACTGGTGTTTACCAATTCAGTGAATAGAGAAGCCAGGAGGGGGAAAATTCCCTGAAAGACCAAAAAAAAGCAGAAAGGAAACGAAAATGTTCGTCGCCGACGACGACTCAGTTCAGATTGTTCGGCTTCTTGACCAGACGCTTACTTCCATCGATGGCGGTTCTGTCCTCGAGGCGACGGAGGCTCTGGATCGACTGTCTACGGAGCTCCCTCACTTCCCTTTTCGTCTTCTCTCCATCGCTTCCGGTAAACTTTTTTTTTTCTTCTAATTTCTCCCCATTACTTAGCCTTTCGCTAAGCATGGAATTTTGTTGAAGACACGGGATTTTGACTTCATCGAACCGAAGGGGCAATTAGGGTTACGCTGGTTGATTTCACAGTGGCAGCCATTTCACGAAATTTTTTTGAGGTCTTTAAGAGAAACCAAGCTCAAGCGTTTTATTCCCTGTTGGGGTAGTTCCACTTCTAGTAGAATTTGAATTCTAATTCAAAAAACGCTTTGCTGATTGACTGAATCTCACAATCTCACCCTTCGTGTCTATGGATTTTCTTATGAGATCCGTCTTTTTTGGTTTACGTAATAAAAATAGTCCAAATTGAGCAGCCCTTTTCACTGAAAGATATGATTTCTGTGTGTGCTGGAGTTTGATAAGCTATATTTTGATTCAGCTGATCCAAAACTTATTCAGAGTCTTTTGCCTCTAGCCAGCTTATGTATAGTGCAATTTTTCTGATTGACAGGAGGTGAAAATCCAAGTCATAGAGTTGCTGCTGCGACATATCTCAAGAATTTTACCAGAAAGAGCACCGGGACTGGAGGGACCATCTCAGAAGTCAGCAAGGAGTTTAAGGATCAGCTCCTCCGAGCTTTGCTTCAGGCAGAGCCTGCACTTCTTAAAGTTCTACTGGAACTGGTAGGCGTATTCAACAAGCTGTTGTCAATCTTATTTTCACCTCTTTCTTCCCGTAAATTTCAAATTTTCATTTTGTGCACACCTTCACTTTACTTCATTTGTGGCCAGTTCCACATTGTTGTTGTGTCAGAATTTGTGAAGAAAAATGCCTGGCCTGAACTTGTACTGGAGCTGCGTGCTGCTATCGAGCAGAGCAGTTTAATAAGCAGTTCAGACTCTAGGTGGAGTACTGTGAACGCTCTGATGGTATTGCTCACAGCTGTAAAGCCTTTTCAGGTATTTGTTGCATTCCCTTTCGTAAGCATATAAATAATATACTGGTGAGCTTTAAACTTACATTTAGATTTCTCTCTCTCTCTCTCTCTTTCCCAGTAGCCCCCCTCTAGCTTACCCTGTTTTCCATCATATCATGGTTGGTTGTCTAATATTGTGGTCGTGAATTTTTGCTGCTCTGACTATAACTACTTCTGTGAAGTGGTTGTCCTCTATTATGAACCTGGTTCAGTATGGTCTTTTAAGTGGCATATTTTGTGTCTGCTTGGTAGTACTTCTTGCAACCAAAACTTGCTACGGAGCCAGTACCAGAGCAGCTCGAGAGTATCACGAATGAAATTCTTGTACCCTTGATATCAGTATTCCATCGTCTCGTTGACAAGGTTATTCCTTTTCCCTTAGTGTTTTTTGTTCTTCACCTGCTCACAATGTTTATGTAAGATATGTCTGCTTTTTGGATCTCAATGAGCATTCGTATATTGTATGATTCTGAAGCAGGCTTTGGCTACACATGAATGGGGTGAACTGGAAATGGAAAAGACACTCCACATCATGTGCAAATGCCTATACTTTTCAGTAAGTCACACCTTCAGTTTATATTGCGTGTCTGGACGATTGAAAATTGCCATTGATTATTAAGCGTAATCTTCATATTCCTTTCATGTTCATGTCGTACTATCCACTGTATTTTCTTATTTTTTTTTTGCTAAGGGTGTTTAGTGTTGTAGGTGAAGTCCCATATGCCATCTGCTATGTCACCTCTGCTCGGTTCCTTCTGTCGGGATATGATCAGAATTCTGGATACCTTGAGTTTTGATTGGAGTGTTAATCCTTCCGATGGGTACTTGATAAGGTTGAAAGCTGGAAAAAGAAGTTTGCTCCTCTTTGGCACACTTGTCAGCAGACATAGAAAATACTCTGACAAGTATGCAAACACCTTAAATTACTCTTAGTAATGCTTTATTTAAAACGTCTAATAAATCTCTACTATGCAGGTTGGTGCCGGAGATAGTAAACTGCTCAATGAAGATTGTCAAACATAGCTCAAACATCAGTGTATGTATAATGTATTGACGTTTCCAGTTTGTGAAAGCTTTCAAGTAATTCTTACCAGCTGCCATTTTTTCGAGCTCTTCAAAATTCGGTTTTGATGCCCGAGCAGTTTCCATCAAAATTTGTTACTGTCAAAGCTTTCATCAACATGTTACTATTTTTCTTAATTTAATGCTATGAGTGCCTATTGTCATGTGCAGAAGCTCGGATGCCTAACTGAGAGAATTATATCACTTGCTTTTGATGTGATTTCACGCGTTATGGAAATTGGCCCTGTAAGTTGTTAGAATGTTTACAGAAAATCTAAATAGAGTTATCAAATGTCTATGAAGACAAATATTTTGTAACTTGAAATCAGGGATGGAGATTACTTTCTCCCCATTTTTCTTTTTTGTTGGACTCCGCAATCTTTCCAGCCCTGGTGCTGAATGAAAGGGTATGGTTTCCTTATATTGTTGCAAGCATTGCTTACTACCGGGGCTGTTAATGCAGAAACCTTACTGCTCTTTCTGGGTTGTTTTTGCAAGTAGGACATATCTGAGTGGGAAGAAGATGCAGATGAATTCGTTAGAAAAAACCTTCCTTCTGAACTAGTATGGCAACTGATCTCTCATTCTCTCTACACGGAATACTTTTATGTCTATGGTCTTAAAGTTAGGATTAATCTCACTTTCATTTGGCAGGAAGAAATTTCTGGGTGGAGGGAGGACTTGTTTACTGCCAGGAAAAGTGCTATGAACTTGCTTGGTGTTCTTGCCATGTCAAAGGTGAAGAACCTATTGTTGGTCAATAACCTATTTCAGCTAATTGTTCATAGGTTCTTATAGGTTGTGATCCAATTGTCATAGGGACCACCAGTGTCTTCTACAAATAAAGCTTCCTCAGCGGCATGTAAGCGGAAGAAAGGTGAAAAGAACAGAAGAAATAACGAAAGATGTTCCATGGGGGATCTACTAGTGCTTCCATTTTTGTCAAAGTTTCATGTGCCTTCAAAGAGTAACATAGTGGATGCTCGTACTTCAGCAGCGTGAGTTCCTATACATTTTCACGACTTCTGATTCTAACTCCTTGAAATTTGAGGCAGATGTCTAAACCAAATAAAAAATGCTTTTGCAAACTATGAGCAGTAACATGTTTGTTTGACTCAGTTAGTAATGCTAAGTTAATGCTTGCGGTGGGTATTAGAAGATATGTTCTTCTAGTGGAAATTTAAAAACTCGTTTTGCAAGTTGGTCTTCCATTGCCATGTTTCTCAAGCTCAAGGTCAACTTGTCGTAGATAGTTGTTCAGTAGGTTGAAATGTATTCAGTGTTCTCTTATCTTCTTTGCTAGACTTCTCAGACAACAGGCCAACTTTTTAGTAATGTTATCACGGGTTGGAAGTACTTCTTGTTGACTTTTCTCTTTCACTTTAATATTGTCCTGTTTCATTCCGTTTCACTTTGTGATTTAGCTGACGTTGTTGCTACGTCGACATGTCAGCTATTTTGGTGTCCTAATGGCATATGGTGGCCTGCAAGAGGTGAGCAAATCTGGTTCCCTTTGTTTTGGAGTTGACTAGTTGAGCATTGACTGATATTGTATATGGAATTACGATGCCTCTCTTCTTACAGTTTATCCAAGAACAAAATCCTGAGTATGTGGCATCGTTTGTCCGTACCCGCGTGCTACCGATTTATTCTACACCTGATTGCTCACCTTACTTGGTTGCATCTGCAAATTGGGTACTTGGAGAGCTTGCGTCCTGCCTACCTGAGGTGTAAATTTTACCTTTTCTTCTCGATATTTTTTGTGCAAAATTATTTGCTGGAATATTATATATTAGTAAATTTTACTAATACTGATCTCATTATTGATTGATTGCTTTATGCTTCCAGGAGATGAATGCAGATGTTTTTTCGTCCCTGCTGAAGGCATTAGCAATGCCAGATCAGGTGGAGATCTCTTGCTACCCAGTGCGTGTTTCAGCTGCTGGTGGAATAGGTTCACTACTTGAAGTAAGTCAGTACTTATATTAACAATGGCACTCGTAACTTGAAGTGATGGCTTGTCATATCTAACTCAAAGAATATGTTTGTTCTTTTCAGAATGAGTACCAACCACCTGAATGGTTGCCGCTTCTTCAGATTATTATTGGTAGGATTGGCAAAGAGGAGGAAGAAGATAGCATTTTGTTTCAGCTTCTCAGATCTGTGGTCGAGTCAGGAAGTCAAGATATCGCCATGCATATTCCGTACATCCTATCCTCCCTAGTTAGTAATATGCTGAAGTTTATGCATCCTAGTGAAGATCCATGGTCTCAGGTATGTTTAATCCCTGGTTTCTTAACATTTTAGCTTAAATTTAAAGGTTCAAAACACGAAACCTAAATGTAGGGAATGTAGTTCTCTTGATTTTAAGTAAAAATAGTGACACATTCTGAAAATGTTTCCATCACACGCACATGAAATCCTAGACGTAACCCAATATATTTGTGGATTTGTTTTTTCTCCTGGTTTAGGTATCGTCAATTTTCGAGTATTTTAAGTGGACACAGCAAGTCACTGTCCATTTTTGTTTCTTAAATTTTGTCAACTTAGGCTATTCTGGGTGGCCTTGAGGCATTAGCAGCAATGGCTCAAACTTACGAGAGCTCCAAGCCTGAAACAGATGAAGAGAAAAATCAAGCCACTGAAATATGGCTAAACGGTCAAGGCACCATCAGCAAAGCTTTGTCAGAAGTTTTACAGCACGCATGGCTGGTATTTAATTCTGTCTTTTTTATCCCTTTGTGATATCTTCAAATACCACTGCTTCTTTATACATCGAATTATAGTAATGAAAACCAAGCATGTGCCTTCATGGAACATAAAAATCCTGTTAGAAAAGAATTTCAGGATACTGATGTGCCTTTTATCTTTGCATGATTCAGGCAACAGATGTGCCTCCTACTTCATGCATAGATCATTTGTCGACGATGTTGCGGTTCATTGTGCTTGCTTCTACTAACTGCAATATAGTCGTGGAGCTCAGATTAAACGAAATACTCGTAGTTTGGGCTGATCTTCTTGCTAGCTGGAATGGTTGGGAAGAGTCGGAGGACTTGTCCGTTTTTGACTGCATAGAAGAAGTTGTGGGAGTAAACAACAAATATGGTTTTAGGAGTTTCCTTTCCAGAGATATGCCATCCCCTCCAGCCATGCCAGTCCGTCCACGATCTGTTGTTGAATCCATTGGTTCGTTTGTCAGCAAAGCGATACTTGAGTACCCGTCTGCCACAAGGAGGGCTTGTTCTTGTGTCCACTCGTTATTACATGTGCCAGACTACTCATCTGACATTGAAGGAGTAGGGAAATCATTAGCGGTTGTCTTCAGTGAAGCGGCCTTTTCTCATTTTCTAGAATTGCGTGAGGAACCTTGTTCTTTGTGGAGGCCTCTTTTGCTGGCAATATCATCATGCTATATCTCCTATTCGGATATTGTGGAAGGCGTTCTAGAGAAAGTGATATCTGGAGGTTTCGAGTTATGGGTATCTTCATTGGCATTTTCATATTCGCTTACGATTGATGCCAGTCCATCAATAGCATCAGAACTAAAGCTATATGGTGAGTTGAAGATAATCTTTCGTTTATATGCTGATGCTTCAGAAGTAACAAACTTGTAGTTCACAGTTAAAACCTCTGAATTTTGCAAACTGGTCAACATGATCTTAAAAGGTTTGGTTGTATATAGTAACTATTGTTAGTCATAAAATGCATGGGTATAGACTAAAAGACTGCTTCTTTCCAGTGTTGACGTTAGTAAAGGTGATCGAGCAGCTTTTAGATGTAAGGCATGAGAATGCAACTGATGATTTGGCAAGGAAGTGCTTTGTTTCATTGATGGATGCTTCTCGGAGGCTAGAGGAATTGAACGAAGTTACAGAGGATGATGAAGATGATGGAGAATCCGAAGAAGAAGAGGCAGAGTCTGATGAAAGTGATTCAAATGACGAGGTTTGATTTGATTGCTAGTATTCGTTTTTAAATTACACTGAAAGTAGGTCTGTGTGGGCTCTTTTCCTTGCCTTACACTAGAGGGTGCCATGGTAGTTTGTTGTTAAACTATAAAATCAGATGAGGAATCAATTTGCTGTTCCATTTGCAAAGTAGTTTATAAACTGCTGTTTTCAAGAAACAACATTGGATCTTCTCGTAACTTGATCTTTCGAAATAAGCGGTTTCCTATTCTGTCTTTGAACAGGATTCTGAGAGCGATGAGTGTGACGAAACTGAGGAAGAATTTCTGGAAAGGTATGCTAAAGCTGCTGCAGCATTGGAGGATGGTGAAGTTATTGAAGAGGCGGATGAAGAAGATGATGAGCGTGAGATTGATTTGGGTAAGTTGTTCTTCACAACAAGAAAAGAAACAACTTATTGCTTTGTTTGAAAATAGAGATTTATAAAGCTCTTTAAATACTTAATTTGCAGGTTGTCTGAATGAAATCGATCCGCAGAAACTGGTTGTATCATTAATGGAGAAGCATCACCAGAAAGTATTAAAACTTGTACCCTCTGAAGTGATCTCAACCTTTCTAAATGCTTTTCCTGTATATACCAGTTTCTTCTCTGAAGTGCACTAAACATTAGACTACACTCGTCCATGTTTTTGGTGAGACTTTTGACTTTTTGAGGCATTGAAACAGTTTTCGAATGATCTAATATTCTCGGGCACAACCTTAGATTCTCTGAATTCTCTGATACTGATCATGATTTTATCCCGATGCATATAAGATTCCCCTCTATAGAATCTTAGACATACATGTAATAACAGAAATAATTATTTTACTGTTCATACCATGAATATGTGACTAATTAAGATTTTAGAAAAAGAATTAGTTTCATCAAGTTGAATGTTTTACGTAAATGTTAATTATTTTATTGGATAAGTAAATATGAATCTCTTATTTTAACTCCACTGTGGTAATAAATCATATACAGATTTTGCAATATTTAACTTTTTTTTTTTTTTTGAACAACTTTTTTTTTTGAACATCTTGCAATATTAAACAACGCAGAATATTTTACTGGAAAACACAAACTATTATCGAAGTTCCAAACTATCTATTGATTTAAGCCGTTCGTTTACCTCACGCGCTCGATCTAACGGACTGCTGAGAGCTTCGGTAAGGGAAATAAATAAATTCTGGTTTCAGAATTCAGACTTTCACATTAGTCGGCTGTGAAGTCCACGCGCCGCTATACAGTGCGATCAGTTCTTAGCTTTCCCTCCGCCGGACCTGATTCGATTGAGTGAGACGCAGAACACCGCACAGGCATGCACCTTCCTGAGCAAGTACGGTTACATCCACACACACTCCCACTCTCACTCTATGCGCTCTCTTTTTCGCAATCTCTGGAATTTGTGTGAAATTCGGAATTTACTTAAAATGTCTACACTCGTGGTCTCTTCTATTAGTTCGAGGATTTCTATTTTCGGGGTTGTACAAGTACGGCTTTTAGATTCTGTGTTTATGGGAGAATTATCTATCAGTGACAGTGAGCAAGGATCATTCTTTTTCCTTTTTTTTTTTTTGACAAACCATTCCTTTTCCGTTTATCACCTTTGTTTTGTGTGTGTGTGTGTGTGTGTTTTTTTTTTTTGGTTTGAAGTGTGTTTTTTTATTAAGGCAGTAAGGTGACACTGACAGAGTTTCCACGGTATGTGCAGGGTTTCATGTGATAAAAATTTTAGCTTGCTGTGGAGTTTGTGGATCTTGCTCGTGAGCTTTTGTTTGTGATTTTATTCAATTGGTATGACTACTTTGGGAATTATCTTTTGGATTCACTTTATTTTTTCCTTTTTTTAAAAAATTGTGTTGTATTTTTCATAATTTTTTGAATCTTGCAGGGTGACATGCGTAGAAGAAACGGAGGTGGAGGTTCCTCTGATGATCATGAAAGAAATGAACACACAATGTTCCCAAAACCAGAAACCTTAGATTTTGACTTGCCCTGCGACACGTCTTACCCTCAGCAGATTGCTGTATGTTGTTAACCATTCTATACCTAGAGACAAAATGGATTCTACAAAATCCATTGTGTCGACATTTTATTTAAAACGGTCTCATTACGTTTCTGAGTATTTGAAGGTTCGTATTGTTTCCTACTTGATGTGCAGGACGCAGCTCCTAGTTCTTCTGGAAGTCATGTGAAGCCACTCCTCATCGAGATGGGATTTAGCCCTACCGATGTTCAGAAAGTAATTGATGAAAATGGTATTTAAAAAAAAAAATTTTCCCACAAAAAGGATACTGTGATCTTATGAAAAGCTATTGTGCATCCTAACTTCAATCTGAGGGATTTATTTACTGAGGAGGTTGCCTTTTCACATACAGGTGGAGATGATCTTGAGTTGTTATTAGAGATTCTTACTAAGAGTTCTCTAACAAAACATCCTGAACCTAGCTTTCATGAGCCAATGGAACCCAAACCGGTAAATTGCTTAACGTGTGATGCGCATGTCTTGTATCTCATTCAATATAGTTTCCTAATTTTCTTTCTATTCTTTGTCAGGAGCCCGATATTGAATATGAAGTCGATGGTAGAAGGACATCGTTACTAGCAATGGAGTTTTCTGAAAATCTAGTTGACTTTGCACTAGATAAGCTTGGTAATGTATTTAGAGTGACTTTGGCTTTTCGTTCAATGTTTCAAAAAATTATGGCTGCATAAGTTTTACTTGTCCATATGTACACTGCAAAATAGACCAAATTTCTCATTAAATGTGTTCTCAAAGATTACTTGTGTGACAGTCTGGAACTTTCATTGTGTGAAATAGGCATAAAACTGAGGAACTCATAGTATGTCGCCAGTATGTTACATGATAAATAACATTTATGAAGCTGTTGTTTAAATAATGCTCGAAGGTGAACACTGTTGCATCTAGATTTTAGAAGAGATGCTTATGTTAGTTGAATCCATACATAAACTTGGATGGCGGAAAGTAGATGTCATTTGCCATGCCACCAATGCCTATCTTCATGATTGTCTTTTTTTTTTTTGTGATAGGTAAAGATGCACCAGTTGATGAGATGGTAGACTTCATTGTTGCTGCTCAATTAGCTGAAAAGTATGCAGAAGAATCTGAGGACTCACTTGATGATATTGAAATCAGTGAAGATGAAGATGTTGCTCCAGTTGCTGCCAGGGGACCTGAGGTCTTTGGTGCTCTCGATATTTAGTGGTTTATTTATGTGCTTGTTACCTTCTAACCTTTGTTTCATGTTTTACATGTAGGTTCCCAATGAAGTACTGTTTGAAACAATGGACAAAACTTTGCATCTCATGGAAATGGGATTCTCTAATCATGAAATCTCAATGGCAATTGACAAAATAGGTGCGAGCACTTATCTGTTCATCCAGATTCCAGCGTATAGAATGTGTATGAAAATAAACACTGACCAGATCGACTCTGCCACAATATTGTTAGGGACAATCATAATAATCGAAGAGTAAAATGAGAAAACTATATAATTTATTTTGCATCCACTCCTACTTGTTGTCTGGTACTTAATCTATTTTGCGCTTCTTCAGGTGAAAAAGGACAGATTTCTGACCTTGCTGAGTCTATTTTTATTGGTGAAGTTCCTGGTGACATTCATGAGGAGCATGAAGATATAGAAAAGGTTTGTGCCTTCTTATTTTTGTTTTGTTATCAGTCACAAAAGAGGCACTTGTGTATCTCGTCTTGATATTTGGTGCCATTGTAGAAAGTCTCAACGGCTCCAGCAGCGAATCGTACAAGTCTTTCAAAGGGTTGGAGATTTGTTGGTGTTGGTGTCCAGAAAGAGGATGGTCGTAGGGGTTCTTCAAGTGGCACTGCTAATATGAAACGAGATACCGGTATTGACTCTAATCCTCTCACTGCCACTGCCAATGTGGGAGAGAGCTCAAGGAGTAAAAGACTAAAAGATGAAGATGAGAATGCCTATCCAGACGAACATAGTGACTTCCTTGACAGAGGGAAACGGCTAAGACCCGAAGATATGGGAGACTCAACTTCTTTTATGGAAACCCCATGGATGCAAGATGAGTCGAAAGACGAGACATATGGATTTCCCAGTGCAATGCAGCCACGTTTGTCCCAGAGACTTTGTCCAGATGTTGCCAAACGACCTTATTTCTTCTATGGAAACCTAGGGGAGCTATCTCCTAGGTGGTGGTCTAAGATCTCCAGTTTCTTGTTTGGGATTCACCCTGAACATGTAGATACTCGGTTGTGTTCACCTCTCCGTAGGACAGAAGGTTACTTGCACAACCTTCCCATAGAAAATAGGTTCAACATCCTCCCAAACCCCTCGTTAACTATACAAGACGCAATGCCACAAATGAAGAGTTGGTGGCCTCAATGGGATGTGAGAAAGCATCTGAATGGTGGTGCGTGTTCTAAAACAAATGACGAAGCAACTCTTCTATGTGAGCGACTTGGACGTCATATAGCTGCATGCAGGGGAAAGCCTTCTCAGCAAGACCAGACTCTAATACTTCGACATTGTCACACCTCTAATCTGATCTGGATTGCTCCAAACATTCTCTCACCTGTAGAGCCTGAACATTTAGAGTGCATCATGGGATATCCATCAAACCACACAAACATTGGTGGTGGAAGATTGACTGAAAGATTGAAGTTGTTTGAGTTTTGCTTCCAAACAGACACATTGGGTTATCATCTTTCTGTGCTCAAGTCTATGTTTCCTCAAGGGTTAACAGTTTTATCACTCTTTAGCGGGATTGGTGGTGCGGAAATTACATTAAGCCGTCTTGGAATACACCTGAAAGCTGTAGTCTCTGTTGAGGATTGTGGATTAAGCCGTAACATATTGAAAAGATGGTGGCAGACTTCTAGACAACTTGGAGAGCTTGTGCAGATTGAAGATATCAGGAGCTTAACAACAAAGAAGCTACAGACTTTGGTGCAGAGATTTGGAGGATTCGACTTAGTCATTTGTCAAAACCCACCAACACCACCTGATCTCTCTAAAGAAAGCTCAAGAACTGAAGTTTCTGAATTTGATTATATGTTGTTTAATGAGTTTGTTCGTGTCTCAAAACGTGTCAGAGATTTGATGGCGTTAAATTGACCAGGTGTGTTTACGTCCTCAAGAATTTGGAGACTTGTCGTCTTCCATTTTGTTTTCTGAAGGTAACTCGTCAATCTTGGGAGACTATTAATATATCTACTTGATAAGACAGTCGCAAGAGTAGTATCCATGTTTTTGTATCTTTTAAGAGAACTTTTGTTTGAAAATCGATGCTTTAATGCATCCGTCTGTATGTTCCATAAACCGCACGAACGTGGTGCTGTTCTTGCAGTGAATCAAGTGGCCCAATGTTGTATCTTTCTGAACTTATCTTTTTCTTTGTTTTGCTCAGTGTTGTTGGGTGTTGCATTTTTACTAATATCAGGTTCTTTAATTTTAGTGTTCTTGGCATACCAACTTCACATTGTTCTCTGTTAAGTATTTCTGCTTAGAATGTTTCTGCTAATAAACACGTCTCTTTTTAAGTACGGAATCTCAGTCGAAAAGGGTTTTGTTTTAGACTCATTTCGTCAAATCAAATTTTTAATGATTTTAAAAACTGTAAATATATCTAAACCAAAGTTAAAAAACTGTATGATTGGATTAGAAGTAGAGAACATCCTGATTGATTGCACACCAAAACCATCATTGTTAAGAATCACTGAAGCTCAGTACAAAGTCTTTTATTAAAGCCTACCCTGGACCACAGAGCGCATAATGACAGAGAGTCTGCAACAAGACTGCATCAGGATCTCTGGCTAACCTTGCGTCCTGCTAGCTTCTCTGACTCAAACAACATGTGATTGATGAGTCCCCGAGCAGCACTGCCAAATACCAACATAAAACGTTTTAATTCATTCCAAACTCTTCAGATAGATGTATAAATCCCAAGAGTGTTTTGTAATATATGGCATCAATGATATCGTGCGGCTATTTGTGTGTGTGTGAAACATCATTTTTTTTACAACGTATGCAGCAATGAGTCATAAGGTTTAACAAAAATAGCATTCACTGGAGGTTGGAAAGAAGAAGAAAACTCACTCATCCTTCAACTTCTGAATCTTCTCTGGGTCTGTCTCATTCATATGTTTCTTAAATTGCTGCCTCACCATACCAACAACCAGCTCAGTGTTGTGTTGCTGCAAGACACAAACAAGTAAACAGAACAATGTTCATTTCTTATACCAAATCTAGGCAGAAAATCGAAATTGCTCACAGAATCAAAATAGAAATGATGAAATGATATCTATCTCAAACTTTTCTGGATGCATCATATCGATACAAATGTTCAGGCTTAAATCAAACTGCATTCTTATATGCAGAAGGCAACCCCCACAAATGGGTCAAGAGAATCAACTCTAAAAGGTATCAATATACACGAGTTCTTGGGAAGAAAACACAAACACAAAGTACCTTGCGCTAAAGCAAAAATCTCTACATTTTGCTCTAAGTAACTAAAACTTAAAGCAATCCAAAAAACCTCGTTTTAGTTTTGAAGGGCTAAAATGAAATTCTTATATTGGACACATTATCATATTAGAAACAAGAATGGCAATCATACTAAACACAATCCCATCGAAAGCAACAGGGTGTCTGAATCTGAAAAAGCAGGTTCATATTTAAAGCTCAGAGAAACTATTAGTTCAGAGAATCTCACCTGCTTACCAATAAATGTAGCTCTACGAAGACATTCTCGGTACAGCTGCTCATAAGAAGAGGCGAATAGATCAGTGAAATAACATTAAGAAAGGAAAAAAAAACAAAAGCACAAGTTAATGTGGACATTGTAAGAAAATCGAACCGATGATACTGACCCTAACCACATTGTTAGCGAGCTCAGGAGGCAGAGAACCTTGTAGAGTCGGCATTTTCACAAGAGATCTTGGGCTTCAGTTACGCTCTTCTTTTCCTGTTACTGTACAAAAACACAAGATCGAAATTATCGATCAGAAACGTAAACTTAAACCCTGAAGCTGTAGTCACCGAAGAGCAATTTTACTCATTTCAAGTCCTCACCGAATTTAAAATTGATAGAAAAAACCGGTATTTTCGGATAAACAGCATCCAAAAATTGTAGAAATCTAAAAAACCAGAATCCATTGAAAGACCAATCTGAATCTGTGCTGGGATCGTCTACAAAAAGTGGAACAGAAGAAGGCAGAGAGATTGGATTGCAGAGAAGAAAATTTTCTGAAATCGATACCATTATTCAAACCAAATAGACAAAAGGCGTAGAGAGAGAGACAAATAGATCGATGCTTACCGGCGAAATGACCGGACGTCGAAATCTCGAGCTTGACAGAGACGGCCAGAAGCAGGCATTCAACGGTGAGACAGACTGAGAGCTTCGGATTTTTAAGACTTCAGGTAAAAACTAACAGATAAACGACGTCGTTTGATAAACTTAAAAACGCGCCGAAAATAGGCCCATTAAGTTATTAGGTTACATAAGGCCCATAAGAATATATATATTTCCAAGTAATATGTTTGAAACAATCTCATCCGTCCATTGTTAGCGTTACCAGCCGTAGATTATCCCTACGCGGATAGCTTAGACTCCAGTAGCATTCCCGCCTAAATCATAAATAAGAATCCTGCAAAGATTTTAGCATTGAAAATCGGAATCGTCTTTTTATTGCTCAAAACGAAAACCCTAAATTGTCTCTCTCTCTCCCTTCGCCTCCCCAGAAGAGCAACCTTTGTTATGGACAACAGTGATCTCGCCGCCGGTTCCGGTTCCGGCTCCGCCTCGACCACCGGTTCAGGTCTGATTTCTTCTTTCGTTTTTTTTCATTTCATTGCGCGTTTCATCAAGTCCTCTCTCTCCGGAGAGCTAAAGTCTGATTAACTTGTCTTGTTTTCTCGTATTTTTTAAATGGATTTTATCCCAATTTCTAGGGTTTATTCTGTTTGGTGTTTCAAATGTCTAGTGTTGTAAAAACCTACCAATGTGGCGTCTTTTTGGGTATATGTATTCTACTGACTCTAGTGTCTGCATATATAATAGGTTGTTTTTTCTGTTTATGTGTCTGAATGTATAGTGATGTCTTAATACTGTATGCATCATGTGGATTTTTAGATATGAGGAAGAAACAAAAGCATGACGATTCTGTGGATGATAAAGAGAAGGTTGGGGTTGATTCTTCTCCACAGGAAGAGGACGAAGAGAAGAGCCGTTACAGATCTATGGCCACGATTGCCATTGGTTATGGGATCAATCCCACTGTTGAGAACTTCATCATTCCAGGAATGACACAGACGGTGTGCCCGAGTTTTTCTCCCAATACTCCTAAACTCAAGAGTACAGTTCTTGAGATGTACGAAGAAGGTAGAGAAAGTCAAGAAATTGTTGAAGGTTTCACCTGGGAAACTAACCCTCTCTTATGACTGGACTGTTCTTGGGGATTGGACTAGTGAATGCATTGAGGGTCCTATCTTGCACGAGGATTTCATCGTTACCCGCGTTTATTTCGCTGATGAAAACTTTAGGATGAAGAAATGGATCTTGGGTTACCATCCTCGCGAGTCTTTGAAGGTGAAAGACATTTATGTTGACTCTTTCAGGAACGTTATCACGGAGCACGAGATTGAGAGCAAGGTCTCGACTCTTCTTGTGCCTAACTATGGCGATCTTGGTGTCAAAGCGTTTGATGATTTTAGAAAATGGATTGAAGAGAGAGGGAACAATCCTATCAACCCTCGTGTGTTCCTCATCTACTGTTGCTCCGACATTTTTCGGTTGATGGTTGATGACGTGTTAAAGGACATAAACATATGGGTGATGGAGCGTGTCCGGATGCTGGTTGGTTGGGGAAGAATGGTACCTACCAATTGGCACGTCACATTGGGTAAGCTGCAGAAAGCTGTAGATATGGAAGCCAAGAATGTATTTGAAGAGGAAGAGGATTACCAGGATTATGAGCAACCAACCGATGAAGAATGGATAATGATTAAAACCTTTTGCAAGCTTGCGGGTTGCATTTATAAAGTTGCAAAAGAGCTTTTTGAGGGAGAGTATGCAACATCTAACGTCTACTTCCACCTTCTCGCGGAGCCAAAATTCATGCTAAACCAAGAGCTCAAGAATGGAGATAGCGATTACTTCCTCAACAAAGCTAAAGAAATACTGGAGAGGTTTGATAAGTATTGGAACGATATGTTTCTTGTTTTGGCATCTGCTTCTGTGTTAGACCCTCGGTTCAAGATGAAGTATCTTGAGTTTTACTGCTCAAAGAAGGAAGTTAGTGATGATGGTTCAAAAGCTGAAACTGTTTTGGACTATTTACGCAATCTATATGCTCACTACGCTTCTAGTGATATCCGTCCTCAACCAGAACGTGTCGATGGTGCAGTTTACCCATATTGCAGCTGGATTAAGAAGATCTTAGAAGAGGAAGAAAAAGAAGAAGAAGAAGAAGAAAAAGAGGAAGAGAAAGAGAAAAAGCCTGATGCGTACAAGGATTTTGTTTTCGTTCAGGAATATCTCAAGTTTGAAGGATCTTCACGAGAATTTCATGACTCAGAACTTGATTCTTATCTCAAAGAACCAGTTTTGGAGTGGAACAAAGACTTCAATGCTCTGGATTGGTGGAGAGAAGAGAGCCCAAAGTACCCGATCCTCTCCCGAATAGCTCGTGACATTCTCTCCATTCCAATATCTCGTGGCACATCGTATGACGCTTATGTTGCAGACAAAAGAGAGCCTCCTGATTTTGTTGTCTCCATGGAGGCAAAACTTGTGAACGCCATGATGTGCAGCCAGAGCTGGCCACGACGTTGATATGGCAGATTTGGTAACTGGTAAGAACATAAAATGCTATTATTGCCTTCATGAAAACTCGATAACTCTGTTTTCCCCTATCGTTATCTGTAACATGCTTTATCTTAAGGTATTGCTTTTGTTAGAGTAGACTAACATCAAAGTTCTCAATTCCACTGTCGATTAGAATTAGATGTGAAGTTTATAAAACAAACCACGTTTCTTGTCAATAAATAACGGTTCGATCCTGAGTTTCATGTTGTGTTTCTTTGATATTCTGTTTCAGGTACTGTGTTATGGAGGAATGGCTCAGTCACAAACATGAATCATTCATTCTCAATCCTTTGTTCCAAGTTCAAACTATTATAAAAGATCGATTAGAACTTAATATTATTAGTTTTGGTATTTTTGTCTTTTTGGATCAGTGACTTTTATATTCAAGGAATTGTTCTTTTTGGTTGATAAAACCGAGACTAACTGGATTAAGCTTTTCTTTGTTCCTCTTCTTTTGCTATTGAAATTGGATCTAACTTTAACGGAGAATCACTTCAAATGATTGATCTGCCTATGTTCCAAATATTCTATCGAACTCAGCCTCTGTTCTTCAATGTATAACATTCAAACATTGCCCTCTCCAAACACAAACATCTAAATAACCGTATATCATATTTGTTCATCGTGTTTCATGAGTTGCACAGAACAACGATACATTGAAAACGAATGGTACTAAATCAAAATACAAGTGACCAGTAAGATTTTGGTTGGTCTGTATATCATTTAAATAAAGAGATTTGGGTGTGTAGGTTAGTTTGGATGCTTATTGAGTACAACATAGCATTGCCCATATATTAGAGAAACCATCCTTCATTATTTCACACTCTGTTTCTTACAGTTAAACAGAAAAAAACAAAATGAAGTCTCTACTTTATGAAACTCCTTTAAGAAAATAGAAACGGAAACAAGATAATCTTCTTTGGCAACTTTAAAGTCTATCTTGTAGCAACAACCTCACGACCCGTGATTCAAACTAAGGCTTCCACAGAAGGCCTGTCAAGAGATGGCCCATTATCTGTGGAAAGGCCTAGCAAAAGATGGCCCATTATCTTACATATTCGGATATTCCCTGAATAATCGCGTCCGTCCACTGTTTGCTTTACCAAAACAAACGTCCCATTCAGCGTCGACTCTCGATAATCATCAAACCCAAGGAAAGCCAAAAAAATAATAAAAATAAAGAAGCCAACAACAACGTACGTGGACAGCTCCAGTAGCATTCCCGCCTTAAATCACCTTCTTCTTCCTCTACCGGAAACCCTAATTATTCTCTCCGCTTCCTCTCCCCGCAGAAACAGCAACGCTTCTATGGAATACGGTGATCTCGCGCTCGCCTCCTGTTCAGGTCTAAATTCTTCTTCCCTTTTCCATTTTTCTTCTCACTGTCACACTCCTGATATCCCTAATTTCTAGGGTTTCTTCTCCTCACGCTTTCCACTTGTGTGATTTTAAATCTTTCCAATTTTGTGAACCTTTTTGCGTATCTAGTACTGATTTTAGTTTCGATTATCTTTGCGTGTTCAAATCAAAGTGTCTCTGAATGCATAATGACATCTTTGCATCATCTGCGTTTTTTAGGTATGAGTAGGCAACTGAAATCGGACGATTCTATCGACAATGAGAAGACTGTGGTGGATAATCGAATCCCTACGCAGACGGAGAAAGAGAAGAAATTTCTGAGATCTACAGCTGAGTGGCTCATCCGTACTGCTCGTGTACCTCCTCATTCCTTTGTGGATCGCATGGGCCCGGTCTTGCCTTTCGATGATTCTCTACAGTCTCTACTCGAGGGAGAGATTCTTAAGATTCACGAAGAACGCAAAGACAAGGCCAAGAAATTCCTCAAGGATTTCGATGGCAAGTTGACAATCTCTTATGATCGGGTCGCTTATGATGATGAGTGGCTGGCTTATGATGAGGAATATGATGACAGTTATTCCAAAGATGGCCCTGTTTTGCACAAGGCTTTCGTCAATTTAAGTGTCCATTTCGTTGATCGTAACTGGAATGTCAGGAAATGGATCTTGCGGTACTCTCCTATCGAGTTTGAACGCGTGGAAAAAGTTGAGGTTAAAAAGTTTAAGAAAGTTATTCTGGATTATGAGATTGAGGACAAGGTCTCTACTATTGTAGTGCCTAACCACGGTGATAAACGCTTTGATGCTCTCAGAAAGTGGATAGAAAAGAAGGGAGAAAATCCGATCGACCCTTGCTTCTTCCGCATCTGTTGCTGCTCTGATCTCTTCAGGTTAATGGCTGGTGATTTGTTTGACGACATGGACTTGCTGCTAGAGGATATCCGAGTCTTGGTTGGCTGGGGAAAGATGTCATCAACCAACTGGAACGTCACTTTGTGTAGTCTTCAAGAAGCTCTAGATATGGAAGATAAGAAAGTATTTGAAGAGGATGAGTATTACCAGGACTTTGACCAACCATCTGAAGAAGAATGGATGATGGTTCGAACTTTCTGCAAACTCGCTGGTTGCATCTACAAAGTGGCAAAGGAGCTTTTCGAAGGAGGGTATTCGACATCTAACGTCTACTTCCATCTTCTTGCGGAGCTAAAGGGAATGTTGAACCAAGAGCTAATGAGTGCTGATGATGATTACTTCCTCTGCAAAGCTAAGAAGATATTGGAGAGGTTTGATAAGTACTGAAATGATATGTTCCTGGTTTTGGCAACTGCTTCTGTGTTAGACCCTCGGTTCAAGGTGAAATACGTTGAGTTTTACTGCTCAAAGAAGATTGACAATGACGAAGCCCCAAAAGCTGAAACTGTTTTGGACTATTTACGCAATCTATATGCTCAGTATGCAGCTAGCGATACTTGTACACAAACAGAATGCATGAATGCTACAGTTGATTCACTTTCCTATACCGCAGAGGAAGATGAAGAAAGTGATAAAGAATATGAAGAAGAAGAAGGTGGAGTAGAAGAACAGAAGGACGAGGAAGAGAAAAAACATGATACATACAAGGATTTTGTTTTGTTTCAGGAATTTCTCAAGTTTGAAGGATCTTCTAGAGATTTTGATGAATCAGAACTCGGTTCCTATCTCAAAGAGCCAGTTATGGAGTGGAACAAAGACTTCAAAGCATTGCAATGGTGGAGAGAAAAGAGCCCACAGTATCCAATCCTCTCCCGAATAGCTCGTGACATTCTCTCCATACCAATCTCTCGTGCCACATCGTATGACGCTTATGTTGCTGACCAAAGAGAGTGTCCTGAATTTGTTGTCACCATGAAAGCCAAAGTTGTGAACGCCATGATGTGCAGCAAACGCTGGTCACGACTTTGATTTGGCAAATGTAAGTCGTAACAACAAAAAATGCTTTGGCCTTAGTAGGATCATATTTCTGTTTCTTTTTTTTTTTGTATTTTTCTTATCATTCAGTCTGTTTTCCATTTCGACAATAGTGACATTGGGAACTTGTGATTGTTCACAATTTCAAATTAGTATTTTCGACATTTGATATTTTTAGGGAACCTTACATTTGTATGATTTTGCATCACCAAAACTCTCATCTTGCTGTACTTTTATGAATGGTTCATGATGTCAACAAAAATATGGTTCCTTATTTTTGTGGCAAATATGGTTTGTATATAATTTTGTATCACAAAACCCCGAACATAATATCCGAAATAATCTCATCCGTCCACTACTTTCATTACTGACCGTGCGATCCATCGCCTCGATGATTAAATCAGGTAAATAAAAGAAATCGCCAATAAAGAAAGCCACGTAGGTCGATATACCTCAATTAGCATTCCCGCCCAAATCATAAATAGAGATTAATTAGCATCGGAAATCGGAACCGTCTCTTATTTACCCAAAACGAAAACCCTAAATCCTCTCTCTCACTTCGTCTGCCCCTGAACAGCAACCTTTGCTATGGACAACGGTGATCTCGCCTCCGGTTCTGGTTCCGGCTCCAGTTCAGGTTCTAATTTCTTCTTCCTTTTTTCATATCTTTCTCTCCAGAGAGCTCTGTTTTCTCATAATTTTTGTAGATGTTATCCCCAGTTTCTAGGGTTTTGTTCTAGATATGGGTTCTTGTTTTTTGTTCGTCTGGATGGCATAATGATATTCTAATACTGTGCATTTAGATATGGAGAAGAAACGAAAGTTAGACGATTCTGTGAACGATTCTATTGATAATTGTGAGGACGATTTTGTGGACGATTGTGAGGACGATTGTGAGGACGACGAGGAGATGGTGGCGGATGATCTTACTTCAACTGCCGAGAAGGAGAAAGATGGTTACAACGCTATGGCCAAGTGGTTCATTAGTGATGGGATTAATCCTAATATCATTAAGAAAGCGTCCTTCGCAAAGTTTATGCGGCTTGTAAAGCCAGATTTGCCTCTTAGTGTTCCACTAGTCGAGAAGGAAGTTCTTCTGATACACGATGAATACAAAGAGAAGGCCAAGAAATTTCTCAAGGATTTTCAAGGGAAGATAACCCTCTCTTATGAATGGTTGCTTCTTGGGAATGAGCGGACCATAGATCACATAGATGACCCGATTTTGCACGCGGATTTTGTTCGTATGGCTGCTCATTTCATTGACGATAACTGGAAGGTCAGGAAATTGATCCTCGGTTACTCTACTGACGAATTTATACCTCTGGACGACATTTATCCATACCATTTTAGAACTGCTGTTCAGGGTTTCGAGATTGAGAACAAGGTCTCTACTATACTAGTTCCTAACATCGAGGATTTAGATGAAAAAGCAGTTGATGCTATCAGGAAGTGTATAGAAGCGAAAGGGAATAGCTCCATCAAACCACCGGTTTTTCTAGTCTATTGTTGTGCTGATCTTTTCCGGTTAATGGTTGAGGATCTGTATGGTGGCATTAGCCCGTTGCTGTATGAGAATTTACGTATGTTGGTTAGTTGGGGAAGATGTTTGTCAGCACCCAACTGGAACGTCAATTTGAATCATCTGCAACAAGCTGTAGATATGAAAAACGAGGATGCATTCTCAAAGGATGAGATTTACGACGATTATGACAAACCGTCTGATGAAGAATGGATAAAGATTTAAACTTTTTGCAGTCTCACTGGTTGCATCTATAAAGTGGCAAAGGAGCTTTTCGATGAAGGGTATTCGACATCTAATGTCTACTTCCACCTTCTTGCTGAGCTGAAGGTAATGTTGAACCGAGAGCTCGCTAGTGCTGATAATGATTACTCCCTGATGAAGGCTAAGAAGTTGTTGAAGATGTTTGATAAGTATTGGAATGGCATGTTTCTGGTTTTGGCAACTGCTTCTGTGTTAGACCCTCGGTTCAAGATGAAGTACATTGAGTTTTACTGCTCAAAGAAGATCGATAATGATGATGATGCTTCAAAAGCTGAAACTGTTTTGGATTATTTACGCAATCTATACGCTCGCTACGCAGCTAATGAAATCTATCAGAAGCCATTATGTCCGGTTGCTACAATTGACTCCGAGGAGGAAAAAGAAGATGATGAAGGAGAAGAAGAAGATTTTGATGATGAAGAACGAGAAAGAGAGGCACCAAAGGACAAGGAAGAGAAGAAGAAGAAAAATCCTGATGCATACAAGGATTTTGTTTTGTTTCAAGAATTTCTCAAGTTTGAAGGATCTTCAAGAGAGTTTCAAGAATCAGAGCTCGATTCTTATCTGAAAGAACCTGTTATGGAATGGAATAAGGAATTCAAAGCATTGGAGTGGTGGAAAGAAGAGAGCATAAAGTATCCAGTCCTCTCCCGAGTAGCACGAGACATTCTCTCTATACCAATCTCACTTGCCACGTCGTACGATGCTTATGTTTCGGACAAAAGAGAGCCTCCTGAGTTTGTTCTTAACATGGAACCCAAAATTGCTAACGCCATGATGTGCAGCAAAAGCTGGTTACGACTTTGATGATAATGGAAAAATTGGTAAGAACTTTTTTTTTCTCTAGCAAGACTTGTGAAATGCTTTTCTAGCCTTCATGAAACTTAATAACTCTGTTTTTCGTTTTGGTACTTTCGTTTTGGTACTTTCGTTTTAAATTATTGGTTTTTGTAACAACAAAAAATGCTTTGGTTTTGGTGAAATCAAATTTCTTTTTCATTTAGTCTGCTTTCCATTTCAACAACAGTAATAACCTTGTACTAACTAATATTAAAATTCTCAAATTCACTTTGATTAATGTGACATTTGAAGTTTCTTGATCGAATTACTGTGTTACTTTATTAGTATTTTCGACATTTTATTTTTTTAGGAACCTTTGACTTTATGCTTCTGAATTTTGCATCACCAAAACTTATATTCGTTACAATGGCAATATTGGGATTTTGTAGATAGTAAACTTTATATAACTTGCTGTATTTTTATGGAAATGGAAGTTAATCTTTATTTATTAGACCAAAGAAAAGGAGTTTTTTTTTCTTTATAACAAAAAAATCATAGAGTTAAAGGCAATTGCGGAAACTTAAAGAAAACATTCTTCATATGTATATATCATTTTTCTATCACAAAATGTGAACATAATATTCGAAAATAATCGCATCCGTCCACTCTTTTATTACTGACCGTGCGATCCAGCGCTTTGATAATCAAATCACGGAGGGAAAGAAACTTTCCAATAACTGGAGGCCACGTAGGTGTATAGCTCAATTAGCATTCCCGCCTAAATCATAAATAAGATCCTACAGATATTTAGCATCGAAAATCGGAATCGTCTATATATTAGTTACTCAAAACGAAAACCCTAAATCATCTCTCTCACGTCGTCTCCCCCAGAACAGCAACCTTTGCTATGAACAGCGGTGATCTCAACTCCGGTTCCGGCTCCGGCTCCGATTCAGGTTCTAATTTCTTATTCTTTTTTCATTTCTTTCTCTCCAGAGAGCTTTGTTTTCTCATAATTTTGGTAGATGTTATGCTCAATTTCTAGGGTTTTGTTCTAGATATGGTTGCTTTTTTTGTCGTCTGGATGCATAATGATATTATAATACCTTCGTTTTTTAGATATGGGGAAGAAATTAAAATCGGACGATTCTGTGAACGATTCTGTGGACGATTCGGTGGATGATTCTGCTGATGATTGTATGGACGATTTTGAGGACGACGTTGAGAACGACTTTGAGTACGACTTGGAGAACGATTTTGAGGACGATGAGGAGATTTTGGAGGATAATGTTCCTGATTGGTTCATTAGTGCTGGGATTAATCCTGATAACATTAGGAAGGAAGTTCTGAAGATATACGAAGCACAAAAAGAAAAGGCCAAGAAATTTCTCAGTGATTTTCAAGGGAATATAACCCTCTCTTATGAATGGTTGCTGCATGGTAATGAATGGACCAGCGAATACTCAAAAGGCCGTGTTTTGCACGAGGATTTCGTCTGTATGACTGCTCATTTCGTTGACGATAGCTGGAAGGTCAGGAAATGGATCCTCGGGTACTCTACTGGCGAGTCGATACCTCTGGACGACATTTTCACTTACCATTTTAGAACAGCTGTTCAGGGTTTCGAGATTGAGAACAAGGTCTCTACTATACTACTTCCCAACGATGAGGATTTTGATGAAAAGACGGTTGATGCTATCAGGAAGTGTATAGAAGCGAAAGGGAACAGCTCCATAAACCCACCGGTTTTTGTAGTCAATTGTTGTGCTGATCTTTTCCGGTTAATGGTGAATGATCTGTATAGTGGCTTTAGCTGGTCGCTGTACGAGGATGTTCGTATGTTGGTCGGATGGGGAAGATGTTCGTCAACAAACTGGAATGTCAAATTGTATCACCTGCAACAAGCTGTTGATATGAAAAACGAGGATGTCTTCTCAAAGGATGAGATTTACGACGATTATGACAAACCGTCTGATAAAGAATGGATAAAGATTCAAACTTTTTGCAAACTCACTGGTTGCATCTATAAAGTAGCAAAGGAGCTTTTTGAAGAAGGGTATGCGACATCTAATGTCTACTTCCACCTTCTTGCTGAGCTGAAGGTAATGTTGAATCAAGAGCTCGCTAGTTCTGATAATGATTACTTCCTCCGCAAAGCTAAGAAGATGTTGAAGATGTTTGACAAGTACTGGAATGATATGTTCCTGGTTTTGGCTACTGCTTCTGTGTTAGACCCTCGGTTCAAGATGAATTACATTGAGTTTTACTGCTCAAAGAAGATTGACAATGACGAAGGTTCAAAAGCTGAAACCGTTTTGGACTGTCTACGCAATCTATACGCTCGCTATGCAGCTAACGAAATCTGTCAAAAACCAATATGTCCGGCTGCTACAATTGGCTCCAAGGAAGAAGATGATGATGAGGAAGGAGAAGAAGAAGATTATGATGATGAAGAAGGAGAAAGAGAAGCAGAAAAGGAAAAGGAAGAGAAGTAGAAGAAGCCTGATGCATATAAGGATTTTGTTTTGTTTCAAGAATATCTCAAGTTTGAAGGATCTTCAAGAGAGTTTCAAGAATCAGAGCTCGATTCTTATCTCAAGGAACCAGTTATGGAGTGGAACAAAGGTTTCAAAGCATTGGAATGGTGGAAAGAAGAGAGCCAAAAGTATCCAATCCTCTCCCGAGTAGCACGAGACATTCTCTCCATACCGATCTCACGTGCCACTTCGTACGACGCTTATGTTTCGGACAGAAGAGAGCCTTCTGAACTTGTTCTTTCGGAGGAACCCAAAATGGCTAACGCCTTGATGTGCGGCAGAAGCTGGTTAAAAGTCTTACCACTGTGATGATATGGAGAGAATGAAAACTTTCCTTTCATTGCTAAGAACTTCTCTCTTTTTTTCTCTAGTAAGAACTTAAAATGCTTTTCTACCTTTCATAAAACTTAATAACTCTGTTATCGTTTTCGTACTTTCGGTTCCCATTTCTATCTCAGTAGTGTTTCTTTTTTTTGAGTTGTTTACACCATCGTAATCTTGTTGAGTCGCACTCAAGGTTTTTTTTTTCTTTTTTTTCGACGTCTGACTCAGGGTTTATGATACCCATTTCCTCTGTTTTACATCCATTTCAGTTTTCTGTTTCTCAATTATAGATTTATAGCCGTAACACGTATGTTTATGTGATGAGAAAATAAACACGTCACATTTTATGAAAAGATAAGAATGAAATGAAAAGATAAGAATGAGATGAATATATAATTGTCTACTAAATTGACCAGAACTAATAGCGCTAAATATTGTCACCCTTTTGGAGTTCGAGTTGTTAAAAAAAAAAAAAATATTAAAAAATGTTCGTTATCTTTGCTTATTAAACCACAATTTCACAAAGAACAACACATATTAGCAGTATTGAGGAATACCAAATAAGTAGTTTTAACAATTAGTTAGTTTTTGATCTGAAATTTGTTAATAGCTTTAGAAAAAAATTACTCTTTTTTTCTTCAAGATTATTGTTTTAGTAATATGAACACACGTTAGCAACATATAAATCTAACATTTTTGGTTCAACCTATTGTTTTATATGTTTACTTTTTTCCACTTCTTTTAAAATTTGTTCTGTGTGAGCTCTTTACAATTATTCTTTTTCATTTCTTCAATAATCAAGTGAGTGAGGTAAAGAACTATACGGTGGCGGTGTATTGGTAAAGAGGCCAAGTGGTTTGAAAGGTTACACTCATGTTTCCCACGTGGTTCCACCATTAGCTAAGTACAGTAAAATTTCTATAAATTAATAATATTGGGACTATAATATTTTTTTAAATTATTGTGATATTAATTTATCTATAAATTAATAATTATTAATTTCCGCATATAATTTTCTACAAATTTATTTGGAATAATATTATAGTTTAAAATTTTAACAAATTTCATAATTTAAACTATAATTAAAAATTATAATTATCACAATAAAATAGTTTTTCACCATATTGGATTGTCCATATAAAAAATATACATGTTCATAAGTTAAAAATTTATCAAAAACCTATGGCTACTATCAGTATTATTGATGATAAAATTAAAGATAACACTACAATACATTTAAAATATTTACATGTAAGAAAATCAATTATCACATCAAAAAATCATCATAAATTTTAATTGTATATAGTAAAACAGCAATAAAAGCTACTGATATGATAATTAGAGAGATGAGAACCAATAAGATTTCAACTTTAACTAAAAAAGAATACGTTAGTCATATTTTAGAATAGTAAATTTACATATATTTACATAAATTTATATAATTATTAATTTATGTTTTTATTGGAACCATATATTTATATAAAGGTTTAAAAAAAAATTATTATCTTATTATCTTATTGAAATTGATGTATTTTTACATTAACCCGACTTGAGACCAGTAAAATTTATTAATTTATAGTGATTATTAATTTATTGAATATTAATTTATAGAGGTTTTACTGTATTATTAATCTTTGTCTTAATTGCTATTTTAACAGATTAGTGTGAGTTGTGAACACAAGAGTTTCATGCATTTAAACACCTAAACATAGATATCTACAATAATTTTTTCCCTTAAATGTAGAAATATTTAAATACCTAAAATAGAGTTTATTACATTTGTCAAAGATATATATATCTCATTTTCTAAAGCAAAATGTATCGAAATAGAATATAATATTTTTTTTATATATACACATATATTCTCAAGTTGAGAATCTCAACATATTCAGGTAAACCTAATTTGGTGTTTTCTTTAATATTTCGCTAAAAAAAAATTAAAATGCGTCCAAGCAAAGCTTCAGTGACTCAAACATGGCTGCTTTTTACACAGCTTCGTCTCTGGAAAGATCTCGTAATCAGATGTGTCCGTCAGTTTATTAGAAGAGCAAAAGCGATGCTTCTGAGTCAAAACATGGTCGCTGAATCTGCTGAGATCAGTGTCATCGACGTGAAGTCTCATCTTTCCGTCGAGAAAGATCCCAACAACTTTCAGATTGCCGAAATTCGAATTCACGACTCCGTTTGCATTGAGATTCCGGGTTCTGAAGAAACGTCTCTTTTAGGATCGGTACGTGTTTGGGTCTCTTTTTGTTTTCTCTTTCTCTAATCTCAATCTTGCTTCTTTTGATACTTTAGGACTCTGTGTCATTCCAGGTTCTCCGATGAAGTCGAAGCTCGAATTGAATCGGATTGAGTCTTTTTTCTTCTTTGTAATTCCGCTTGCTTGTGTAGTTGTGGATTAGAATTTAGCTTTTTGATTAGAATTCGGCATCAAGACTTGACTTTTCAGTGTTAATTTTTTCATTTGCGTCTTCCTTGTTAAATCCTATTCGAGTTTAGGAAAGAAAGACTGGTGATTTAATATAGTGTCGCCTTTTTCCTTGTTAAGACTTTGATTTCAGCTTTTCGTGGATCAATGTCTTCTTCAGTGTCATAGTTAAAGCTTGATTTCCTTTTGCTGCTCTATTGCACAGAATATTCTGCTGTGTAAATTCTCTGTTTGTTCCTGTAAATTATCTCTCAATACTATGATGTTGGAGGAGCAGAACAACTAAACACTAAACAAGCTCTAATGTTACTTTTTTAATCCTCAAAACAGGTCAAGAGTTGTTCTGCAACAAATGCAACTACCATTGAAGAGCCTGCTACTGAGTTTGTCCCAACAATAAGTTCTGGGAGTTATGCGGATAAGGGTGACTACCGGGAGTATATGGAAGATGAACACATATGCATAGACGACCTTTCAGCTCATCTTGGGTCTTCCTTCTTCAGTTTCCCAGTGCCCATCGCTTTCTACGGTGTATTCGATGGCCATGGTGGACCTGAGGCATCCCAGTACATAAAAGAGAACGCAACGAGATTATTCTTTGAAGATGCTGTTTTTCAAGAATTGCCTTCCATTGTGAACACCTTCTTCTTGAAAGAACTGGAGAAGTCTCACCGTAAAGCTTATAGGTTAGCTGATCTCGCCATGGAAGATGAAAGCATTGTTAGCGGTTCTTGCGGAACAACCGCCTTGACCGCTCTTGTAATCGGGCGGCACTTAATGGTAGCTAACGCTGGCGATTGCCGTGCAGTGCTCTGCAGGAAAGGAAAAGCTGTTGATATGTCGTCTGATCACAAATGTACGTTTGAGCCAGAACGTAGACGTGTAGAGAATCTAGGAGGGTACTTTGAAGGTGAGTATCTCTACGGTGATCTCGCTGTTACAAGGGCTCTTGGAGACTGGTCGGTGAAGAGGTTTTCACCACTCGGAGAATCTCTGTCACCTCTGGTATCAGACCCGGACATTCAACAGATGATCTTAACCGAGGAAGATGAGTTCTTGATTATGGGATGTGATGGTGTTTGGGATGTGATGACAAGCCAGTATGCTGTTACATTCGTCAGGCAAGGACTCAGGAGACATGGTGACCCGAGAAGATGTGCGATGGAACTTGGAAGGGAAGCGTTAAGGCTTGACTCATCGGATAATGTTACAGTGGTGGTCATATGCTTCACATCATCACCAGCTCCTCAAAGGAGAAGAATACAGTTTTGTGTTTCTGATGAAGCCCGAGCTCGGTTACAAACGATGCTTGAAGGCTAATTCGATTAAAGTTTTTGCTCGGTCTTGAGGGAGACAATGTATATAATAGAGAAGCAGAGATGTGGTTTTGAGATAATCATCCCCCCTCAAGGCAAAAGATTATTTGATGACATTACATCTCTGATATTTGGATGTAATAAAAGAAGGCAAAAAGAGAAGATGAAGGACTTTTTGTTGTTGTTGTTGTTGAATGTTCATAAGTGTTGTAGCCATTTTTGATCTTGTTTGTTTGGCTATTTCTCCGGTAGGATTATTGAGCACTTATGTACAAAAACTGATTTAAGATTAGAGGCAAATCAAGGTTATTAAAGTTAATCACCAGATGTCTCCATTTTTTCTCTTCCAGATTGTAATGTTTAATAGTTTAAATTGATTTTGGATTCTGTTAATTATGATTTACGGAAAAGAAAAAGAATAATTAAGGGAAAAAGAATTATTCAGGCCCTTTCTAGTGTTTTTCCGTCTTTATTCGACTCTTCAAAGAGCCAAAGTCTCTCTTTCCCATCTCTCTCTATAAGAAAGTTCGACGGAAGGAGAAGAACAACAACGATGGCGATGGCGAGCTTAGCTAGGAGAAAGGCGTACTTTCTGACCAGAAACATCTCTAAATCTCCCACTGACGCTCTCAGATTCTCTTTCTCCCTCACCCGCGGCTTCGCTTCGTCGGGATCCGACGAGAACGATGTTGTCATTATCGGCGGCGGTCCTGGAGGTTACGTGGCGGCGATAAAGGCGGCACAGCTCGGTCTCAAGACTACCTGCATCGAGAAACGTGGTGCTCTCGGCGGTACTTGCCTTAACGTCGGCTGTATTCCTTCAAAGGTGATTCAGAAACTCCTTTCTCCTTCGTGGAATCAACTCTCTCTTTTTTTTCTTCGAAAACCTCGATTCGGCAGAATTTTTCTCTAATTTTTGTCGTTGATCATTATTGCGATTCGATCTATTTCTTTACGAACTGCTTGTGTGATGATAATTGTTTAGTACTCCGATCATTTTGAGGACGTTTTGCTGAATTCTGTTTGTGCTTGATTTCGCGGAAATGGAATTATCAATTTTATTCTCGTTGAATTGGGTTCGTGAAGTGCAAATGCTGGATCATGATGCTCTCTTGGCTCGTTGTCCAAGTTTGGTGTAGAAAAAGTTGTATGAAACTCTCATTTCCCTAGACCATAACTGTGGTAGATATTAAGAGCACTAGATTTTTTGTTTTCTGATTTTATTAGGCTCTTCCCCCACTCTGCTTAAGCTTTGAGAAATCTTATATGATGTTAATCTAATTATCGATATGCTGAATTGAATTTGTCTCGATACAGTTAACATAGCATTCACTCTATTGTTTTTCTTGTGTATTAGGCCCTTCTTCACTCTTCTCACATGTACCATGAGGCAAAGCACGTCTTTGCTAGCCATGGTGTTAAGGTCTCTTCGGTTGAGGTAGATCTTCCTGCTATGTTGGCCCAGAAAGACACAGCCGTCAAGAATCTCACCCGTGGAATCGAAGGTCTGTTCAAGAAGAACAAGGTAAACTACGTTAAGGGCTACGGTAAGTTTCTGTCCCCGTCTGAAGTCTCTGTGGAGACAATCGATGGAGAAAACACGGTTGTGAAAGGCAAACATATCATAGTTGCAACTGGCTCAGATGTCAAGTCTCTGCCTGGCATCACCATCGATGAAAAGAAGATTGTCTCATCAACCGGGGCACTGTCTCTGACAGAAATCCCAAAGAAACTGATCGTCATTGGCGCTGGCTATATTGGTCTTGAGATGGGTTCTGTGTGGGGACGGCTTGGATCAGAGGTCACAGTTGTTGAGTTTGCATCAGATATCGTGCCGTCAATGGATGGGGAAATCCGCAAGCAGTTTCAACGTACACTAGAGAAGCAAAAGATGAAATTCATGCTCAAGACTAAAGTTGTTGGCGTAGATTCATCAGGAGATGGCGTGAAGCTCATCGTGGAACCTGCAGAAGGTGGAAACCAGACTACTCTAGAAGCTGATGTTGTCCTCGTCTCAGCAGGAAGGACTCCGTTCACATCTGGACTTGATCTGGAGAAAATCGGAGTTGAAACAGACAAAGGCGGGAGAATTCTGGTGAACGAGAGGTTCTTGACAAATGTTTCAGGCGTTTATGCAATTGGAGACGTGATTCCAGGACCAATGCTTGCTCACAAAGCCGAGGAAGACGGTGTCGCTTGTGTTGAGTTCATAGCAGGCAAACACGGACATGTGGATTACGACAAAGTCCCTGGGGTTGTCTACACCTACCCTGAAGTTGCCTCTGTGGGTAAAACCGAGGAGCAGCTGAAGAAAGACGGTGTAAGTTACCGGGTTGGGAAATTCCCGTTCATGGCCAATAGCAGAGCCAAGGCCATAGACACAGCAGAGGGAATGGTCAAGATTTTGGCTGATAAAGACACAGACAAGATCTTGGGGGTTCACATAATGTCAGCAAACGCAGGAGAACTGATCCATGAGGCGGTTCTGGCGATCAACTATGATGCGTCGAGTGAAGACATCGCTCGAGTCTGTCACGCTCATCCCACCTTGAGTGAGGCTATCAAGGAAGCTGCCATGGCTACCTATGACAAGCCCATTCACATGTAGAAGCCCACAGGTAAATCACGGTTTAGTTTTGGTTCTGTTTAGGTTTAACGATTTTTTTTGTCTTTTCGTGTCTTAATTTGTCTTTACTTGTCTTAATTTGATTCTCTTTTCGTGTCTTAATTTGTCTTAATTTTTCGTGTCTTAATTTGATTCAGAAAGACGGAAAGCCTCGTATGACAAATCCAAATCGAGATCTTAACCGGCGTTGTTTTGGTTACTGGTTTGGTTTTCTATTTTCGGTTCAAACCTTGATTTTTTGTTTTTGGTGGATATGGGATGAGCTGAAAGAATATACTTTTACCACTCTTTTTACTGTTAATCTTCAACTGATGTTCAGCTTCGAGTTACGCTCGACCATAGTAATAATTTGAAATGCTCACCTAACCTGTTATGATTCATCGGGTTTGATGGTTGGTTTGAGTGGCCCCTTTTTTTTGGGTGAGTAAACCAAATTCTTTGTGATTTCATTTCACAATTTCGTTGATTCTGTTGGTATATCTAGTATCGGTTGTACTTCCAAATTTGACCATTTTGTTCGTCTATTCTCGGCCAGTTAAGTTACGTTTCCTTTGTGTGGTACTCTTTAAAGATATTTTTGCTAATTATCATGAACATCGACAAAAACAACTCATCATGGACACAATTAGGAAGTTTTCATACAGAAATCTACAAAGACGCCGGTCTATTCAATAGTCGCACTAATAATGGAAATGAGATAAATACGTTCATTCTTTCACACATTAGTTTAATAGTTTGAGTCAACAATTTACTAAAATAAACTACGTCGGGTCAACATTTCATTGACCCACACCAAGATCCTACCAAACAGGAGTTACACTTTTGCCACACCGAAAACTTATGTATATCTCATATATATACAACGAAGAAAGCTATCCCACATCTAAGAATACGCATAACTATTCTTCCATATTCAAGACAATGGCTTTTTCTTACGTCAAAAGAAACATTTTTTCAATTCTTCCTATTCTCGTTCTTCTATCAATCACCCCATTGTCTTCATCTTTCTCTCCGAATGACAAAGTCACAAAAGAATTAGTTAACCAGCTCTGCTCGCAGCCGACAATTTACAAGCACTTCTGCGTCGCTTGGCTGAACTCTGACCCAAAAACGTTCACCCTCGACTTACACGGTCTTATGGGTATGGTCATCGAAAAGACGGAATTGTTAGGGTACAAGAACCTAGCGATGATGAAAGGCTTAGCGAGAACAACGACTGATCCGAATCTCAAGATCCCATACGGGTCTTGCGTGACAGATTATGAATCATCCATTAAAGCGATCGAGGGAGCTAAAGGGTTTGCGAGCTCTAAGGAGTACCTGTTAGCAACTAAGGCTACTTTTGAAGCCTTTAATACTATATCTGATTGCGAAGCTCTGCTTGAACAACAGCCAATTCCGGCTTATGTTTCGCCACGCAATTTGATGTTTGAAAGAATGTGTAACATTGATACGGTTTTCACCAACCTTTTGGCGTCTTGATTCTTTATGTTTTCTTCACCTTCACCTGCAAGATGGCAAAACTTTAAAATGTCATTAACTCTGGTGTAGTAACGTTCAAACCAATAAATGAACAAATTCAATACTTAAATGGAAAAACTTTCATCTCTGGTGTAAATTCATGATGAGTATACATAAATCTCTAATTTTTTCAACAGTAAACTTTATTAGCATCAGAAATCATGAAGAAAAAAAATATATTAAGGAATGAATATATACCTAAAGGAGAAAATTCAAGAAAGTAAGTTAGAAGAATACTAATCAGATAACTCTCAATCTCTGCACTGTTGCTAAGAATAGCAAATTTTTTCTCTATCTTATATTAGGACTTGTGGTCTAACTAAGAATCAGAGACAGCAATAATCCTGTCCAAGAACTTCTATTATTAGTTCTAGTGGAAGCAATCAGTCCCAAGCACCTATAAATATGTAACCTCAGGCATATTAAGGGAGTAACCTTACCAAAAGAACCAACGAACACAAGAAAGAAAGAACCGACGATGGCAGCATACGTGAGGAAAAAAGTTTTTGTGTCTTCCCTGATGTTTTTTGTAATGATTGGTTCCTTGAACGCACAAGTGGCAGACATAAAAGCGATCTGCGGGAAAGCGAAAAACCCGTCCTTCTGTTCGAGCTACATGAAATCCAACCCAAAGACCTCGGGTGCTGACCTTCGAACACTTGCAAATATCACCTTCGGTTCTGCACAAACAAGTGCAAAAGGAGCTTTAGCTAAAATCCAATCTCTAGTCAAGACAGAAACCAATCCTACTTTGAAGAAAGGATACACCTCGTGCGTAGAGCAGTATAAGAATTCCATCAGCAATCTCAATGACGCTAAGCAGAACCTAGCGTCAGGCGATGGCCCAGGGTTGAACATTAAGGTTTCAGCAGCTATGGAAGGATCTAGTACATGTCAAGATAACCTGGCTAATGTCAAAGCTGATCCTTCCACTGTGAAGAACAGTGGCGATTTTCAGAATATCTGTGGCATTGTTCTTGTCATCTCGAACATGATGTGAGAAAGGGCTTGATTCGATATCCCTTCACACTCGTTAGATCACTACATCAGTCAGTTATAGATTCATATTACATATACAATCAAGAACTTGGTTTCTTGGCAACTTGTTTTAACATTGGCCATTACCACTATTGATAAAGTGCAAGAGATTAGAGACCACAAAGTATTCAAATCACAAAAGAAGACAAGCAAATATTCGAAACCAAACACTTTGATTATCAAGTAAAACTGAGGATCGTTTACACATCAACTCTAAAACAACATTAAAACACACACACACAAAAGAAAAATGAAAAGAAAGAATTTACAGAAACATCAGAACAACACAGGCCATTATTGAAACATGATCACAAGCAGCATGCCCGAGAGGAAAAAAAATGAAATAAGATGAAATTTTGCAGCTGCAAGATGATTAGAGATGGACAGAGGTAGGCTTGTAGTCTATAACCAATACTTTATCCAAGCTTCCAATGAACAAGTTGGCGAATTCAACGTGAACAGGATGAGCAATGTACTCAGCTACAGCTTCTTTGCTCTCAAATGTGGATTCAAAGATGTGTGTGAAACCTTTATGCAGATTCTCAATGCTCACATCGGTTCCCCTAAAACAATTTCCCCCAATTGCTAGTTACAATACCTATCATATTTGGTAGATAATAAAACTAAGCAACCCGATCGGGCGTGAATTTTCTAACTCTAAGAAGCTTTTTAGATCTACATTGGGGATCAATTTTTCGCTCTAATAAGAATCAAATCAAAACATTGAAGGATCGGCAGAGATTAAAATGTTTTTGAGAAAATGGGATAAGATATATTACCAGTGGAAAGCTTTCATAGGTTCGATGAGATTGACGAGATTGGCGTAACCATTGATAAGCTCTTTGATCTTCTCTGGGCTCACGTCATCTTTGAACTTAGCAAGCAATACGTGCTTCACAGGTCCCTTAGCTTCCTCCATTTTCGCTTCCTTTTTTCCTGCGATGTTCTCTGCTCTCTCTCTCTCTATCTCTCTCGGCTCTCTCAATGTCGCAGTTTAGATAAATGGACGGTCAAGATCTCTTCTACAGTGTAAAACGTGGAAACACGTGCCTCGCATTATTTATCATATCACGAAATAAAAATTAAGGCGATGAATAAAGCTTTTTATTTTATTTTTTTTTCTGTAAATTGAAGCTTTTTAAGTTAGTAGTAAAGGTTTGTAATAATTATATCAACCTAATTTCTGTTACGAGCAATAAAATTTGATAACGAAACTTTTTATCACTAACTTATAAACAATTTTAATCTTTAAAGATCGAGATCATGACTTAATTTGATTAATTTAAGGAATCTAATAACCATGATCGCAAAGAGATTAGAGACGTGAACTCTTCAAAACATGGTACTAAGCAAATAATTTACAATTCGGGTTGACATTTCATTAACAACACTAAGATAAAACCTGCCAAATAGAGTTGTTATATTTTGCTACCTCAAAAACTATGTATACTAAATATTAGTAAGCAATAAGCATATTTACACTATTTGCTAGAAAAAAGTTATAAAATCTATAGTACTTCATTAAAAGTCCTTAAATATAGTGTACACAATTAAGTGATTAAATTTAGTTTTCATGTGATTTTTTTCCTAGTACTGCGAACATTCCTAAATAGAGAGAAAAAGTCTCTTATCTATAATACGATTACCAAGGAATAGGCTCTAGCTTCCCAAATCTAAGAAAACACCTAACTGTTCTTTCACATTCAAGACAATGGCTTTTCTCTTGCGTCACAAGAAACGTATTTTTAATTCTTCCTCTTCTCGTTATCCTATCAGATCACCCCTTCGTCTACATCTTTTTCTCCAAGTGGCATAGTCACAAAGGAAATACTTTACCAACTCTGCTCAAAACCAACAATTTACAACCATTTCTGCGTCGCTTGGTTAACCTCTGATCCAACAACCTTCACAGTCGACCTGAATGGTCTTGTCCATCTGGTCCTCCAAAAGACGCAATTGTTTGGCTATAAGAATCTAGCGACGATGAAAGGCTTAACGAGAACCACGACAGATCCGACGCTCAAGACCCCATATGGATCTTGTGTGACAGATTATGAATCAGCCATTAAAGCGATCGAGGAAGCTCAAGGGTTTGCGAGCTCTAAGACGTATCAGTTAGCATCTCAGGCAGCTTCTAAAGCCTTTGATAGTATTTCTTCGTGCGTAGCTCAGCTTGAAGGGCGGAAGAATGTGCCGGCTTATGTTCCGCAACGCAATTTGATGTTTAGAAGAATGTGTAACATTGACACCGTCTTCTCCAACGTTTTGACGTCTTGATTCTTTCATCTTTCATTCACATGCAAGATGGCCCAAAAATAAAACTATTAAGATGTCATGGACTCTGGTGTAGTAACTTATAAACCAATAGAATTATTAAATTCAGAGTCAAATTACTGTCTTCCAACTTCGCTACAAATAAGAATTGTAAAACTTTTTCATCTCTTGTTACTTATGGACCTTATGGTGTTTTTCTTTATTTTTTATTTTCACTTATGATTTTTTTTGTGAAGCTTTGTTTATTGTTTTTTTCATAAAAAAATTGATGGTTTTATCAATATCTTGTTTCAGTATGTAGATCTTTATTATATTGATCTTGATATGATTTGGTAGAAATTTTAGGTCAAGATAGAACTATCCTTTTTTGGATTGTTTATGTTGCAGGTGGCTTTCATTGATCATGTATCAGCCAATCAGATTCGTGACACATGGACAATTTGTTCACTGGTTTGAACTTGGTTTGTTTATTCTCCAACCAGAGTAATCTACAGTTTCATTTCTTATGTACTTAATGGACTCAAGATATTTACCATCATCATAAAATGTTACAAAAAACAGATAAACTAATTTCCTTACAAATCCAAGACAATGGATTCTATTATTAGTCCACATCCAAGACAATGGGTTTTTCTTGCGTCACAAGAACCATGTTTTTGATTCTTCTTCTCCTCGTTATAAGTCACCACTTTGTCTTGATCTTCTTCTCCGAGTGACAAAGTCGCAAGAACTATTCAGCTCAGATCAAATCCCGCTTCTGCGCTTATGGCGTACATCAATTTGGTCTCCAGTAGCTCTTTGCTGCATCATTGACAGAGATGTTTAATTTGCTTTCTCCAATTATTCCATCAATTAGTTGCAAGATAAGTTATTTGAGACAAATGATAAAGTTTCTTGAAATGAGCAAACAAACCAAAAGAATACCTTTGATAGGGCGGAAGCTTAAGAAGGTTCATACAAGTGGCTGATGTCGGTAGTCTATCAACTGATTCATTACTCGCGCTACCAGCAGCCCTGAAACACATTCCCGACGATGATAAATCTTTTATGATTTTGACTGTCACTGCACAAATCACGTCAAAAGTCAAAAAACGGTTTTGTAAGTTACCTCTGTATACAGAATGCAGGTTCCAGGTATTTGAAACCGAGCAGTGGTCCTCTTGAACATCCCGTCACAAATCTGGAAATAAAGATGGTAGATGTTTAGTTACCTCTCCATTCCGTTGAAGAAAAACACAAAACACTCCTATGATGATGATTGGGTAAATAGGTTGTACTTAGTAAGGGTGAACTTGTCTTACTTTAAGAACTTCTTCTGGTTTTCGGTTGAGAAGCTTTTCATAACTTCCCAGAACATATCAATCACATAATGTCCCTGTCAAGAACACAGCGATGTATGTTAATCATATAACAGTGTTCCAATCGCACAATGACATTTTGGCTGACAGCGAAGAACAACTCACAGCGTGGTAGCCTCCAGCATAATTAGTGTTCTTTCGCAAGTCGTCAATGTCCAAACTATCAACTGAACCAGATATGAGAACCTGCAACCAAATCCCACAAAAGTAGGCACGCCAAACAATTAGGCAATGAGTCTAGTTATCAGACGGAAATTCTAGATCATAATTATCTGCTCGTCATGCTCCTTGAGGAAACAACTAACAAAGCAAGCATATTAAGCATATTTTAACCATCTAGTGCAGATAATTATTCATTAGCACCTGAAGCTCATGTTCATTGAACATGTCGATCCATTCTTTTGGAATGAGTTGCTGAAAACCCCTTAAGAAATGAGAACTCTGCTGGCGTATCTGCAGCAGAAAAAATGAGATGATATCAAAAGACAAAAGCTGTTGATTTTACAAGGTGGCCCTGAAGTATGCTAAGATAAACGAGAGGAAAGTTGTTCCCCGGTACCTGAAAATTCAATCGGTGATTGGAAACCAGATGAATGAAAGTTATAACATTCTCATTTGTAACTCGCATGTCTTTTCCCCCTGGAAGTAGCTCTTCCTCTGTCCTCTCTCCATACTCATTATTCAGAATAACAAAGTAAAGCTCCAATTCTGAGATATTACCCTTATAACGCTGCAAGTTTCATAATGTATTAGTAATACATAAAAAGGTGGATAAAGCTCAAAAAAATATCCAAAAACCTCCAAGGAATACTAACAGATTTCAGCTTTCTTGCACATCTATGCTAACAGCTATCTATCGGTTCCACAAAGCAACAAGAAAATAGAATGTTGAGCAAAACTCACCTTCAGAAATATAAGATGTCTATACAACTCAGGATCCAGAGAAGGCAAATCGTTCAAGTAGTTGTACCTAGCCAACGAAAAATAGAAGGTTTACGACGTCTTCACAAGGTCTATGCGGAAAGTTGAAGGTAGAAATCAATTTAACAATACTTTTGTTTTAATTTGCTGAGGAAAAACGTTGCAAATGGTATATCAACTAGGATCCCTTCAAACATAGCCTGCAGCAAGATGACGGGAAAAGTATTTCATGAGTCTTATCATAACAGATGAAAATCAACATCAATAAGTTAAAAAAAGAAAGACCAAACTAAATTATATGTATATGAAAACATCAACACAATTATATCCATACTAGCTCTATTTGCATGAAAAAAATGGCGAGAGTAACCAGTAAAAGAAAGATTGGTAACTTTTAAGACTTTCGCATCAAGGGGGCCAATCAAATAACATACTTTTGCGAGAAGAGTGCCGAGAAAATGAAAGAATTGGAGATGCTGTTCATGTATCATTCCTGATCCCGGATTAGGATAAAGCATGTGATCAGCGGTCTCCTGAAAGAAAGCATGTACAAGATTCAGAAAAAAAAAGAGAGACTACATGCAAAAATGATGGAGTGTAGTAAATTATGAAATCCACATAAACTTAAGTGAGTAAAACAGACATACGACCTTAAACAACCCATATTGCACATCAAAAGCTGCTCGGGTAATTTTCTCCATGAAGTCTTTGAAAATGCCACCACCATCAATACCAGCTTCCTCAACTCCGAGTTCATTGACAAATGTCACGCGAATCTACAGCCAGTAGTTATTTGCATTATAAGTATCGCAAAAGGAAACTAAACCAGAGACACAAGCAAGATTATATGCATCTGTTGCAATTGTGAATAGGCAAACGCTTGAAGACAAATATCAGGCACGAGAGAACTTACCGATCCCCGGAGATCATCCTCGGACAATGCACTCATTTGATTGTAAGCATCTTCCAAGATGTGATCTCTTCTTATTCTGAACCGATTTCGAGCAAAAATGCCTTGAGACCCATGACTTTGCCTTGCCGTTGCTAATTGTGTCTACAAATGATGTCCAGCATAGTAAATGCAGCCGCAGAAAAGTAATCAGTGAACAAGTACACGCAATATTTCCTCCTATTTACCCAGATTTCTCATGCAAGTATATGTTAATCAGCACTCCTAGGGAACCCAACAAATGACAATCATTCACCAGATATACACATTCAAACAACCACTCACTGTGAATATTTTGACTCTGCTTGTAAACGGAATCAGGAAAGGAGCTTGCATCAGTATGTAGTTGGCTCTCGTACCCTCCATTATGGCCTGGACAAAGGAAAACATTATCAGCAATGATAGGGGACAATTAAGACCAAATCATTCAAAATGATCGATAACGAAACTTTCCTAGTGTTGTCATGTCACAGACATTAAACGAAACTAAAGTGTAGCAGTCACCTGAGAGATGAAATATTCATTGACTGGATCTGCTTGGAAGTCGCTCGAGGAAGTAAATTGTTGCCGGTTGTTCCAATCTTGCAACTGTGGAAAGATTTCATCGACAATGCATAAAATGAACAATGGCCTTTGCCAATGTAATACTGAGTTACAGTCAAAATAGCCATAAAATGAACAATGACCTGTGAAAGTAACTCAGCGACTACAACCCCAACCCTGTTCTGAATCAAGCCAACAGGGTTCTTCTTGAGAGGTCGTTGGAGACAGATTTCCCAGAGTTAGGTTGCGTAAGTGGATTTACCCATAGTAACTGCCATAAAGCCTGGAACAAACGAGGATAGACAAAAACAATTGAAAAATTAAAAGCATGCCACATTAGATGCTATTTTTTTGTGAGCCCAATAGAAACTGTTATATAAAGATTAGCAGAAAATTTTAGCATACTACTGCCAAAACGCAAGCATGTGAAAACACAAAGCCAATCTAGCCTATTATTTTTTGTATTACAGATACCAAATTAAGGCCTTAGCTATACGCGTCTTAAAATTTTTGCCGCATGTTTAAATTTTGTGCAAGTGTCTTCAGTCATATCTCCTAAAACTCTTCACATCAGAGTTACAAGACAACTTAACGGGATCTATCAGAACACTTACTTGCTTGAGAATGATGATAAGCAACCTAATATCTTGTAGCGACAGTGGCTTCTCTCTTTCGTAAAACTCCTCATTGTCGACTATCATAAGCATATGCCTGATCAGTAACAACAATGTTAAACCAACTTTTAAGTATTAAACCACCGTCACAACGTTATCTTACTTATAGTCATACAAGAGAGTGACTTTCAAGTAATAGAATACTACAGAAAATTAGGAATTATATCAAGCAAATCTTACTTATAAACAGGGCAAAAAACAACCAGAGGTAATAGCCAACCCGGTGCATCCCATGGAAGGTAAGCGAAGAGTTTAGGCATGGATGACCACTTCTGGTTCTCATGGCATCGCTTCATATAATTCCACAATACAGCAACAAGCTCGGTTCTATAAGCCAAAATTGTCATGATTCGCTCAAGAGGGAGAGTGTTGAATGCTGCATACAGAAATGAACTGGCTGTGCCAATAGCTAGTGCTTCTTTTTCTTCGTCATATGACTGCGTACCAAGCGAAACTTGATGGAACAAAACATTTGTCTGGATAGTTAACAATAAAATAACTTAGATTAAAATTAAAGCATCACTTGATCCAGAGGAGTAATAGCACTTAATGTGGTTTCAAATGACAGGGAATGGGTACATACTAACTGCAGAAGAAAACGTGAGTCTATAGCATTGGTAACTATCTGCTGCTCCAGAGTCCTATTCAAGATTAATTCTGGTACATCGTCAATCAACATATCATCCTCGTCAGAAGAGCCTGAACCAGAGTAAATATGACCAAATTAATGAAGAGCTACTACGCGCAGAATGGACAAGAAATTTTAGGATAATAACAATGCATGTGCAAGATAATATAGCAAGAAAAAAAATGCCATACTCTGTCTGCTTTCTATTTCAGATGACTTCACAGGAGGAAGTGTCTCCAATAAGAAAGTTGCAACAGTTGCAATGTCCACTGCCTGGTAAAAAATACAGAATGAAGACAACACAACATTAGTGTCAAACAGAAGTGGGAGCACAATGTTTTTTAAATGAACTAAACTGCATTAAGAACCTACCATGTTCAACGAACATTCCGGCTGTGACAACACCACATTTGCAGTCTCCAACATATTACCAAAAAGACAGGCATAACCAGGGAATTCTGTGCTTGTATCTATTGGGAGAACATGGGTATCTGTTTTAATGCAGAATGCTATCTGGCGAATGTAGTGTTGACTTAGACTTGGGTTGGAAAAGACCTGTACCATGAAACTATGAGCTTGCCAAATTTTAAGTTGATGATGATGGTCAAGATAATGTTTAGCTCAACGTTAAACATAAACTTGTCAAAAACCAAACTATCATATAAGCCTTAATGATACTGCATATATTTTGTTTAGTGTCTATCCGTGACTAAATAGCATGGGTTCAGGAACCAACCACTTTCAAGTCTGGGAAGAGCTGCCATATCAAAGGTATTGTAAGGATCATAGATGAGAAACTCCAACGTGGATCAACAGCAGAGCAGCAACATGGCTGACGGCCAACATGGGGAACAACCAGGATCAATACTTTTTCTAGTGAACGGATGCCGCCGGTCATAATTTGACCTCCAGGGCTTTCCTGCAATTAAAATGTGCAGCAAATTAGAAGAACTGTGTGGCGGGGGATAATCGTAGGGAACTATTGGACAATACCTTAGCCGTAATGACGATTTCTCTGACCATTTTGAATATGTTTCGTTTCTGCAGATAACTAACTATTTCGCAAACCCAAGGCAGCTTAATATCTAGCATCAACGACATTGCGTCCATCAATATAGCTGTTGAAATGCTAGCTTCTTCAGAAGTAACTAAGAGTTGATCCCTTAAACGGTTCCTGCTGATTCAAATAAAGAGGCAAAACTAAATAATTCAATAACAGAAAAGCCAAGATAACGACAGTTGATCATAGTTGCTTGCATCTGCTCTACAAAATGAGAGAGGACAAAAAAAAAAATACCTATTCTGATGTACAGCTTCGATGCAGGTAAATGCAAGTTTCTTTACTCTGAAATCCACCAAACTATGCTCAGAGGAATAGTCCAAGCCAGAAAAAAGGCTGACAATGTCACCTGTCATGATACACTATGTAATATCAGTAAGCAAGATCCCGCTTATCATTTGGAAGAACCAAGAGGATTGATTGTTCTTGAAGCAAAACATAATAATATAGTGTATGTGTGTGGGGATATAAACAGCAAACGGCAAAGTTTTACTTTGTGGTGAAGGGGACATTCGCAATGTTCTAGTATTACTGCTCATAAGATATACATATCCCAAAATCCATTGATAAGTGATTAAGCAAAATAAATACTCAGAACAAGCTTCCCTTTACATAGAGTTACCTATAAAGTTGACTGCTGTGAGCAGACTGAAAGAATTGACAAAAGTGTCAACAAAATAAACATGCATAGATATTGGAAATACCACTGCTGTGAGCAAACTTTTGCAGTAGTCGACACGTCTCCACAAGTATCACAAAATCTCCCGAGTTCTGTGCCTTGAAAAAAAACAGCAACTGCCGGAGGAAACTTGAACCTGGCTGAAAGCAATGCCTGAATTCAGAAAAAAAAAACAAATTAAAAAGGGTCAAAACACAAATAAGTAAGTAACCAAAGAACAATTTGACAAATAACAGAGAATGTAGCAAAAAGGACAGACTAAATAAATATACCTATCGACATTCTGGCAATTATTCCCATAGGTTTCACAGAAATCACGCCGCACCTTGGAGCGCTCAATGGCCATTGATCTTCTACCTCTAAAGAATTTCTGAAGCCAAAAGAAAATAGTCAGCACATTGCCCATAAAAGTGTTCCATTTGCAGCTCCAGCTAGTATTTTGTTATCGAAATGGTTCATTGCTAACTACCACTACCAAAACGAACCCACAAGAGTCGCATCGCAAGAGGCTGTAACAGAGTAATTTTGTTCCAGAAGCCAAAATCTATTGAGGACAGTAGAGATTCTGAAGCAGCAACCAGCAAGGCAAATATCGATTCAATATTTAATTAAACTTCAAGCTATCAAAAGTGGGCACTATAGAGTTCAACATCAAAGGCATATATTTGTTCTACATTGCTTACGAAACGCAAAAAAAAAAAAAAAATCCAAAACAAAAAGGCATACTTTAAGTCCGTTCTACTGTCGATTGTATAGATGAATTTACCTGAATTCTGACGGCAGCGGAGTTCTGCTGCTTCTGTAGCAACCGACGATTTCGCTCCATTCTGGTCTGCTCCAGAAGCTTCCGGGCATCTCTCTCCTTGGTGCTCCGGCCACCTAAATCGACTCGCTTCCGAGTCGACGGATCGCCGGAGAAAAACATGTTTTTGAGCTAACCCTAGAATTAACAATACAGGAATTGTCCTCCGAGAACCCAAGATTCCAGATACTCTTACTATCCGCTTCGATGGAGCCGAAGAAACTAGGGATGTGATCGGCGGTTTGCCCTAAAGCTGGAGCTAAGAGAGCGATGAGATGGATTCTTTCAGGTGAATATACGATCAAGAATTTGGATGATTGCGTGCAAAGAGGATTCTAACAAAGAAAATTTCTGGCGCTTTCTCTGGATTAGCAAGAAAAGAGCAAACCCAAGAAGAGAATTAGTTTAGTTTTGCAAGCCGACTCCTGCACCAACAAAAAAAAAATCTCAACGAAGAAGGAAGAGACCCAAACGACGACGTTTCGCATATTTTCCAAGGAACGAAAATGTGGCTCGGGTCATGTCGTGTTTCACGGGGAAAATCAAAAAAAGGTTTAGGTGTACAAATACTGTAAAGTCTGTAATACTACTAATACAAGGAAAAGTCTTTTTGATAGAAAAATGTATCTTTTGGTTGGTTGGCCTCGAAAATATACTGTATGTGGATTCGTTATAATATAATTCTAAGTAAAATAATTGTTTTCTTTATTTGGTTATACATCGAGTTAAAATACTTTTCATAATACGTTTCAGAAAGGAAAAACGAATATAACTTAGTAAGCGCGAACTATTGGGCCGGAATGTTTGTTATTGTCGAGTGAAAGCAAAAGAATAAAGGATTTTGGTCCGATATTTTTTTGTCTTGAAAGCTAAATACACAATTCTGTAGGAGCGGCCCAGTTATAATCGAAGAAAAAAATCAAGATTTGAAAAGAAACAAAAATAAAAACTGAATTTGCAAAATTTCCCTTTTGATTCTTTTTTTCCCCCTTCTGGCTTGCAAATGTCCCCATACACAAACGTGGAAAATTGTTCCTAATCCTATGTTACCTTACCAACACTACAAGTAGCTTGATTTTAGACTTAAGCACTCTCTGCAAAGCCAAACAAAAGGAACATAAATAACTACCCGAAATTACCCTCAACATGGCATTTATTTGATATTACTAGAAGCCCAATTCATAACGTACGCTCATCGACACATGAACGGAAAATGTCAAGACGGTTATCTCCAAGACGGAGCGAGTAGACAAACTTCTTGTAGTCGGCCCATGTGAACGTCCGGTAAAGTGGCGGCTGATCTCCCGCCGCGATGATGGCAGAAAGAGGGCTTATCTTGGTGTGGACAGACGGACCAGCAAAGTATACTGTCGATAGTCTGTTTGCATGGCCGGTAGTTACCGCTCTGTGTCGTACGCTTATAAATCTCCCGTTGGTCATCACCTGAAAATTTGACCGCAAGAAGGGCTTAACATGTACAGTAATTATTATGAAAATACTACACATCCTAACAGTCATATTTTTTCAATGTATACTTGAAATAGTTTAATCCAGTAGCTAGGAGTAGTGGTCTGATGGTACGTATATGAAGGGTACGTAGAATATTTAGTTAAATATTATTGCATGAATTATGTATCATATGTATGTACTTTTTGTGAACTTAGTTATATGATTGTAGGAGAATTTGGTACTTGAATTCGTCGGATATTCAACTTTTTAGAGTAATCTACGCATTCACAACAATTAGTGCATGAACTAACAAAAATTGTTGTGTGTTGATAGAAAAAAAAAAAAATTGTATGAGAAAATAGGAGGACTGACCTGCAAAAGATCGCCTACGTTTAGGCAAAAGGCTGAAGGGTCAGGGGAGACAGGGACCCACCATCCGTCAGGGAATGCCACTTGGAGGCCCCCTACTCCGTTGGATCTGAGAACTGTCAAGATCTGAGGGTCTGTGTGCTCCCCGAAGCCAACTCTCGGTAATGACAAGGACACATCAGAGTGCTTTGCTCCAGTACTACTACGGATTTTATCGGACGATGGGTAGTGATTGAGCCTCAGAACGGAGTCGCTATCAACGGCTCTGATTAACTTGCTGAAGGTATGAGGTGGGACCGATAGTCCTTCAGCCATCAGATCTAAGATCTCACACGCTAACTGCTTAACTGCTTCTACGTAACATGTCACTGCCGAGCTGTCAAACCCACACTACGTACCATTTAAATTAAATCGCTGGTGACTTTAATTTTGAAGTATAAATAGTTGATAAGAAAAACAAAATGTGAAGTAAGAAAATCGAAAATTCCAGTTCACCTTCTTTTGGTTTAGTAAATTTCAGTTCACTTGTTTACTGTTTAGTAAGTTATATGTTATCTATGGTTATGTTAGCTTTGTTTCTTTGAATTTTTTTTTTAAAAAAAAAAAGGTTTTTAATTCTATGTATGTTCTAATTATACACAGTTTTCGACATGTACCTTAAACTCGTATATAGTTTATAAATACATGCATACACTAACCTATTAAGAAAATGCAAAAGAAAAAAGAAACAAATATACGCATGCATGCGAAGGCATATATATATAGAAAGGTTTTTTATAAATATATATATACATATACATATATATATATATAGAAAAGGTTCACCCATATTACCATTAAGAAAAGAGCTGCCTGCATGTACATTAACAATTAACTTCGGTACGTATATAAGACTGTTGAAATAGATATGCAAAATCCTTTATATTTTGCATTTACTCTAAATCAAGGTTAGACGACATATCAATTAGATCACAAAGTACATCATATAAGTATATATAACGTACCCGAGCTTGGTCGAGTCGCCACCAAAGGATAGCTGAGAAGGGAAGCGGAGATTAGTCGGAAGAAGCAAATATTCGAACTCTCCAATATCACCCATGAGCCCAATGTTCTTCAACCCATAACCGAAAGGTCCATTCACAACTGGTTCGGCTAATTTCTTCTCAAGAACCGGCTTAGCGAAGAAGTGTATGGACTCCTGCTCCATTCTCGAGATAATGTCCGGGTCAACGCCGTGGTTGACCACTTTGAAGAATCCAAGGGTCTCGCAAGCTTTGACTATCTGCATGGAGACATGTGATCTCTCTAATGACATGTCTATTACGGGTATGTTTTGATCTGCGGCCAAGAGTCTCTGGGACTCCTTCACCATTTTTTTAGAGACAGAAAGAGAGAAAGAAAGATGAACGAGCTGTGTTAGGGAGAGAGAGAAAGAGAGAGAGAAAGAGATGAGCGTATGCATGTGGAAGAACACATATATATATATACACACAAACATGCGACAGATGTTATAAGAAAACACAAACATATATTTAAGTGTAAGAGACTAGAGTGAGAGAGAAGGGGGATTTGATGTTGCCATAGTGGTCTTTTTTGTTATATAAAATATCCTCGTGAAGCCAAATACGATTTATCTTATCTCGGCATGTTTACGTATATTTTAGTATGTGTGTGTCAGTGTGTGTGTGTCTAAGCATACACTGATAGTACATATATAACGAGAAAAATAATATCCGTTAAACTTATTCGTTTAACATAGCAAAATCTTTAAAATAATAAAGTATAATTATATAGTCAGGAGCCGTTCAAAAAAAAAAAAAATTTATATAGTCAGGGAGCTCGGGCCCTTGACAATCCCGTACCGCCAGGGGTAGCTAGAAGCTTTAGAAGTAGATCTATGGGTTTGGACACTTGGATTTGGAACTCACATATGTATCATGGAAAAATGATTATTACAAGGTTATAAAATAACGAGAGATCGCATATTCTAATGGAGTGAACTTAATTAGCAGAGTAATATCGGCATTTCTAACTATTCGGGTTTAGGCGTCTGGTTGATTTTACTATCCAAATTTGGTTGTGATGAAAAATTTGCATATACCAACAAAATAAAAAAAAATTCATTATTCGTAGTTAGGCCTAATTCGTCATTTGAAATGTTTTGGTATTTTGTGTCAGATATTGTGAATGATATAATATTTGGACCGGATCTTTGGTATTTGAGTATTTGGGATCATCTACTGCGACCTAATGAGAGTGAATAGAAAAGACGTACGATACCGAATCTTTATTTCAAATTAACCCTAGTGACGTTGGTCCAAAGCAAGGTGTTACGAATAACTTCATGTTCTATGCTGTCTAAATCAGATTGCAATCTAAATACTAGAGGTGTTCAGTATGGAGTTTGATTCCCTTTCAGTTCGTGTGTAATGTTCATTAAAAGAGAAATCGCTACCAAACTAATATCATTTCTGGCTATATCAATTTGGATTTTCTCATTAATTTTTAGTTTCTACCCAAATAAAATATTATTATGCTCAATTTTGTTTTAAATTGTATATATAATATCATTTATATATCAATTTAAGTATCCCTACATCTTATTAATCATGTTTATTCGTACATACTTGTAACTGAAAAAGAATACTATAGTTTACGAATAACATAGTATATGATTGTGGACCAAACAACAACATGAGTATGATGAATGGATGATGGAAAATTATCCTATAGTATTTGTTTAGGTCTTCATTTGATCATTTTTTCTTGATTGTGTGTAGTTTGGAAATGTTTGATGAAATATACATGTCCATCAAGTAAAGGAAAGAGATAAAAAGTCCCTTCCAACATAATAGATGTTATAGAACAGAGCTCCGTCAGTAACAAACCACCTAACTTTAAATGCTTCTTGCAAGGTCCTAAGTTAGGAACTAACAAATGATTATGTATATTGAATAGATTCTCTAATCTTAATTTTCACACAATTAATGACTAATTTTTATATACACTTACGTCGTCTCTCGATATGTATGGGTGAATTATATGATTTCATGGCTTTATCGCCAATTTGATTGGATGTTAGGCGGCCTACCTTTCAATTCTCATCAAACATTTCCAATTAATATCATCTCCAAGATAAAGGTGACTGAGCTATATTGGGGAGATCGACTTTATGTAATTCTCTTATTTCAATTTAAGATTTTCTATAAGAAAATTTCCATATACGCAATATCAGTTAGTCAAAGTTTCTCCTGGATTTAAGGAAGCCTAATACCACGAATAAACGAAAATTGATTATGATTTTAAGTTTTTTTTTTTATCAATAAAAACATGCACTAGAATTTAATAAAATACTTAGTACTGTGAAAACCATTTAAATGATCAGTAGAAGGCAAATAGGACCTAGCTCGGTTTGTTACTGGTCATGTATGGGCTGCACCAAATTTGGGTTATTGAAACTTTTGACAAAACGGGCCGAGAGGCATGTTTCAACAAAAAGATTGATGTACAAACAAATAGCCCAGAAAATTATTTCAATTTATTATTTTTTGGTGGTTGAGTTTAATTATATATGTATTTTTTTTTTAATTGAATGTAAAATTAATTCATTATATATGTAACTATAATTATTTCAGTGTAACTATATATAAGCATAGACATGCTCGTCAACTTCAGACACAAGATGGAAAACATTATTTTTAAGTAAACTTAACCATATAAATCATACAGTATATGATTAGAAAAAATGTTAAAAGCATCACAATCAACTTACCCCTGTATCTTTATAATCAAATAATTAGTGTCAAATAATCAACGTTATATACAAACAAGGTGGGAATCACATGAAAAGGGTTAGAAAAAAAAAAACACTAAAGCCAACAAAGGTGGGAAAGGGAATAACAAATAAGAAAGAAGCAGAAGAAGAGAGAATTGATGAGTGAGCCATGTTAAGTTGTTACCCATTCTTAGTATAAAGTTTGAACATCTTGTCCCATCTTTCTTCTTCGTGTCCCTTCCATTTATATACACGTTTTATGTATATATGTATGTGTGTATGTTAGTATGTATCAATATTAGTGGTACAATGATCATCATGATTCCTAAGAACGAATGCTTTTAAACCAAAATAGAAACACACATATGCCCCGTTATCTATGGCTATTGTATATAATCTCATTACTCTGATTATTGGATGTTTTTTGGTTTTTTGTTTTGTCAACATCGATTATTGGATGAATTATATTGACCGTTTCCGTTTGAACTTCGATTCATTAAAAGCGAAGAGAATGGTTTTTGGTCGTATCGAGCAGAATCGAGGATAAGATATTGTATATTTGTAGGATTAGGGTTTGGCGAAGAACGGGGCTGTATGGCATATGGTACATTGAGTTTTAGCGTTAGGTGAGGAATATCGATTCAATTATAATATTTTCACAAATTTATTGCCATTTTTCGTTTACTGATTTCTACTTCAACAATTGTTATATTAAACATGATTTTTTTTGTAGTAAAAAGTAAAATTATGGAATTTAAGTTAAATGATTTATTTTTTAGTATACCTTTCCATTTTCAAAAATATAACAAATGGTATTTTAAAAGGTTTGATGTGGAAAAAAAAAACTTAAAACTCCAATCTTATATAGAGGGAGCTATCTATAACAGACGACAAAAAAAAGGGAGTATATAACAATCCTGCACCCAAATGAAAATTCCGGAAAAAAAATTCATTTTCTGTCTACAAAAATTCCAAGACTTTTTAATGCTATGTTTGGTACCGTTACGAATAAAGGAGGTAAATATGTTGCAAACCTTTTTTATTTTTAAATTTTATTTGTCCACTTGCAGACACAATCATTTCGTGGTAGAATGTACCACCACCATAACCTCAATTATATGAATATTATAAGAACCAAAATAAAAATGCCCATATTATTTTTTCCTGTAAAGTCTCTTTAATTATTGGACATAATAATACAATTCTTTGTAGTTTATTGTATAGAAATTGTCTTAAAAGTCGAAGATGCCAATGATTAAAACCAAAAATTGGCATTGATATTGGGAATTGATTTTGACCAAAGACTTTTCATATAATTAAAGGGGCCGCTGACAAAATTGAAGCCAATTAATTTAGATGAAGTAGTGGAAACTTTTACTTATCTAATAGTTTACTCAATATCAGCGCATAAATTGTTTGTAGACTTCTGATTTCCTCCGATTTCCTTAGACATTTACATGCAATTAACATTTGGTTTTAGATTTGCATGGTAATAAATGGCCATTTTTTGGTTGTTATATGAATTTCATGCATATTCTACAAATATTATTATTATCATATTTATTGTAACAAAACTAAAGATTTTGACCATTTTCTACTATGCTCAACTTCCAGCAGCATCAGATAAATTATTTTGAAGAAAAATAGTACATGAAATATGCTAAAGGATACTAGAAATAAGGGCTGGGTATATATCTACACATAAACATAACTTCGCTCTCATGCAACAACATTATTATAGTTTAACTGTCATAATAGTTGTGTGAATATGGTTGAATATATATCCAGTATAGTTACAGCCAAACAAAATGTTAATATAAACACAACCCTAATCAAAAGAATAGAGAGGAATCAACTTGTAGAACGGATAACTCATTTCTCCAATTCTCTCTAACCCTAACTCTAATACTCTCCCTAAACAAAGAAAAGTTACTCTAGAGACCGGCAAATAAAAACACGGTGAACAGGTTAGGCAAATGCAGCCATCATGTGACCCTTATCTAATGTCCGTGTTGTTATATCTCTCTATCATATAAATCCAATTTTTTTATATATAAAAAAATCTTCAAGAAGAAACTTACTTTATTGTTTTTAAAAATCATGTAGATGATAAATTTGTCAAATACAAAAAGAGAATTTAGAATTCGTTATATTTTATCTGTTTGACAGAAAATAATTGTTATATAAATATTACATTGCAGGTTTATAATTTCAATCTGGAATCTGAAACTAATATATCAAATCGCCTATACGTACATATGCTGGATATACAGGGTAGTTGATTTGATATGAAAGCTATCAACAAATCAGCTGTAAATATTGTTACTTGAAAACGAGATATAAATGTACAATTATGATATAAGAGACTGATCATAAGTCCTCACATGATATGTATTTATGAGGAATGGCGAAAAGATAAGAGAACAAAATTTAAGCAACATTTACTCTCGTATGCAACACAAAAGGGTGGCTCAGCTTTTCCTCTCTTCTCAGTAAAACTTACCACTTTCTCCCTATTTGATTACTCCTCTAAAGATCAAACTAATAATTATGCATGAATCTTTTTGCCATTATAAAAATTAAAAATTTATAAGTACAGTTCACTCATCAAAGGGTTTTATGGAATTTGTTATTTGCTGCGGTTTCGCCGTTTTGGCCTACTGATTATTTGAGCATAGACTGTGTTTGCTGGTTTAATTACATTTGACCATATTGACTTGTCGTAATTATTTTGAATAATATATTGATATAATTGTCTACTGTTAAATGCCTAAAATATGAATCCCTAAATGAAGATAAAACTATAGCATAATCTAATAATTAACTACGTTAACAGGGTTTTGAGACATTAAACATCTATCAAGTTGTGCTTATGTTTTGAAACATACTCGTTTCTGCAAACAACGATTTTTATTTCTTTGTCATCTCTATGAACGACCTAAACACCTGAAACTTCTCTCATTTCGGTCTACAATTTAACTTCCGGTCTTCCCCATCCATCAATCGGTTCTAACTTATATTATAATAACACAACTAAATGCTAAGGCTAGGACTGGTAAAAATATTAGTACCGAAGGTGAGAAACATAGTCACGAGTGAGAGAAAGAGAGAGAGATATAAATATAAAGGGGCAATAAATGATTCTGAGGGAATATTTATTAAGAGAGTTCTCTGGTTTGGCTTTGGCCTTTGGGGGTCAGTCAGACCCAAACAAACACAACACATAAAACAAAAGTAAATTCCTGTCCAAAGCCTTAAAAGATAGAGTAAAGGCATAATTCTTTTTGCCCGTTTCCTTATTCATTGCCTTTTGGCAGTCCCCTTGATAGCGAGACTTTTCTCACCTCTTTTAATTTTATTACAGCAATATAACCAACACCAACAAAAGTTAAAACAAAAGAAAAGTTAAGTTCTTAATTTCCAATATGGAGTTTATATCAACCATACATATATCAACAACAAACAAAAAGATGCAAGGATTAGCTCAGAAGGGATAGACAAGGTAGGAGAAGATGACTAGGATGAATTAAGGGTAGATATACATACATATTCTACACCAAGAAGAGATAGTAGAGAATTTGTAAAACGATAGAAGATGGAGACACTTAGAAAGGGATGGGGTCTTACAAGGTCAAGAAAAGGCCTTACAAGGTCAAGAAAAAAGAAGAAAGGAATGAAACAATTGAGTTTAGGAAAAGAAAAAAAAAATTTAAGGAAACAATATGCTCAGGTAGGGATAACACCGGATTATCAATGAAATTGGATTTCCAAAGAGAAACATAATGTGTCAGCACAAAGAACCCAATAATCTTTATGCGTCATGATGGTTATGGTTTTGTTGTTGCCTGCAGAGACCAAAATATAAAAAAAGAAACTGATTACTCTTCACGATTATAAGTGTATATTATGTGATTCCAAATATTGGATATTGTTTTTGAATTTTTGAGTCTTATACTATATTAGCTTCAAAACTCCAGACCATACGTGTACATAAGAGAGCTAGATTGTGCACAACTAACTACATGTATCACTCTATATACACATGTTTATATATCACTCTGTAGCATGTGTTAAGCTGCGCATATTCATACTTGTGATAAACATATGTGCCAAGAATGACGATGACTAAGAACCCTCCTCTTCGTAAATCGAAAGAAGCGAAAGTGTGTGGATAAATATATATGCGATATGCATGTATACATAACTAATGACTATGTATAGACACCTCTACACTATATTATGTATTATATAATTCAGTACTTATAGATATCCTTATTAATCTTTTTTACATCATTAAGATATCAACAATGAACAAACATGACTTCGAACTGAGGAAACCCTGACTCTTCACATTACATATACAATATCATCATCACACATAGATATATGTATGTATTTTATTTACCTTGAAGAAATTCATGCCTCGTTTTTGTCATCCATGAGAGCTCTTCTCCCTGTTCCATTTCAGAGAGAGAGAGAGAGAGCGAGAGAGAGAGAGAGTTTTGAGAAACGGTGGGATGATGATTGATGAAGAAAGTGTCGCGGATGAGTGATATTAAAGCGATGTTTATATAAAAAAACAGATAACAAACCTAATTTGCACACAAAAAGAAGAAGATAATAACCTTCATGGGCCGGGCCCAATTCTGACCTTTGCGAGGGATCGTGGCGTTGTCTTTGCTTGAAACGAGCTATTTAGGTGAACTTGATGACGTCATCGTTGCGATATTCATAGACCAACCTGCCCGAACACCTGACCGTTCTGCCCGGAGGTGGTCCTTTCCTCTGAGTTAGTAGTTTCTTTGGTCCTAATAAGCGAAACAAAAGTCAACAGGTCACATTTTACTTTTCTCTTTCTTAAATTGTCAACAGTTTCTACTTTTCTTTTATAATTGGTTTTCTCATGTTAAATGTATTCTTAAAGTAAAGAGAACTTACAGTATATTCTAATTTACGTGATTTAATCGTAATTTTTTTATACATTCTAGTTGGACTAGGCTTCATAGCTATATAATTATTCACTAATTGGTGAAGAGACTGAGTTTGAGGAAATTAAGAGAATCTTGGTAAATGGAATTCCTCAATCCTAGAGAAAAACACTAACTTTCAAAATTCAAAATAAATCATGTTCACATACGATAGTTATTCTCCAGAAAAGATGATATATAATGTATTTTTGTTTCTATTTATCAACTTTGTGCATTTTTTAAAACCAAATGTATAACTTTTTAAAGAGGTTTCTTTTTCTATAATGTGTTTTTTTTTTTAGTTAGGAGATTTTTACTATATTCAAAAAGATTATCCATCTACTGAATAATGAAGTAAGCTAAGGAAAGATCGAACTCGTAAAAGAGTCATTTCAAATTAAGTAATTAAAAATCTGAGATTTGTGGGGAATAGAAACTTTGTGGGCGTGCGGGAGAATCACAGTCTCCTAAGACATAAGATGGTCAAAGTAATGCAATAAATAGTAATATCAAATACATTGCTTATAAGTTATAAATTTATAACTATTACTATCATTATTATATCAATATTGATGACGCCAAAAAGAATCCCTTGACCTGCGTTCCTAAATTAATCAATATATCGTTTAATGTGTGAATGTGATTATTAGTTTATACTTTATAGTTTATATACCGTATTAGTGGTTTATGGTCTTCACTCCTAAATAAAAGAATTTGGTGTCTTTTTTAAAAAAATGCATTTTTGGTAAATACAAAACCAGGACAAGGCTCTTTATTTCTCAAAAGGGATGGTCCCCTAAATTTATGACGAGTAAGAATGAGAGTAATGATTTTTGTTTCATTTATTTTTTTGCCCATATCAACCCGTCCGTTCCTCTCTTTGTAGTTTGTACTATGTTTCAGTTCAGAGAATTTTGATTACTTGCCCTCAACATTCTCACCAATTCTAGTTTTGGTCCCATAACTTATCAATATCTAGTTGAACTGGTAGAGAAAAACTGTGATGTAACATGTAAAAAGTGAGGAAACATAAAAAATTTATAGCAATTTCCAAGAATTGCTCTGAATATTCATTATGTGAAGTTAAATATTTATTTTACAGAGGGATACGATATTTTTCAGTTTTTGTTATGGAATGGAAACATATAAACAATCACAATATCAGTGAGTCTACGGAAGAAGATACTAGGATTTAGTTGTCATTTAGTTAGCCCATTATCAGCCCATCGTAAAGTAACGAATGCTATCGAAATTTTCTTGTTTTTTTTTCAAGTAGATCGATTTTTCAAACACTGAGCAAATTTCTGGGGTGATTTTCCTTCTCGAAATTTGACATCTCTACAGCCACCAGCATCTCTTCCACATCTCTACAGCAATGCTTTACCGTTCAGTTTCAATGCCTACATTCTGGAATATCTAATAAATTATTTAGTCAATATCATATTTCTACATTTCATAATAACCAATATCAACTTACCTTCTTAATCAACTGCTTATGTAAAAGCAACATGCCCAAATTTACTAAACAGTCATTTTCATGTGAAGTAAATCTAGCATCGACAATTTTACCAGTTTTTTATAAGAATTTTTCTCTGCATTTTAATTATCGAACAACAAAAATTATATCCGAAAAAACAAAATAAAAGTTATATATACTTATACATCGATCAGATCACATAATCTCTCCACCGCTTTTTCTTTTGGAGCACTATTTCATTAAGAAGATATTAGTGGGAGTTAGATTTTTAAAGATTTAACGGAAAAAGACTCTCCTCTACAAAGAACCACGACATATTTATTAAGGATGAAAGATGACCGACCATGTGTTCTTGCTCTCTTAACGAGGCAATCTGCACGAATATTTTTACAACGAGTGATATAATTAACTAATAGTATTAAAAAAAGGGAAAAGGTCTTAAGATTTTTAAAATTTCGTTAGCTCCACTGCAAACATATATATGCCACTCTTGACAGATTAGCCAACATCGTTATAATCTCGATTGGTGCTATCCGAGGCCAATCTGATCACTGGTCAAAGGGATCGATGATATTAGGCATTTCATGTCCCAAAGAAGAGATTCGAGTTAGAGATTCAAGTTCTGTATGAAAGGGTGACAAACATTACGTGATCCTTTCAGATCTAGTGGATAAATCTGTCCTCCTCCACTCCACTACGACCCATCCGTGTCCGCATGATAACATATTCAAAAAAAAAAAAATATATATATATATATATCATAGCAAAACATGCACAACTAAGTTTATATATATATTGAACGTTTTTTTTAGCTGTTTTACGTTGGATTTCTTCTATGCGTCTACTATTTAAACATCAATGCGTCTAGAAGCTTTTTAGCATGAGATGGTTTCTGAATCAACTAAACACATAAGTCATATATAATACGAAGATGAAAAGGTTTTGGTGATCATGTCTAATAATTTCAAAAATACCCTAAGGCATATATATGCTTAACAATAGCTCTTAAAGTTTTGATTGTTCTAGGAAGAAAGGGTTAGGTACTAGTGTTAGTGCTTGTCTTCAATTGTTAGATAACGACGCCAACAGTGTCGTTCTTGACTAACTCGAATGGAAATGTCATTTATCACAAAATATTGACACCGATTAGTTATTCATGGTATATATAAATAATTCTGGATATATTTTGGGGTAAATATTTTGGATCTTTTCTATAACATATCCACATCATATGCATTATGAGCAGAAAGCTGAGAGTTCACTAAATCATGAGGCTAAGCCTTTAGGAAGTTGTAAGATGTGGAATCTCATTATTGACTTTGGTTCTTCGTTAGTGAGTTAGTGCCAGTCACATGATAATAAGTGGAGCTAAACACTTGGCACATCACGGCCATCTCAAACCTTACTAAAATTCGAAAAAACATTAGTATGCGAACAAATACGAAGTTTCTTTTTTTTTTTCTAACCATCAAAATAAAATATGTAGATCTTAAGGGCTTTTTAGTTGCAACTAGTGAGTGACGTCTAATAGATACCTATTCACTTGAATTTTTTATCAGATCTAAACTTTATTTTATCTAATTTCTCACAGTATGAATTTGAAAACAACAGAGTACTACTACTGTTTTTTCATTTATGTAACAATTAAGGAACATTTTTAAATGTCAATATTACTTTTTGTGATGTTTAAAATATGATCGAACTTGGCAATAATTAATTTAATTTGTAGTTAAACTAAAAAAAAAATTCTCGATGAACTTCAATTATGTCTACTTGTTATACCACAAGATTGAAACTATAATGAGTTATCAAACGAATTGTTCACAACTCAGAAGTGCAAATTCAGCCTCCATTCATTACAATTTTGACATAAAATAAAATAGGAATTGTAAAAACTTATCCTTAGCATTTGTGGTCACATACTCTACTTTCCACAATCAACCAACATTCCCAATAAATCACCATATGTACTATTTATATACAATCCCGAGTCCAGGCTAGACAAAGGCAAAACCAAGAAAACAAAAACCTGATATGGATTTGACTCCTGCGAGAAAAAGACCAAATTATCTGCTAATCATCTCATTATCATTGTTATCATTATGTCATCAAGATTATAACATTGAAGCACAAAATTCAGACAAAGTAGTAAATCTTCCGGAACAACCAGTGAATCCAGAGATATCTCATTTCTCAGGTTATGTAAGCGTGAATCAAGAAAATACACGATCACTCTTCTTCTGGTTCTTTGAAGCCTTGTCTGAAGCTCCTTCAATAAGACCTCTAGTTATCTGGCTCAATGGAGGTAATAGGTCGTACACTTATATATTAATTAGTATTCGAATTTTATATTAATTTTCTTTTTGTTTATGAGTCTGTCGCGCAGGTCCTGGATGTTCTTCTATTGGATATGGAGCAGCATCTGAATTAGGACCTTTTCGTATTGTTGAAAATGGGACAAGCCTTAGATTCAATCAATACTCTTGGGTCCAAGGTTTTTATTTTTTTAATCATTTTTCTTTTATTTCTAACTACTGTATGTCTAATTATGGTTCTAATTAAACCAATCATTAAGATACTTTTTATAATTAAAATAATCACGAAATGATTGTTGATATAATTGCAGAAGCAAATATGTTGTTTTTAGAATCACCGGTTGGAGTAGGATTTTCGTACACCAACTCATCTTCCGATTTGGATAACCTCAACGACGGTTTCGTTGGTAAGTAAGTGGACAAGAAGATGGCATGGTCAACTCTTAAAATAAAGTTTTTATTATTTAAACTAGTAGAAAAAAAAATTCTCGTTAAAAGTCCAAACAAAGTGGAATGATGAAACTTAATTTTAAGAAATAACTGTGATAATTTTCTGCAACAGCGGAAGATGCATACAACTTCCTGGTTTCTTGGTTTGCAAGGTATCCCCAATATAAGTCTCGTGATTTCTTCATTGCTGGTGAAAGCTATGCCGGTGAGCTTAATTAATTACTCTCATGTTTATGTTTTTCTCGAGTTGTCGATTTCGCTATATAAATATAAATATATATATATATATATATCTGGATTTAGAACATCAACCAATCAAGCAGAAAAGGATTTTGGATTAAACAAGTACAAAACTGAATAATGGAACTAAAATGGATTTTATTTAATTATTATAAGGAAACTGTATAGAATATGAATGGTATGGGTTTACACTTTACAGGTCACTACGCACCTCAGCTAGCCGAGCTTATATACGATCGAAACAAAGTTAAACCAAAGGACTCCATCATTAATCTCAAAGGCTTCATCGTACGTATTATTATTTATTATATTAGACAATAGTCACCAATCACCATATATTCGCGATTGCGACTATTAATTATGAGCACGAGGAAAGTGTAACGTTAAACCAATACATGCTACCGATTCTTTTTTTTTTTTTTAAGGTTATATTTATCAACATAGATTGATTAATATATTAGACCCGTTTGGTAATCCGTAGCATATATAATAGAAGTTTCACCGCCATTTTTGAAAATTCGCATATTCGTACGTTGTGTATTAAACAAAGCTATTATAAAATTTTAACCTCTTTATTATGTCAACTTAGGTAGGAAATCCATTGACGGACGACGAGTACGATAACAAAGGGATTCTAGAATACGCATGGAGCCACGCAGTGATCTCCGACAGTCTCTACGACACTGCAAAACGTAACTGCGACTTCAAGTCTTCGAAATGGTCGGAGCCATGCAACGTCGCCATGAACACAATGTTCGAAAAATACAAAGAGATCGATATTTATAACATTTATGCTCCCAAGTGCACTACCAATAGCTCATCATCAGGAGCTTCCTTCTTAGGTGCAGGAGATTTTAAGCCTCCAGCGATCAAAGACTGGTTCAAGAGAGTGAGATGGTTTGAAGGTTACGATCCTTGTTACTCTGATTACGCTGAAAAATATTTCAACAGAGTCGATGTTCGATCGTCTCTTCATGCCACTACCCGAGCTGTATCAAGGTGGAAGGTTTGCAAGTAAGTATTATATACAATAGGTCTGAATTTCCAAATTATTATGTATATTAAACAAGGTTGATATGTTAAATTTTAGTCATACTCTTTTTATTTATATTATTATTACTGTGATTACAGTGCTTCGATATTGCAAACGTACAAATTCACGGTCTCCTCAATGTTGCCTACCTATAGTAAGCTCATCAAAGCTGGTCTCAAGATATGGGTTTATAGGTACTCGACATACACTATATCTATATAGTTGGTGTTTTAATTCAGTGTTTTTTTCACTGTTAATTCAGTGTTTCTTTTTTGTCCCAGCTGATCTACTCTTTTAATTATTAAGAAAATGGATAGATGAACCCAAGAAATCCTCGTTCAAACATAATAATATGCACGAGATTCTTGAAGAAACACCATTAACATAAAACATACGTACAGTATTAGTTTAATTTATGGTGTACTTTTAAATAACTCACTTTTTCTTTTATTTTTCTACAAATTTCACAAATTTTGACAAATTTCAAAAATACTACTAAATAGTTTAAGAGTTGTTCTTAGGCATTCAAAATGAGTTCTAATCATTCGTAGGAAATAATTTTTTTTCCACAACCCTTCTTAAAATAATTGTGATATTTTAGAAAATCAAATATATATATATATGTGTATATATATATATATATAAATAACACGAGACTCATGAAGTAAACCCACCGTTAATTATACACCAAACTATCGTACGTACGTCTCTTTGGATTACATCTCTATAGAAATATTTTCTGCTCACTTTTTTTTGGCTGGAATTAAAGCTTGAAAATGGATAGATTATGTAATATTTGTAAGTGTGTAACAGTGGAGACGCCGACGGGAGAGTGCCGGTGATCGGAAGTCGGTACTGTGTTGAAGCTTTAGGCCTTTCCGTCAAATCTGAGTGGCGATCTTGGTTCCACAATCATCAGGTTACAGTTCATTATGAAAATGATTGTTTACAGTCGATTTATTTTTTTTGATAAAAAGTTACCGTTGATTTATACTCAGCTGTTTTTTGGTCAATTAAAAGTCAATACATGATTTTTTAGCCAAACTAGTGTTTAGTTAAAAATTACAATTTTCTCTATCTTTTTTTGTTAGCCTAAATCATCATCGTAGATTCTACATTTGTTTTTAGGTATTTTTTGTCCAATTTTCTGTTTGTAATTTGTTGTTTCTTTAGGTGGGAGGGAGGATAACGGAGTACGACGGAGGGTTAACGTTTGTAACGGTGAGAGGAGCTGGACATTTGGTTCCTCTCAATAAACCTGAAGAAGCCCTCGCGCTTTTCCGTTCCTTTATCAACGGTCAAGAACTTCCGTCACGCCCTTAGATATCATCATATTCATATCATATACTCCTGTTTTGTTACAGATTATAAAATAAAGCATGCATAACTAATCATTCCAAACACAGATTAACATGCTACTGTTCTATGTCCACTATCCAACCATCTTATAATTAATAAATAATAATATATTGGATAACAAGAATCACATGAATGTACGAACGTGGTGTGAAAAAAATAAATACACATCTACTATTGATCACACTTTTTTTTTTTTGAACAACTACAATTGGTCACACACACTAGATTGTTTCTTTATCCTGTGAGTACATAATATAACTTGTTTTAGTGAAATTCACTTGATAATATCGACTCTATATCGTTATTATCTATTATCAATGCTGATAGAATTGGTCCCGTAAAAACTCATCGACTCTGTTTTCTCCTAACCCTCCTATAATTCAGGTTTACTAACGGTGCAATGAAAATTAACCAAAGATAACCATCCATAAATTAGTTTTATCGATATTTATTGTACTGGCGAAATTGACGATGATTTCTACCAAGTACCAACTGAATTATTTATCTTTTGATATATTTCTTATCACTTGTAATTTATATACAGTCTTTTTTACGGCTATTTACCAATTTTGTATCACTTAGCACGACGATTACAAAATAACTAAATAAGTGATCTTTCTGAAAATTGGAAACTATATGGGGCGATTTTGGAAATGATAGATAGCAAAAAGGTCCAATTAAAAATAAGTATTCTTATCCAAAACCCAAATTCCCTGCTCTTCCGCTAAAACCTTCTTCTCCTCCTTCTCCTCCTTCTCCTCCTTCTCCTGATTCGTGCTTTCTTCAATGGAGTCACTCCTGCACACATCTTCGTCTCTGGTGTCTCTCAGACCCAGAATAGACGGTCGAGATTCGTTCATAAACCCGTCGCGCGTGTGTCTGAGTCTTAGTCTCGGCCGCAGAGGATCTAAATCTCTTCCTTTGGTCGCGGCGGCGAAGAAGAAGAAAAGCAAGAAAGATGACAACCATAGCTTTTCAGCTAGGCCAGACGAAGCCACTGGTCCTTTTCCTGAATCAATTCTTCTTAAAGAGGTTAGAGTTTCTTAATCTCTTATCTCTGTAGCTGGTTTCGATTTTTGTGGAATTTTAGTTGTATTTTCCCAGCACAGTCTAAGTATGTAGAAATCTAAGAACATATGCTGTTTTGTATTGTAGTGCTCTCTAAATTGTTCTCTGGTTCTGAGTTAATTATCATTGTTAACCTCCATTTCGGATCCATCATTGATGCTAAAGTTATGTACTTTTTTTTTTTATTGGGTTTGCAGAAGAAAATCGATGAAGAAGGTGATTTACTTCCCGATTTTGCTGATGCTGAAGAAAGTAAGTGACTGATAATGTGTTAAACTATCTGCGTTTGGTTTCGGTTTTTTTCAAAATGATTTGGTCGTGAGAATTGTTTGTTTCTTATCATTTGCACAGAGGAGCTATATGAGTTTCTGGATCTTCAGCTCCAGAGCGACTTGAATGAGGAAAGGAGTAAGTTCATCTTCTTTAAACCGTTTTAGTGTACTTTTAATGTGCTTACACGTTATCTGGAAGCCAGTTTCTCTGATTCTCATTAGCTCGCAATTACCCTTGTTCCTGCTCCCGTCTAAATATATGATGATTTATGTAAAATCTCAACTTTATGATGAAGAAAGGGTGTTAATGGAAGATATAGGATATGGCACTTTTAACCTTAGGAGTGTTTTTTGGAAATATGCAAAATGTTTTCGTTAGATGGCCGAGAGGGTACCTTAGAATATGATCAAACACTGATACTTTACTATTTTATGGATTCTGAGATCGTTCGATATCATTACTTCATTTGATGATGTATAACCTGTGTTTATGCAGTGAGGCACTATGAGGTGGTTTACTTGATTCATGAGAAACATGCTGAGGAAGTCGAAAGCATCAATGAGAAAGTGCAAGGTTAAATTTTTTTTCCCCTTCTCAATCTCCTTTGTTCGTATATGCACCCACCAGATGTCATGTAGGACTCGGGAATAAAAATTTGTATCCAATCTATATCGGTTCCTTTAGTTATAGCGGTGATTGTGTTTGTTGATGTTCAGAATTCTTGAAGGAGAAGAAGGGGAAAGTCTGGAGGTTTAGTGACTGGGGAATGCGTAGACTGGCATATAAAATACAGAAAGCAGAGAATGCACATTATATACTGATGAACTTTGAGATAGAAGCGAAGTACTTGAACGAATTCAAGGGATTGTTAGATAGTGATGAAAGGGTGATTAGGCATCTTGTGATGAAACGTGATGAGGCCATTACAGAAGATTGCCCTCCTCCACCCGAGTTTCACTCTGTTCGGGCAAGTATGAACGACGATGACTTTGATGATGATGATGAAGATGATGAGGAAGAGGAAGATGGTGATAATGTAGAGTACGAAGTAGATGATGATGGTAATGTCGTTATGGTGTTGTATGAAGATGAAGAAGACGAAGGAGAAGAAGATGGGGGTGATGAACTGGAACAAGGACAGGATCAGTCAAATAACGCTAGAAGAGAAAACCGGAGAACAGTTAACGTTGGAGGTTAGAGCTGTTTGTAGATTTTTGGGTCATGATTTGGATATTACGGTCACATTGTTTATTTTATTGATAATAGCATCGTTAAACTACAAAAACAAGGAAAGATAAAGAAACTTGACTTGTTTGAAGCTGTCTCAGGGAACATAAAGAAACAACGATCCATAATGTCTCAAAAGCAACATTACCACTAAATTAGAAACTACATGAAACCCCACCAAATGATTCAAATACTGTGAAATTTGAATCCAGTTCCGATTTCTTTCTTGGATTGAGATCAGTTTGAAGTTAAAAAACTACCGTTTAGAAGGCCTATCGTCATCAGCGGTAACAGCTCCTTGCTCATTCTGGTCCTTTGCAACCCTCTTCCTCTTGGGCAGAGGCTCAGATTTGCCAGCAGACAAGCTACAGTCCTCTTCAACATCGTCTTCGTCATCCTCTTCATCGATGTCTTCTTCCACACCATCCTCCTCCGGGTTAAAATCACTTGCGTCCTCCTCGTCTTCACCCTCACCAACCGGCTTAACTAGATACTCTGTCCCAAGATCCTCCTGCACGGTTTGAATATAATATGATCAACCAAAACATGCTCAATGATTTGCAGTTAAACTTTAATTTGGGGGAAACCAAACAGAGCAAATGGTTACTTCCAATAATTTTGGAATTTTCTCATGTGAAAACTCTGAAATGACAGAAATTAGCACCCAAAAGATTTTTTTTTTTTATTGTTCCTTTGAAAAAGAAAAAAAAAACAGATAGCACTACTTTAGGTTTTACTTGAACTTCATCATTAAAGGGAAACCTTTTGCAGATTTTAGAAGAACGACTAAACCATGACCAAAGTTATATTTCGAATTCAAAATATATTCAAAGCTTTTTTTCTTTTCGTTTTCTATAATCCATTTACCCATAGAACAAAAGATAGACTAAAAGGATAAACCCTACTCTGCCCTTAACACATAATTTTTCCAGGATTTCAGAATTGTTGTTTATTGGAATCAGATCTAATCTGTCTTCGGCGAAAATCGAGACTAATACGAAGATTAAGAGTGTATTGAGACCTAAGGCTAAGCAGAAAACACTAGATCTATACTCTGCTCTCAAGGATTATACCTCAAATCAAATATCTAGAGTAGCATATTTTCCGGACATAAAAAATATCTCTACTAGAAAATAAAACCCAAGTGATTCTACCTCTTCTTCATCGTCGTCATCGTCTTCTTCATCGTCATCATCATCATCGTCATCGTCTTCTTCTCCACCGTCGAATTCTTCATCGTCGTCTCCGGTAACTTCTTCTCCACCTTCGTTTGTTTCTTTCACTTCACTGTCGTCGTCGTCATCGCTCAGAACCTGAACATTAGTTTCCTCCTTGGTTTTCTTATCATCTTCTACAGGCGCCATCTTACTTTCAAAGAGAATTACGTTTCCAGAATATTTTCTTAGAGAGAAGAAAGGCCGCGAGAGAGAAAGAGAGAGCAGAAGGTTCGAACCAGCTTTAGCAGTAGAACCCAATAAACTCAATCTCAGCCGTTCAATCTGAACTATTACTAGGATTGATGAGATGGCACCACATCGAACGGTTCGTAGCGAAAGTAAGGTGGTTTTGATGAAGATGGTAAATAATCATAATTACGATATCATTTTCTCCAAGAGAGGTACACGTGCAATATGTGCGAGTAGTAGACGTTCAATTTGTTTGGGCCGTAAACTGGGGTAAACTTATAATAGGCCGGATATGAGGCCCAATACGGTTCATTTTCTGCGAGGAATAATTCCTAGTTTAGAAATACGCATTGCCATCTATATAATAAATCAAAGATTCTTCTTATTGATATTAAGGGAAAGTAAATATTTTATTCATAAGTTAAAAAGAAAAACAAATCTTATTCATTTTGCAATAATTGCAAAAACAAGACTAAATCAATAATTTCCATACAAATATCGGATAATGTCAGCACTCATACCGGCGATATCATGGACGGCTTTGATACGATCGGTCAACGGCGAAGTTTCGGGAAATTGCCCCTCGCAATAATCAGGCATCGACACAACACTTTTCATTTCAGACATTGCCTGAGAGAACCTCTTAAGTTTCAAATCAGCTAACTCTGCCGGTAAAAACTTATGAACCGCCGTGTCATAGGCCTTGATGCAAGTATCATACCTCGTAGAGTCTTGACGGTTTTTTATGTTTTTACGGACCGAGATTAGATATTTTAACATCTGCCTCATTTTCTTTGATGTAGCATCCACAGAGATCAATGCAAGTCCTTTATATGAACAACAAACAAAAATAAATAAACGATCCCTAATATACAAAAAGATATATATATACATACAAGGGAATAGTACAAAATGACAAATTACTTTCATAATTTCACACAAGTATAAATTATTTTCGTTTTTTTTCACGAATTGTTAATCAAGTCTTATTTTTGGTTAATCTTTAAAATAGTTGACAGGCGAATAAAACTAGATAATGATAATATTTAGTATCTTACCATGGCCGTTTGCGTTCTTGCTTCTAGGATCATGATTGAGAGTCGTGATGCATAGACTTGGATAAATGTTTAGTTTACATAGTTCTCGTACAGAGTTTGGTCCCGGAGTAGGCTGATTTGGTTGAGACAAGGCTATTTGGATTTTGATACACACGGAAACAATAGATAATAATTTCATGATATTATTCATTTTTATTGTTTGATATGGGACTATATATTTTCGTGGCGACTGGTTTTTCATTTTGACGGAGGATTTTTATAGGCTCAAAAGTTCTTTAGTCTTCACTTTTCAGATTGCATACAAATATTGATATGAAAATAACGTTAGGCAGAGTTATTAGTATGCTTTTAAAAATTTCATTCTTTTGATTGTCCGTTTCTAAAATTACAAGAGATGTATTCGTTGTCCCACATACTTAAACTGAACAAATCACAGAAGATTTTTCTTAAAGTCACCAGTTTATGTTTAGTTAAAGAGATTTATATATCAGCTTGTATTTTTTATTGTTCTTCTGTTTTTTACATAACTTATAATTCGAGTCCTGTTATATATTAGTCGGTAAGCCGCATTGTTTTTTTTTTAGTTAAGAAAAAAGAAACTTAATGTTTAAGGGAAAATAACGTGTCATACTTATCAACAATGATCATGTGTGACGTGAATATCTTTAACCATTTAATGTTTTGTTAAATCTCATCAATATTTTGGAGATATATTTAACGAAAATTCAGTTGAAACCCTATGAATGGAGAAATGGATACTGGATTCAATCAAAAAAAGAAAAGCAAAGAGACAGCGGCGCACGAGGAGAAGCTTCCACGGGAATTGATTGAAGAGATACTCTCTCGTGTTCCACCTAAATCTCTCGTTCGCTTCAGAACCGTATCAAAACCATGGAACGCTCTCTTCGACGACAAGACGTTCATCAACAACCACCAGTCGACGTTTCGATTCATCTTGAAGACCAAATCCAAGATTTATTCGGTAAGCATCGATCCCAAGATAATGGTGCGTGAGTTGACCTTGAATATTCCCGGTTTAGAATATCAGATACCTAAGGATTTGGTTGAATGCGGTGAGTTCTTGCTATGTAGCATGGACAAAGCCAAAGGAGCCGCGGTTTGGAACCCGTGGTTGAATCAGACTAGCTGGATCAAGACCGATGCTAGCCACCCTAGAATTCAATTAGATGGCATAGGTTATGATAGTAATAAGAGAGTTGAAGAACGTTTTTACAAGACCCTTTGGTATAACCAGGACGAAGTAGACGACCCTAACGTCTGGAGAGTCTATGACTTTGCCTCGGATGCTTGGAAAAACATCCACTCTAGATCTCAAGGTCGTGATCAGGGGAAAAAAGGCCCTATGTCACATTCCCCAAGTGGTGTATCGTTGAATGGAACTTTGTTTCGGATTGTTTTTTATGAAAACGTTGATGATCCCTTGTACTACCTAATGAAGTTCGATTTTTTGAGGGAAGGGTTCTTCAGATTCTGTGATCTACCATGTGGGAGGAACCATCTCCGCGATGCTCTTGTCCTTAGGGTGTTTAAGGGAGATGGGTTTTCGTTGTTAAAGCAGTGCTACGAGACAAAGAAGATTGAGGTTTGGGTGACCAAAGACAAGGTTAACGTTACGAATGGTGATGATGTGGTTTGGATGAAGTTTATGACTGTGTCTGTTCCTGAGGTTCCAGGTTTAGTTCAGAACAAGACTTACACTGACCCAAGTTACTTCATTGACGATAAAAGGCTTGTCGTGTGCTTTTGCGATGAAAATCGCAAGGCTTGGATCTATGTTTTGGGGGAAAACAAGCTGATCAGCAAAGTCCAAATAGATTCTGCGCTCTGTCATCGTCCTTTGCAGCATTGCACTTATTTTCCAAGTTTGGTTCCGGTTCCTCGAGGTCAAAGAGAAGATGCAGAATTACAAGTTTGATTTTAATACATATGTCTTCTTGTTTGGTTGTTGAGAAAGCTAAAACTTGATTTGGATTTTGCTTTTTGGTTTTTCTATATTCAAAAAATCATCTTCTTTGTTGCAACTGGAGTCTTTGCTCATTTTCTTTTTTGTTTTACTTTTTTGCAAAAAAAAAAAAAAAAAAAATTATCTCTTCCAAAGAATTTGTTAGCATTTACCTTGTTGTTGGATTTTAGTAAGCTTCTGCGACTGCTATAATGGTTTAGATTTTTTTCATAATCTAAAAAAGTTATCTGTTTCCGTTAATTGAAATCTTATTTATTTTTTATTGAATACCTTATTCATTTTCCGTTTAAATTTTTGCAACATTCGCAGCAACAAAAAAAAAACGAATATAGGAAAGACAAAAAAAAAGTTATAATCTAGTTGACAAAAAAAGTTTTGATGATGTCAGCAGTCATATCGGCGATATCATGGACGGCTTTGTTACGTCCGGTCAACGCAAACGGACATTTTCCGGCGAACTGGTCTTGACAAATACCCGGTGCCGATACAACGTCTTTCATGTTAGACATCGCTTGTGAATAATTCTTAGCCTTTAGATCAGCCAACGTCGCCGGTAAAAACCTACGAATCGCCGCGCCGTACTCCTCAATGCATGTTCCGTACATCTCCCAATCTTCACGGCGTCTGATGGTCTTAATAACGGAGATGAGATATTCTTGCGTCTCGTTCACTTTCTTTGTCGTCGCATCGATTGAGATCGACGCAAGCTCTTTTTTTATTATGAAAAAATCAATCAAAATTTAAATAAAAAAGTATATGCTATTTGTTAGCTACATGACTTTGCAATATATGTGAGAGCCAATAGTAGCTGATGACAGAGTTTATGTGAATTATATCAAATATCATAATGATTTCGTCATTTGTTCTTTCAATATATATATATGAATCAGTAATTGTTCTTTCAAAACAGAATTATATGTTAACTTATACCTTGGGGATTTGATGAGGTTTTGCTTCTAGGATCAAGATTGAGCGTAGAGACGCATAGGCTTTGATAACGGTTTCTTTTGCAGAGTTGCTGTATAACATCATTAGGTCCCCCAGGGGGTATAATTGGTTGAGACAAGGCTGTTTGGATTTCAACAAACATGACAAAAATAGCGATTACTTTCATGAAATTATCCATTTTTTGTTTTTTTTTATTTTGATTTTCAATCTAAGTTGGCATTTTATAGAGTCGTAAGTTATGTAGGTTGTTGACCAAATTAATGGATTTCTTTAGTTCTGAGACAGCATACCATATACATAGTATGAAAATAAATAAAAAGATCAACAGAATTATTGATTATTGTGATTAAGTTTCGAAATAAACAAGAATATACTATCCATTAACCTCTTTCGATCAAAGACCATCATATTTATAAGGCACCTTTTTTCGCTGACTAAACGAAAAGAGCACAAACATTTTTCGTATAGTAGCATTTATTATCTTTCTTACTGTAATTGAATGTGTTTGACTAGTAAATCATATGATTATGGAATATATAATTTGGTCAGATTTGATACATGTTCTTACACATATGACCAGAGCAATCATAAACTGATAACTTTATTTATTATTTATTTTGACTGTTCTCTCCGCATCTAGAGGATACAGATAACTACAGACTGACACGTCGTGAATGTGCATTAAAAAGGTTAGACGCATCGTAGCCAAAAAACAAAAACAAAAACGTTTGAGCATGAAATTATATAACTACTTACACGACTCACAATCATATACATATATATATATACACACTACATCTTATCTTCATATATATTAGTACTAATAGATACTTAATTTGAATAGAGAAGATGAAAATGATAAAGACGATGATGATGATGATGGTGATGATGGCCATGATGGGAATTGCGATGGGAAATATAATCGATAAGACATGCAAACAGACACCTGACTACACTCTCTGTGTCTCTCTCCTCCGCTCCGATCCACGTAGCTCCTCCGCCGACACCGCCGGTCTCGCTCTCATCCTCATTGACAAAATCAAGGTCTCTCTCTCTCTTTCTTTCTCTGACCATAATCTCAGTTCGAATATTAGACAAAAATATTTGAAGAATGGGGTATACTTTTGTAACAATTTAAAGTTATTTGTCCAAAAAAGATTAAGCTTTCGAGGTTAAAATGTAAATACGTCATTTTTTTTGTTCATAGTAGGCGCTTGGGACTGAAACTCTCGGGCAGATCAACGTGGCATACAAAACCAAACCGATGCTGAAACAGCCGTTGGATGAATGTAATCAGAGATACAAGATCATCGTAGACGTCGACGTCCACACAGCCATTATAGCTCTCAAAGGAGACCCTAAGTTCGCCGAGGATGCAATTGTCGACGCCGGCGTTGAAGCCTCCGTCTGCGAAAGTGGGTTTGCTAAAGGCCAGTCCCCGTTAACCGGCTTGATCCAGAAAATGGAAAAGATGTGTGATGTAACCAGAGCCATCGTCAGAATGTTACTCTGATACTTATTATCTAACTTAAAATTAAATTAAATAATAATGTTTTGTTGTAGAATATGGTACTAATGGCTCATTTAGCGAAAAGAAGAAGAAGAAGATATGGTAGTAATTAATAACGTTGAAATGGTCGATCCAGGCCTACTTAAACCGGGATGAATCGAATTAATTCAAGTTTGTACCGTTACTAGAATGCTAAACCGATGATACTAGACTGTAGAACTGATTGAACCGGTTATCGTACACGGGCAAAGTTGGGCACGAACTTTCTAGAACCGAATTCACGGGATATACCAACATTCACGAGCCAGATATCGTTTGACGAGAGAACACAGCCCCACACTAGTATTTTCTTATAAAAAATTTGATGAATGTATATTGAAATTATTTGGTCGACGTCTGGTACAGTGTGAACTAATGTATAATGGTATGTTTGTCGTATATGGACCGACTCATATAGGACCCGTTTCACCACATAACTTATTCTTTCTCTTGTTTTTGTGCCAACAACCACATATAACCAAAAAAGATAAAGTGTCTAACAAAACAAAAAAACTAAATAGCAGACACAGGCCCATGTATAAGCAAAAATTAGGCAGTGGATCAGTCAATTCACACTAATTAATAATACTCAAAATTGAGGTTAATAGTCTAACATACGGAGAGCTGCTTATATTATATCAAAACCATAATATAATTAGTTGATCACGAAGCCTCGTCACGGGTGGAATTATAAGAACTATATCGACCTTAATAAGTCATTAATCTTTGTTGACATCGATTGATCGATATATAACGAAAATCATATGTAACGACACGTAAAAAGCGTCTGTCTCATTGTACAAAAGAAAATACATAATTGTTAATTATTTGTAACCTTTTTCACATTTATTACTATACATATAACAAAATTGTAATAGCAACTACTATATAAAGCCTAGAAACAGAGCTAGCTAGTAGCACTCACACAAGACACAAGTCTTTATCCCTTTATCTGCACATCAATTTTTTGTCAATATCTCCGACGATGAAGAAATCCTCCGCCGTCGCAACACCACCGTTTCTCTCCCTCTTTCTCCTCCTCCTCCTGCCGTTGCTAGCTCAACCCTCCGACGACCTAATCGACAAAATATGCAAAGCGACGCCGTTCTGCGACCTCTGTGAAGCTTCTCTCCGTCCTCTCACTCCCTCACCTTCCGATCCCAAATCCTTAGCCTCGGCGATGGCCACCGTCGTGCTCGGAAACATGACTGATACCTTAGGATACATCAAATCGCTGATCAGACTTTCACACGATCCGGCGGCGGAGCGAGCGCTGGCTCAGTGCGCGGAGCTTTACCGGCCGGTGGTCAAGTTCAACATTCCTCAGGCGATCGAAGCAATGCGGCGAGGGGAGTTTGGATTCGCGGCGTATGTGCTCGGAGACGCTGAGAAACAGACTGATTCTTGCCAGAAAGGGATCAATAATTCCGGCGCCGACGATGATAGCTCGCTGGCTCTTACAGCGAGAAACAAGGCTGTTAGGAATCTTTGTGACGTGGCGATTTCTGTTATTAAGTCTCTAATGAATGGTCGTTAAGAATCTTTGTTTCTTTTGAAAAACTATATAAATATATACATTTATTTGTAATTATTGACACGAGCAAATTACTACTGTAATAAAGTCGGAAGAATCCTGCTGGAAAATCGATAATTTAGCAATCAACCACTTTAAAACTAAGAAAAGTAATCATATACAAAATGATACGATACACTTGGGGAAATTTCAAAGCAACCAACTTAATCCAGACCATTTATTGATGATTTTGGACCGAGCTTTTTCTGCCTTTAATATAGTTTTCATAGTATATAAATTGGTTTGATATATGATTATCATTTTACGTCCAGTTCAAATTTAGAGAATATTCAAGAAGAAGAAAAAAATACGTATGCGACGGACACATTTAGTGAGAAAGAAACTTAACTCACGGTCACGGTAGATTGATCGGGAGTCACCACGTACCAACTCGAAATTTCGAACTCATAATGTTGTTATTCACAAATACACATTTTTTTTAGTTGAGGAGTAGATTGTGACTTTAAATTAGGAGTTATTGGGCCTTAATTCACGGGCCCACGAAGTATTCGAGACAGCAACGAAACAGAAATAATAGACACTTGAAATACACACACGTGAAATCACATGTTCAATTAATTTTGCACAGCATTAATAGTTGTCTCTAAAGCTCAGTGGGAGTGTTTAGATACAGCCACATGGATTCTGTTTCTCCAAATATATACATGTTATTTTTAATGATTGATTTCAAATTTCAACTGCAAGCATCACTAGCATGTGATTTCTAATATAAAAATGGCTACACCGATAATTGATTTCATATATATATATATTTTTTTTAACGTTTTGATTTCGTCAAAATTTGGATACTACTTTTGCATTATTAAAAAAATTCAAAAACTACTAATATGATCCCAATTTGTATCATCATAGAGTACCGTGATCACTGAATACAGATGAAAATATAACACCGGTTTGGTTATTTGTAACTTCTCTCATTTTTATTCCAAGAAAAACATTACAAAACCACTCTTTACCAATATCGGCTAGTTATTGTTTCATAGCCGCCGAGAAAGCAGCCGATTATGCCCAAGAAAATTTATCGGTACGAAAACAAGGTTCACCGACAATCTAAACCGATACATGGTTTGCTCAACCAATATGGAATTGTCCAATTCTAGCCCATTGGTTTTACGCTTCACTCTGAAACTCTATTTATCTTCTTTTCGTTCTCCAAACCAGGAACCGGTTTTAGTAAACTGCAAAATACATACACAACCAGATTAGAGAATATTAAAGATAAAAACGTTTGTGATATATCTATCACTTGCTCTTAAACAAGATATAGAAAACATACTTTGGGAATCTCTGTGCTAAACCCGGTCTGGTATAACCTCCATCAGGTTCGCTCGCAGACGGAATTCCCGCATATTGAACCGAAACAAAACCACCACTGGCTTTTCCGGCGTCTACTAAGGGAGATTTCCCGGAGCTAGCGGCTGCTCTTGGTGACAATCCTGAATTATCAAAAAAAGACACAGACACACATAAGATAACGCTAAAAAATGGCAAACGCAAAACGCAAACGCAATTGTAAAATAAAAATCATACCTTGGAAAACGAGGACGAAGAAGAAGATAGCGGTCAGAAGAGTGGCCAAGACATTGCCGAGAGAAGAAGCTGCAGAAGCAGCTTTGGCAGCTCTAGATTTCTTCAAAGCTCTCATTCGTTCGATCCTCGCGCGTTTCAGCATCGCCAATTCAGCGATCTCTCTGATCAGTTTCTGATCGGCCGCGTCCAGCGACGGTCCACGCGGCGGCCGTGGAGGCTTCGACGCTGATTTCTTGCGTTTCTCCTTCCGATCGCTCCTTCCCCATCCCGGTTTACTGATCGCACATTGAACCGGACTTGTATCGCCTTCTAATAAACCGACGGTTTCTTCTCCGGTTTTTACCGGTTTGTTATCTGGAGACGTCGGTATCAATGGCTTCTCCGGCGATTTCGTATAAACATTGTCGCAATCGACGATTCCTTTCTCGAGATCAACATCGAAATCGAGACTCATTCCCATTATCTAACCAGATGGGATTCCCACTCAAAGACAAGATTCCAAAAAACCGAAAGAGAACTCAATTTATCACTATCGATCAGAATCGAAACTCAGAAAGCGATCTCTTACGATCAAGATCTATTCCCAGTAGAGACGAAAGAAGACACAGAAAGACGCAAAATGTGTATCGATCTATATATTGTATATGTATGTGTGTGTGTGTGTGTGTGAGAGATACTTTTTCTTTTATTTCTCGCTTGTGTCGCCTTTAATAGCAAGTAAACAATGAATTACAGCTAACGCCTCGTCTCCAGAAAATACCCCACAATCTGTAAAAACAAAATCACAAACTTTAATTTTTCACCAATCGATAAAAGAAAACACTTTAATGCTTAATCATATTGCAGAATATGGATAATTACCGAATCAAAATCACGTGGTAGAGATGGATAAAGCCAACAAAAAAAAAAGTAGAGATTGGATTAGAGGATTAAAGAGGCTGAAGAAAGAGTTTGAAGTTTGATTTATGTTTTTATTCAGTTACTGTCAAAAGTAGGTAATTTTATAGTGCATTGATTCGAAAATAATTGTTTTATAAAAAGGGAAATATTTATTTTGCTTAATCTCGGGCATGAAGCAAGGAACAGCTGTGTCTTTCCTTTTTTCCAATGCCGTGACTTTGGGGAAAAACATATAATTTTTAAAAAGAAGTGAAATAAATATTTGAACCGAATTCGAACTCTATTAAATCGAAATTACTGGTGAGTGATGAGTAATCAAATGATGGATGAAGAACAGACTCAGATTAGAAACAGTTAACAATTTTAAAAACTCGAATGAGACAGAGAGAATTAAAAAAAAAATCCGAACGAAAGGTGTGAATAAAATAGAAAAATATTTGAAACTTTTTCTACCTTGAATCGAAAGCGAAGGAGACCCAGATCCGATACTGAAGTATATGAGCAGAGAGACCGAGGAGAAAATGGCGGATTAATTGTCCGAGTTCAGACCGAGGAGAAAATGGCGGATTAATTGTCCGAGTTCAGACCGATTCCAAAAGACTAAATCAGGACAAGGAAAAAAAATTATTACATTCGTCGAAGTTTCCAGTTTTTTTTTTTGTCTTCAGGAGAGATCGAAATATCAATGGTATTATTCTGAGAGTCTCTGGATTTTGAAAACGAAATATATTAATAATATTCTGGTGATGATTTTAAAATTAAGAAAAAAAAAGGACAGCAGATTTGAATTCGAACAGATATAGAGTTCGGACATGTGTTGCTGTTCTAAATATAGCTGATATTACGCATGTGAGCTTTTTTCTCCAGCAGGGAAGCTTCACGTCACCGACGCAGAGAGATGGGTCAAATATTCTTTTATTCTAAGTAGATCCCCTCATTTTCAGTTTCTTATGAGTTTGCACTCGTAAAATATTAAATATACTGTGGCCCTCACTACAACATTATTGTTCGTAGGATAATTTTGGTTTTTTTCATAAGTACAAAACTAAACATTTGTAATTTTTAGTTGAAATTACAAGAAAAACCAAGAACATGACAGAATCGGGTAGACAAAGACAAATGCGACACATATTGTCCTAAATTGAGAAAACTCGGCCCCAATTTAATCACTGTAAATCTATCAGGCCCGGTTTACAAATATCTGAAAACTGACGACTTCAACGAGAACCGCTCTCTCAAGTCTCCTCCCTCCTCGCAATGAAATATATTGATTAAGTCCCTTAACTAATAAAAACTTTGGATTAACCCCAAGTGTCTGATTACGATGAACCGCGCTTAAAGAAGCTCTCGTCAACGTCTTTTTGTCTCATCCCGTCAAATTCATCAACAACCTCGTTTTGTTACACCTTTATTCTTCTCTCATTTAAAAATTAGTCTAAATCCTCCATTGCCCCACATATAATTTGTCGGTCAACATTTTCACTTTGTATTGTGTTGTATATTAGGGTATTAATACCAGATTCGAAAATTTTATGTGGTACTTTATTTTTTCTTACCATTCCATTCAATAGAAAGTCACAACTATCGAATCAATAACGAAATTGTGAAAATATGAAACTTCAATTTTTATGTTCCCAATGAAATCAATAATTATAGAGAAATCATAAGGCATGGATGTGTCTGATTGGTAGGGAGCTCTTCACATCCCACTTACAGACAACATTGAATTTAATCGGTCCATTCCCAAAATAATACTATGGCCCCATGAATCTGACTTGTTACACATATTCACCTTATGGTCTATTAACACGTTTATTGTCTCTTCACATAGAAAGAATACGTGTATTTATATCTTTTTTTCGCCAACTATTCACTGTAAATAAATATTAATCTCGTATATTAGTTACCCGTCATCATCTTTTGAATAAGATTTATGTACATAGACTATAACAAACTTTGAGTTTTCTGCCCAAATAAATTTGAAAATCTTAATAATTTTCGTGACTTTTGTTTTTCTTTTGGGTCAAAGACGAGGATTGTTATTATACAAGGGAGTTTTTTTAAGTTAGACGTAAGACCAGACCAGACCAGACCAGACCAGTCAAATTATGTCTGCGACACAACCAGTCGAACCGACAAATCCTTGAAATCTAAGGGCCCATAGGTTGCCCACCAATATCAAATATATTGGGCCTAGAAACCCGTTTCAAACGTCAGAGCCTGTAACTGAAGTCCAGTTTCTGTCTTTTTTTTTTCCTTTAATTTACCATTTTTCAATTTGTGAATGGCATTCTTTTTTTTTCTGTTCTTTATAAATGCATGTTATTCTTTGCGGGGAACCATACTAGTTTTTTTTAGAGTTCTCCGAATACTTTCTACTACGAATAGAGGCAATCGATTAGTGGAATAAACAAGGTACATACGTACATATATAAAAATCTTATGATATATATAATATATAAGAATCGTAGTTAAAAAGTTTTAACCAAAAAAAAAAAATATCGTAAAATGGTGCATGAAACATGCATGTTATTGCTAATGGAAATCATATCATCTCTCTTCAATAACAAGGAGGCCATGCATCGCCGGAGCTTGTACGC